AGGAAAGATATAACCCACCTCTAGCTTCTTTCCCAAGACAATACCTTGCTCAGTAAGGGATAGAAACTCCCCTCACTGTGTGAAGGGGAAGGTTTATGTTGTCTGGGCCCTGAGGGTATTGGTAGGCCCGAATTGCTCTGACCAGCCTCACCTGTGCTCACCACCCCACACCCACGGCCCAAGGTCTCTATTTAAGCTCAGCCTGGGGGGTCCCTTACTCTTTTTTTTGAGTTATGAGGTAAGTGATGGGTTTATGATTAGGGCTGATGCTCTTAGAGGTCTTCTCCAACCTCATTATGGTGTTGTCCAGCTCAGCTATGCCTGGCTATGCTCTGCCTGTAGCTTTGGGCTATGATCTGCTATCTGGTTCTGTCTAATCACTGTGGACCTGCCCAGTGGCTGGTGATGGTTGCCTTCATCAGACCTCACTGGTCTCTGGACCAGTTCCCAGCTTTGGTATTGGACTGACTTCACTGACATGAGCTCTGCTCAGTGTGTGGGCTTCTGTCTGAACCTGGCTGCTATCCCTGGTCAGCTCTGCTTGCTTAGGTGTCCCTGTCATGCTAGCTGTGTTACTGTACTCAGTTCCCCAGTGGATGATCCTTAAAACCTACATAGCAAGGATTTGGTGGTTGCTAATGTGGACCCAGGTTATGCCTCTAAGATATGCAAAGACCAGTTTTGTGCCTTGTCACTAACCTCCTTGTTCTACTGAGCTTTAACCTGCTTCTTCTCCTGTTCCAGCAAAAAGCTTCAGGAGGTCTGAGGTTTGCCTGCCCTCCAGGCATCTAGTGTTCTGCATTTCTGCAGATTTCTCCATCACTCTGCAACCCTTTCCAGAAGGGCATTTGGTCTCTGCCTAGGAACTGAGTTGCTGTGCTCAATGCAGAGATAAGAGTTCTCCAAGCTGTGTTGTGCAGAAACCCAGCTTAAATGATGTGAATAAGCCCCAAGAGACCAAATCCTTTCTGCTTCCTAGCTGGAAGCTCAGTAGTCACCCCTCGAGATGAGCAGAGGGCTGTGACCACCCCTTGCATGCCTGCTGCAGCACAGCAATGTGCTTGGGCTGCTGCTTCTCTGGGAGAAGCCCTGTCCCTATGGCTGTGAGGAAACTTGCTTTGGCTTTCAGCTGGAGAGCTGTCTGCCTCTTTGCCTCAGGTGGCTCTGTTAAAGGTTATTCTGGCCCCTTAATCAAATTCAATATAGCTTTGTTTTCCTCTGCCCTCTAGGAGTCCGCAGGGGTTTGCTGTCAGAGCCTCCTGCAGGAGAATGGCCTGGCTGTTAATGCAGCAGTCAGCTCTGCTTTAGAGGGGGAGAGAAATGCAGCGCTTCAGGGATGGGAAGCAGCAGGGGCATGTGAAAAGTGGGAGTAAAAGTAAAGCACAACTTGTGTGTGCTCTTTCACACCTTACAGCAGGGGCTGGGAAGCAGGCAGGACTGGTAACAGCGCTGTGTCCCAGGTGGGTAGCGTGCCTTTCCCTAAGGGGAGGAAGCTGGTGTGAAGAGATGAAGAAAGGCTCAAAGTGATGCAGAAAACCTTGCTCCCACTCCTGTGCTCTCAGTGGAACAGATCCCGCTCCCCTCTAATTACAGCACATGCTGGAAGGCATAAATGGCTCCAGGTCACTCCTCTCAAGGTGTTTATTATACATCTTTCCCCACAGGATTTTGGATGAGAGCAGAAGGTGTGTGTTTTCCCCATAGAATGGCTGCATGCCTGGGCTAGGTAAGAATGGAGTGGGTACCTACCCCTGCTTGGTGCAGTCAAAATCCTTGTGTTTGAGCATTAAAAAGGCTACTCAGCAAATAAGCTTATATAAATCTTGTCAGAGACTCTGGAATAAATTTAGGAATGCTGCAACATGGGAGAGGTTAAATCCTTCCTTGTGCCCGAGGAAGGAGAGGCTGGGCAGGGGACTCTCAAGCCCTCGTGAAGGGGAGGATGAGGTGCCAAAAGGCTGCGCAGCTCACAGTAGTTGGGGTTAAATTGCGTGGTGTGCCACCAGCCTGCTGTGTCACAGAGTCTCTGTCCCAAAAAGCCAGAGATGGAATTAACTGGACATAGTCTGAAGGTAGTGTTTTTTGGTGTTTTCTTTGCACTGAGAATGGCCACGGATTCCTTTCTGCTGTATGATAATTGTGAGCATGCAATGGAAGAAGTGTTAAACCTTTTTCTTGGTACTAGTGACATCTTGCCATTTCTAACACTGCAAGAACTTAACATCTGACTGCTTATTTGTTTTGCTTATTGTTTATTTTCTTGCTCTGCTGAGCAAGGGCAATAGATCACTTTCATCTTTGTAAGTGAATTCAATTTTGCTGGATTTAGGAGAATAAAACATCTTACCAGCATATTTCAAATTAATGTGTTGCTTTTTTTTTTTTTCTAAACTGGAGTTTCAAAACAAGTTGTATTTCTGTTGAGATTAGACTTCTATTTAATTTGCTTTTAATTAACAAGTCCTAGGCAGCAAATTCTTTCCTTTAGCTATCACCTCATTCCTCTACTTCAGTAGTATTTGTTTGCAAGTATCTTGGAACAAAATGTGACCCTTAAATTGAAATCGGAAAGCTGGCTGAATTTCCTGGAGGCAAAAGCTGTTACGGTAACTTACTGGGGAAAGCGGCAGCAGGATTTTCAGTTTTGCCAGCCTAAAATACACGCTTGCTTTTTGATTCGGTCTAATAGACGTAGCTGTGAAATTGAACAATTTGGGGGAAGAACAGCAAAGCACAGATAATGGTAATACTGATAAAAGTTCCTCCCAGTATCACTTCTCTGAATAGCTTTGAAGCAGCTATAAAAAGCATTTAGTGCAATTGCAAAGCCCCTTTTACCGGTGCTCTGAACGTCGTTGGAGAACGTACCCCAGGTAGGGAGGCTGGAGAAGATCAAATGAGAAATGACAAACCTTTGCCTGTAAAGCTGCCAATACCTCGGGAGAGCTGAGCCAGCCGTGCCTATCCAAGGGAGCGTACGACGAAGACATGGGCTGTGCTGGGTTTAAGTTCATGCTGTTTTTAAAGAGCACTGGTGTTGCCCATCTCTGCTGGCAACGCTGACCTGGCTGATCGATGCGGCCACAAATTTTGTCTCATTTTCTTGTCTAAGATGCATCTCCTTTCATACTGCCTCTTTTTTGCTGCTCAGTGGGAGACCGATATGCGATGTCAAAATAAATCCACACGGCACCATGAGCCTCACAGTAAGCGTGCACAGTGCCGTGCCAGCGTGGTTTCCTCCCCTCTGATGCAGGGCCGGGTAATTCATGAGGGTGTCTGCGCTGCCTTTGATGCCATGGGGCTGCTGCAGACACTGGATCCAGTTTCTAAGATTTGGGGGCTGGATGTGGCAGGGTCAAGAGATCTGAAAGGCTCTTAGTTACCCGCTTGTAGTAAGCCACCTGCATGCAGAGACAGCCAAATTACCAGCATAAAAGTGAAAAATGACAAGAGTATTCATTAAATGCCATGCCTGGGCTAGGATCTGAGTGTACTGAAGGGTTTTTATCTTGGCGAAGGGGTAGGAGGCAGCTCGGTAGTTCCTGCTGCATTTCCTGCGCAGTGGGGGCTGGGGGCTGCATTGATTCTGGGATAAAAAGGACTTTCAGAGCGCTGGGAGGACGTGGTCTGACAGAAGCCAAAAGCAAGTGGCTTGGTTCAAGCCTGCTGGCTTTGCCTTGCTGTGCTGGGGAACTGGAGCAGCCGGCCCGTCACCTGCCCTTGTCCCTGTTTGGGGTAACCGCTGTATGGGAGCGGGTGATGGAGGGGAAAAGAGGCCAAAAAGGGCAAGCAGATGCTCAGAGGGGTGGTGGTGGTCTGGTAGGAGCTACAAAGGCCAGCACTGGTTACACCAGGTACTCAGGGCTGGTTGTTTGGCTCTCAGGAGGGTTTGGTGGCCTTTGTTATGCCACCTTCCTCTAGCTGTCAAAAAGCCATCAAGCTCATGACAGGAAAAAAAAATACCATCAGTGCTTGTTTCAGGAGATTCAATCTTCAACAAAAGAACATTCACTACTTGCAGGGAAAAGGAAAAAAGTCTGGAATATTTTTAGTGAATCTTTATTTAGGGGATAAGATCTAGATCTAGAATCCTGACCGCCTCCAGACCGACATGTTGCTGTCTCAGCCACATGCTGCATGGGCACCTGGGGCCCACCATGGCTCGTGGACCATGGGGAGGTCTGTGAGAAGCATCCAGCATGTCTTTGCCCTGTGGAGAGAGACCTGCAAACCATCGCTTCTCCTGACATCTTCACAGCTCAGAAAGCACCAAAGGTGGCCAAGGTGAAGGCACTTGGTGAGGCCATGGCAGCGCTGCTGCCTTCTCACTCAGGGCTTGAGGTGTTTGATGTCGGTGTTGCCTGCCCTCCTAGAGTTGTGCGATGAGAAAATTGTTCCGAAACCGAAGAAAAAGGCACCTAGGTGCTGCTGTGCAGGAAAGCTTGATGCCCAACGAGCCTGATACCCTATGGAAAGGGGCTGATTTCTTTTGGGGTTCCTTCAGCTTGGAGTTACGAGGGGTTTGCAGCCCTGTGTTGCTTGGGTTTTGGGTAGGTCTCTCAGACACGAGGCCGTGACTAGACTGGGAGCTGTGTAGCCCCTCAGCGGTGGCTGCTCAGGGGCTGGAGGCCTGTGGGATGTGAGTTAGAGAAACGAAGTTGCTCTGGGGGAGAAATCTTCCCTCATGAAGCGGCACAGATACACGCACTGTGCGCGGCTCTGTGACCCACAGGTGAGGCAAGGTGCGAAGCAAGACACCACCCTGCGTGCTTTTCCACCACAGGGCTCAAAGGGCCCGAGGTCTGATCCCATCCCCGTGGGGATCCCACTGCGGGCTCCCCGCTCCCTCAGCGCCTGAGGGGCACCCGCGGCCCTCCCCGGCTCCCACCCCCCACCGCCGCCACACGGAGGCGCGGGGGGCCGGGGCCCTGCAGCCGGCTCGGGGAGGGAGCCGGGCACCGAGCAGCGCCTCCACGGCCCCCCTCAGCCCCGTGGAGTTTTTTGGGGTGTGTGTGTGGGGGGGCAGCTCCGGACGCCCCCTCCCCGTCTCTCCGCCCCCGTAGCGGCAGGAGGAGGAGGAGGAGGAGGCGGTGCCGGGCCGGGCGCGGCGGCGGCGAGGGGCAGAGCCCGGCGGGGCGGCCCCGCTCCCCGTGAAGAGGCGGCGCGGCAGGGCAGCGGCCGCCGCCATGCAGCCGCTGCACCGGGCCCCGGCGCTGCTGCTGCTGCTGCTGGCCGCCGGTGAGTGAGGGCTGGAGGGGAAGGGGGGGCGCCGCCATTCCAGCGGGAGGGTGGGGGCAGCCACCGGGACCCCCCCCCCCCCACATACACACACACACACACACACACACACGCTTCCATCCCTCCGGTGCCGTGCCCTAAACACCGGGGGTGATCCATCCCCGCCCCGGGGTGGTGGCTGGTTGCCCCCCGCTTGTGGGGTGCCCGTGGGTTTTGCTCGCCACAGGGTCTCCAGCATCGGTGATGGGGTCCCCGGTGGGGACCCTGCACGCTGTGGCCGGTGCCGAGTGCCCTCATGATGCCGTGAGGTGAGCTGCCCGCCTCAGAGGACCTTGCCCACACCAGGGCTGCCCCCCCCAAAGCTCTCCCTTGTGTTTCTGGCTTCTTCTGGCGGCGTGGGGATTTTACCAAGTACCGCAAAACTGCCACAAAGGACGGGGGGCACCACAAATTGCTCCCCGTTCCCCCCTCGCTTCCAAGAGCCTCCCCTTGAAATTTGGAGGGTGCCGGGGAGAGGCAATTGAGCTTAGGGATAATCGTACCAGGAATAGTTGCGAGGGCTTTGCGCCTGTTTTTAAATCATCTGGGGAAATTTCCCAACAAAGGGCTCCCCTCCCCAAGACTCGTGAGGCTGCGGTTGCGCTCGCCCTCCCCACCGCCGGCTCTTTTGTACCAAAATCTGGTCAGAGCGGAGCTGGGAAACAGGAGTTCGGAGCGGGGACATCTGAAGTGTGGGGGAGTCTTTGTCTTGAGTCATTCTGGCAGGGAGGGAAGGGCTGATTTCCCAACCAGTCGCTGTCTTCCAGCACGACCGAGCTGCGATACGGTGACATCCAGCCCCCTGGCACGTCTGTCTGATTGCCCCGATCTCCTGAAAATGTTGGTGGGGGAATGTGTCATCTGGAAGCTCTGGGGAGTCGCTCCGTCCCCGAGCTGTACGCACAGCGCCTTGCCCCTGTGGTCTGGGGCTCCCTAAAGAGAGGGGATAAAGGCTTTTAGGTTGGCAAACAATAGTTAGCTTAAAGAGCAAAATGGATCGAAAAACCTGTTGGGGTTCTGTGCCAATGCTCCGTGGCACAGAAGCCCCAAGCTTTTCCTGGGCTGAGCTGGGAGCCAGCTCCGTGTTTCCCTTGAGGCAGGCAGTCCACGTTAGGGAAAACCTTGGGCACAGCTCGCAGAAGTCCTTTAGCTGCATCTCGTCAGGAAACCTGTGCCCCCAAATTCTGCCAGACCTCTGCCTCCTCCATGGAGCAGGGCACTGAGCATGGGTAGGATTAATCTATTCCTATCTATTCCTATCCCACCATTCTGCCATTTCAGGCTGGCCCCGTCCCCACACTTGAAAGCTGCATTTGCTCTGCGGGGAATGGACAGGGACCTCGTGGTGGTTTTAAAATCTGGCACCCGAGAGGTCTACAGCTGATGCTGCTCTGCTGAGGGAGGGTGTCTCCTCTTCTGCACAGACTGCGGGAAACTTTCTAGCATTGCTGTCCAGCTGGTGATGATACGGAGGATTTGGGTCCTTGGATTTCCCTGTGATCCTCTCTGCTGTCCTAGCAGGGAGAGGCGAAGGGATGGGAGACGAGGGGCAGCTCAGTTCCTCACCCAGTGAAACTGGTAATCCTGGTGCATTGTGGTGGCTGGACATGGATGGCCACGCATCCCTGGAGACCTGTTTTCCTACCTAGCTGGAAGGTCAGAATTAGAGACAAAGACTGCTGAGAATTTCTAAATTGAGCCCATTTTGGTTAGCAGCTTTGCTTGGTGGTTAAGGAGCTGTTCCAGTCTGGCATAATTCACTGCGCTGTGGCTTCGCTCCTCCAGTCCCACAAGACAGGCATGGTTAAAACCCGAGAGCTGCAGGGTCTGCATCCCTGGTGCCGAGGGAAAGGCATGCTTGCAGCTGCCTTCTGGGGTCAGGAGCCTCTGCAGACCCTTGGGACAGGCTGAAGGTGCCCCACATCGGGGTTCCAGGAGTAGGCTGGGCATCGTGTAGGTCTGCTGGCAGCGCATGGAAACATCTCTCCGGGCTCTTGGGTATCTGAGCCCCTTTGCTTTTGCAAGTAGGAAAATGATGTGGTTAAAAGCAGGGGAGAGGGCAGGGAAGCGGTCTTTTCCCTCTCATTGTCTCCCCAGGTGCTTGTCTGCATGTGGGCTATTTATTATTTTTTTCCCTCCTGCCTGCTTAGAAGATTCCTTGTTAGCAGTGTGTGAACAGCCGGAGCTGAGGGAGTATAAATCAGGATGGATGAAAATTCCCTGTAGTCAATTTTTCCTTGGCCTCTTCAGTGCCATAAGGAAATGTTCATTTAATTATAGGCATCAGGGGTAGAAATAACTACATTAAGCCCTCAAGGGGAAGCTGCAGGCGACAAGCTGCAGATCAGAGCACACAAAAGTTTTTTTTTTTCCCCTTCGCTCAGCGTGGGAAGACGCTCCGGCATTTTGTGGGTAAATAAGTGAGCAGGAGACACAAAGGCAGCTGGGCCGCGGTGAGAGGGGCTGCGGGGAAGGTGCGTCGTGGCCCGCAGCTGGCAGTCGGGTGAACTTGCTTCCAGTCCTCGCCGGCTATTGAAACACGTAATCCCGAAAGAATGGAGAGAGGCTATTTGTCAGCCACGCAGCCCGGGCAGAGTCGCACAGAGGCAGAGCAAACACGTGCGCTGGTTTGTTCAGAGGGCCCGGGATGCTGGCGAGGAAGATGCGCCCTGCTGGCGCTCTGACCGGACCCCACTGAGCCCTGTTGTGCCTCCTAGGATCTGGTTGCGCCTTCTGTGCTCAGGGTTGTGCCCGGTGAGTCCTCAAGTTCTTTGGGCTGAGCTGGTGTCAACGGCTTCTGCTCCGCTGAGGTTGTTTCTGGAGGGATGTCCCTCCTACCTGCTGCAGCAGCGCTTGCCCTGCCCAGTGCAGGGAGATTTGCAGGCGGAGCAGCCGCGCACCTTTACTTGGTGTGCTGGAAACAGGACCGGGGCGTGCAGCCCAGACAGAGCGAGCAGTGGGAGCAAAGGCCTGGCAAGGTGACTTTTTGGCAGGCAGTTGAAATGTTTTGGGCAAAGGAACCCGTGGGCTGTGTTGTTTTGTTTTGCTTTGTTTGTTGTTTTTATTTTTTTTTTTTCCCCAGATCAGTTGCTTTCATCCTGTGGTCTGTTAACCCCTGGGGGCTTGCGGGCTGCTTTGAGGGTGCTGAGGAAAGGTAACCGAGAGAGGTAAATTCACTTCTGCTGCGTGCAACTGCCTACCTGGCGCTGCGTCTCCCCCCGAGCTGCGACCCGCCGCGGTTGATAGCGAGGAGCGCGGAGGAGCAGACGCGGCAGCAGCAGAGGAGGGAGGTGTGAAGGCTACGAGACGATCCGGGGAGGGAGCGAAGGGAAACAGTCTGCGAGGCTGAAACCAGGCACGGTTGTGACGCCTGGCGCGAAGGGCTGATGGAAGGGGGGAGAGGGGCTCGCCTGAGCTGCTGTGGCCTGGTTCTGTGGGGTCTGTGGGGAGACTGGCTCTGCTCAGAGCGGGCTGAGGGTCCTGCAGCCCTGCGGGTCAGACCCCGGTGCACGTCTGCAGCTGGCTGCAAAAGCAGGTCGTGGTACCTGCACTGTGTGCTGGAGGTTTTCCGTGCTCAGTGTGAGCAACATTCATGCCCTGCTCCCCGTGTTTGAGCTCCCTGGTTGTGCTGGCTGTAAAGATCTCTAAAAGCTTCAAGATGCTGGCACAACTACTGGGTGCTTTAGGATCTCCTTCTGAAGCATTGCCTCACTGCAAGGGCCTTGTGAGCTGTGCCTTGTCACCTCGTCAGTTAGTGCAGGACCTCTACGTGCTCCCCGTGTTACTTCCATTGCTTTCCAAAATGTACCAGGGCCGTGGCATGGGGGAAGGCTTTGAGGGACACCCGGTGAGGGACGTGCTTGCTGACAGTACCGGGAGGATGGCAGTCTGATCTTGTTTGCTGAAGTCCTAATTAGAGATGCTCTCGGATTAGGGACCTGGCTGGGTGTGTGAGGAGTCCAGTGCACTGGGGGAGCAGCAGGGCTGGGAGAGGTGCAGTGCTCCAGGCATAACTCCGAATTAGCAGCAGAATGACTTGTCTGATAAGTGGCTGTCCTGTCTGCACCCTGCTGAGAGCCCGACTCAGGTGAGAGTGGGGGAATCAGCTGGGACTGCCCTCAGCTGTGAACAGCATCCGGCTTCTCCTCTTCCTCTGTCTGCAGCTGGGATTTTTTTTTTTTTTTGTTATTTAAATCAGCGCCGTGTTTTGTTATGTTCTGTGAGCATTTGTGCCTTGGCAGCTCTGCCCGGGGCCTCTCTCCTCCCTGCCCTCGGGCCCTGCTCCCCAGCTTCTGCAGGCGGTGGTCTGGGGGAGGGCAGATCCCTGGCAGATGCTTCCCTCATCTGGTCATTGTGCTCCTGTCCCAACCGATTATCGGCAAGTGACCCATTGCTGACCCAGCGCTCCGAGGAAATAACGGTGTGGGATACCTCCGGGGTCTGGGCTGAGCCTGAAAGGAAGGTCAACGGCAGCAGGGCCAGATGGACACCGTTGGGGCTGTCCTGTCGGCCGCACCGAGGTGCCCTGGCCCCCTCCCTGGTACCCGTGGTGTTGTGCAGGCTCTGCTAGCCGGTGGTGAGAGCCAAGAAAGTCAGAGCACGTGCTCCAGGCAAACGCTCTTCCCCCCAGCCAGGGCTGATCCTGCCTTCCTGGCGGTGTGTTACAGTCCCAGCGCTGGAGAAGGAGAGGTGAAACCAGCTGATACGGCTGGGAGATGGGCAATGAAAGGGCACACAACCCCTCTATAGGTCACGCCAGTATGATGACATCTCATAGGATGTTTGTGTTATTTCCTTGGAGAGAAAACTGAGGCTTGCTCGTTGTTAATTAAAAAGCAAGAAAATTTTAAAGGCCGTTTGACACAGTTGTAGCCAGATTCCATTTCACTGTCCCCAAGTCCCTCCTCTCATTTCAGCTGGATCCAGAGATGACTGATTTCCTCTTTCCCTGCTAGTCCTGCTCAATAGGCCGGTTGGGAGCTTTCAAGCAGCTGCCCCATCCCGTGGAGAGGTGGCTTGCCTTGTGGCAACGGGACGAAGTGGTTCTTGGTTGGCTAAGGTAGAAAACGCTTTAGGGTTCTCCTAGAGTTGAGCAGAAACGTGAATCTCCTTTATTCCCAGCAGTTTGGGAGATAGGCGGCAGATGTTCTTTCCTCGGATTTTTTTTTTTCTCTGCTATTGAGCAAAACTCCTCCATCTGCCTTTTCGGGCTCTTATGTCGCATCCTCTGCTGAGCTGAGCAGAGCAAGCTCCACTGCTGTGAGCTGAAGCCAGTTTGCTGAGGTGCCGGTGGGATCAGCCACCAGCAAACTCACAAACATGTGTGTCCACCAGGCTGGCGCTTCTCCAGGCGGCTGTGGCAAGGTAACACCAGTGCTCCCTGTTGTTGGAACTGCCCCGTTCCGCTCCTCGTGGAGGTGAAGCCTCTTCAGCAAGGTCGGTGTTCCCTCCACGTGTCACGTCTGTGGGTGCTGCCAGCTGGAGAGCTCGAGAGTTCGCAGCCAGAGCAGGAGCTCCGGCGCTGTTCCTGCCGCACGCTCCCTGCCTTTGTTCCCTCTCCCCGCGCCGCTTACCTCTCCCACTTCCCCTGCGCTCTGTAAGCTGGGGCTGGTGTTGCCTCCCGTGCTCACATCCCTGCTGTTTCCCCGAAGGCTGGCTGCCCTCTTTAGCATGCAGAGCCTCATCTCCTCCAGGTTACGCAGAGGTGCCGCAAAAATAGAAACGAGAGACAAACGCCCCATTGAAGCAGCTGGCGAGCCCTGGCTCCGTTCCCTGCTCCCTCCCATCTCCACTCGCAGGGTTTTATTCGCGTTTCTTTTTTTCCTACCGTTTGATTTGCCTTCTAAAATACCAGACTGGAGACTGATGGCTACTGGAAGTCACCTGATCCCTGTTCCCCATCCTAGGAGGAGGAAGACGGCGAGCTGCTGATTCCTTGGGTTGGGTTTCTCAGCTGTGCTCCCCGGCCTCTCAGCTCAGCTCGGGCTTTGATTCTTTCTTTGCCTCTGAGTTGACAGCTGCATTGAGCTCCTTTATCAGATGCTTGGAAGAGAGAGGGGGAAGTGACAAATCTGTGTTTGGCACCCCAAGCCTTTGAGTTGGTGCTGCTGCAGGTGCTGAAGGTTTGAAGATCAAGGTGCTGTCTGCAGAAGGTGCCTTGTGACATTTGGGCTGGTGCTGGCGCAGGGAGTTCCCCCAAGCTGACCTCTGCACCCTGTGCCTGTGGGTCAGCCCCAGGCTGGTGTCCTGCCCCACATCCACTCCTGGAGAAACCCGCCTTGCTCGGGCCGTGTCTATTAATGCCTCCTGCTCAGGGATGAGGCGGTGTAGTTTTATCTTGGGCTGGGGAGAGCAGAGCATGCCAGTAAACAAGATAATGCAGCTTAAGGGGTTTTAACGGGGTAAACACTTCAGAGTTACATGAGGGTAAGCGAAGTCCCAGGACCTGAGCTTCCTGCAGGGCTGGGATTAGCTCCCTGGTCTGCCACGAGATGTCTGTTGTGGGGCTGTTGGGCCGGGCTGTGGCCAGGAGGCAGCACAGGCTGTGCGTGGCTCAGGGAGTAGAAGCGAGAAGTCATCCTGAGCCATCCCTGGAGCTGGCGCAGGGCTGTGTGCTGAGGCTTTGCCCAGCTGGCAGGGGGACCTGGGCTGTGCATAAGTAGGATCCAGGCAGTTTTACTCCAACTACGCCACATTTTCCACATCTCGTCGGACCTCTGCTGTAGTCTTTCCCCATCCTCCTGCTCCCCTTTTTCTGGATAACTTGGAGGATCACGTTCCCTTTGCACCCCTCGCTGCTCTGTCACGTTTCCTCAAGCTGTAAGCTCCTCAAGACAAGCGCTGTCCCCAGCTGGGCTGCTCAGGGCTCAGCAGTGCCCTGTTACAGCTGCAGACACTCCAGCTCTCCTGTGGCAGGCTGGGGAAGCCCAATTTGGGCAGCAGCGCTTCAGAGCCTGGTGGGCACCACTCCGTTGGTGGCACGGCGGCTGGCTGGGTCTCTCTGACCAGCCCACTCCTGCACAAGAGTTGTCCAATCTCTCATTTCCTGCTGTGGATTTCACTGCATGTGTCTCCCAGGGAGCTGGCCTGCCCCCAGGGGTGTCCTCGGTCGGCTCCGTGATGCTGCAGCAGCCTCCTCCTGCCCCCCTGGTGCTCTTTTGCCATTTGCTTTTTGCCGCTGCACTGGCCTCAGCTGGTTCTTGCCTTGGATCAATAGAGCAAAACAATCGAGGCTGGGGAGTACAGAAGCCTGACTCAAGTGTGTATGGGAAAGAGTAGCCAATGTTGGGTTTTGCTTGGTTCAGAGAAGAGCAGAGGTAGGCGGAGAAGGTCAGAGCACACACAAGGCTCAAGAATTGCATTTCTGGGCTTCCAGCCTTCCCAGGGCAGGGCTGGTAACCAGCCTGGCAAGCGAGCAGCAAGTCCCAAACATTTTTCTGTGCTAAGAAGCCAATGTTTTCAGTGAAAGCACGGGGGCCAGCCGTAACTCATCTTGGCACTTGCATTGATTTGAATTTGTCCTTCTGGACGTGGTGGTGGGAAGGAACCTTGGGAGGTCGCCCAGGCTGTGCCCTTGCCTGCAGGCAGATTCAGCTCTGCCTGAATCATTCCAGGCCACGTGTACCCAAATCTGCGTGCGGCATCCAGGTGATGTCTCAGCAGTGCTTTGTAAAATCTCTGTTTCTAATGCTTCAGGACTTTGCAAGCATTTTCACATGTGCATTCCAGTGATATCTCGGAGACACTTCTAACACAGGAGCTTCTCTTAAGACATTTCTAACGGATGGTTTCCTATCTTATAGCGGAGAATGTTTGGTGCTATTTCCCAAGGTGGTGACTTAACCACTTTGCAGTGTCCCTTTTTGTAATTATTTCTGTTATTTCCATCCTTGGGATCACCTGGCTTTATCTGCAGTCTTTCTTTGTAGTGAGGACGTCTCCTAGCTTTGTTTCCTTGGCTAATTTCATTATCTTGCTATTAATTTTTTGAGCCAAGGTCACTTAGGAAAATGTTAAACACCACCAGGTCCAAGGACAGACCTTGAGGATTTCTACTAATAGCCTCCCTCCAGCACAAGCCCCTGTCAGTTTTTCTGTAGCCAGTGCCTTATGGTTGTCTGACAGTTTATCAACTAATTGCTGTCTTTTCTTGCTTCTCTTGTACTTCGGTGTGGGGCACATTATCTGATATTTTACTGAACTCCAGATGGAGTAGATCTGCTGCACTTCTCCAGTCTAGAAAATCAGTTATCAAAGCAAGATACCAAATGAGTCTTTATTTCAGCATATTCAATTAGTTCAGTTCAGTGACTAGTTCATTAAAAACTGAAAAAAAGACGAGTATAAGCTGAGAAAGCAGGAAAACTTGTCCTTTTTTTTTTTCTTTTAATCTACAAATAAAAATCAGCTGTGAGAGGATGAGATCTTCTCGTTTTAATGCGCTGAAGAACAGAGGGCTAGGAAGCCCTCAGCTCACCCAAATTAGCTACTTCGCTTGCTTAAGAAAAATGCTTTAAATGCAAAGTGTGTTTTGGTAGATGCATTTTTTCTTGATGTCCTCGTGCTTATCGTGGTATTTATCGGTTGAATAAAGCCACGTTCCAGATGCTGTTTGCCTGCATTTTGATGGAAGTTCAATATGCATGTGAATGCACCTTGACACAAATCACAATTAAAGGCTCATCTAGGAATCGAGGAGTGTCAGTCAAACTTCCCTAATATGCAAAATGGAAATACCAAGTATATAATTGTTCAAACAAAAGTGAAAAATGCCACCTGCATCCCTGCTCGGCGTTAGGTAGCATTTGCTGTTAGTTGGATTTAATTCTTACCTGTGGCAGTCAGCCTGTCCTCAGGAAAACAAAAGATGTGAATGCAAAATGAAGTTCAGATCAATGGCTTAAAAATAGATTTCCAGCCTTTGGATTTAAAACCTGATTAATATTGATGATTTAAATAATTTTGGTTTAAATCAATCCCCCTGTATATAATTACAGCTGCGTGTCGGGAACACTGGGGTGAAGTCTTGGCTGGGTGACAGTGGAATAGAAAAACTGGCGTTGACTCCGCAGAGCCAGGGTTTTATGCTGTCAGTACGAGCCTTTCCACCTCCTCTCGAGGATGGGTGACTCACAAGGCACCTTGTCCTTTCAGGAGGGCAAAAAGCCCCGAAAAGGCTGCCCCATCACTGCCCCATTGAAGGGAATGCCTGGGGCTGAGCGGCTGCTTGGCAGCAGCTCCTCGGGGATGTGAATGCTCCTCTGTCTGGCTGTGAATGTTTCCCCAGAGAGCCCGATTTTCCTCATCAGCTGAGCGCAGCCCGTGTGAGGGGCAGGTTACCCCAAGGCAGGTTGCTTTGGCAGGAGCAGGTTGTCTGGAGACCGGCCTGCTGCTTGCCAGTCCTCTCTGATGTGGGTTTGTTGCCTCTGTACAGGGACTTTGTGCCTCTGCCTTGCCTCCTCGGAGGAATCGACCACTGATGGCCTCACTTCAACCTCCCTGCTGGAGTTTGCCATGATGTCCCATCTGGAGGCTGTGAATTCCCACGAGCAAACCAGCCCTGAGGCCACCGAGCCTGATCTCATCCCTGGCTCTCTGCATGCTGCCCCAGGATCAGGCTTTGCCAGCGAGGAGAACGAGGAGTCCAAGATCTTACAGCCCCCGCAGTACTTCTGGGAAGATGGGGGAGAGCTCAACGACTCCAGCTTGGACCTGGGACAAGCAACAGGTAGGCTATTTTTACCTTGTTCTTCCTCTCCTCTCCACCAGGGCTCTGGGGAGGCGAAGGGATGCAGGGATCTGTTTTCCTGCTTTGACACAACTCTTGCTAAGAGGGGTTGAGATTAAACGTCAGCTCTATTTTCTCACCTCAGTGCCTGATGTGTCCCCAGTGAACCCTGAGCAAGCACAGGCTTTAGAAATCAAGTTACAGCTGAGCCTTTATTCCTGAGCTGCTGTAAGGTTCCCTGAGCTGGGGGGGGGGGGGAAAAAGCATTGCATCCACCTAGTTTCCCATTTGCCTCACTCCCTTCTTTCTCTTTCACTCCTTCTCCCTTTTATTCTCTCATCTCCTTCTTTCCGTTGCCATCAATTAATTACGATCTAAAAGTCTCGAGACCCTGACTCAGAGATCAAGGCCATCTGAGGGTTTGACTCGCAGCTGGATCCCCTGGGCCAAATCCCGGATTCCTCACCCTGTGACTTCAGTGGGGATTTGGCCCAGCAGAAGACAACGTTTTTTTTCCCTTGGGCAGCTCTGCCCCGTTGCTGTCCTGTCTGCTCACTGGAGAGTCCAAGGCCGTGCTGAGCTTTTAGTGTTTCTGCTTGCTTTCCTCCGCGGATGTTTTTGAGCCTTGGTCCCCTCAGTGGTCTCCCCTCTGAGTCCCTTGTTGGCTTTGAGGTGTTCTTGGCGAGGGATGGGAGAAAGGAAGAGGAGTCTCTGCAGGGTTTCCAGTAATTTAGGAGATTATTTTGCATACTCCTGCTCTTAAGTGTCATGTGGGGCGTGTATTAAACGTTACCCAGTGGCCAGGCCTTCAGCTTTCTCCCTCCTCCCTTAGCCAGTATCGCTGCCTCCCTCCCAGGTCTGGAGTTAGAAGGCAGGAGTCTTGTTTTGGTCTCATCTTCACACCCACGTCTGACCTTAGGAAGAGCTGTGCTCCCCCAGGGCCAGGGTCTGCTGCAGTGCCCCGACTGGCAGCGCTGTGCCTCGGGCTGCCTGCTGGAGCCCAGGCCGTGCTCTGGAGGACAAGGACGATCCCAACTGAGGTCTCTGAAGCCCTCTGCTCACTTCATTGCCCTTCAGCTCCTCCAGCCACACTCCCGTGCCCTGCTCGCATTCGGCCCCAGGGCACTTGCAGGGCTGGCCGTGGGGAAGCCGTGCAGATGCTTCCTCTGCAGCGGTGCTTGCGGGGGATGTTCCCACCAGTGCATCCTTGGGACATGCTCTGGCTTAGCCGCTCTCACGAGCTGGCAGCGTGCTCAGCGGCGCTTTTATTGGTGTGCCAGCAGGCACCTGCGTGTACTCCCAGATCTGGACGTGACTTGGAGAACAGCGTGTGCTTGTGCATTGAGAGCGAGACGAGCTGGGTACCAAACCCAGCCTTGCCTCTTGCACGTGCCTCGCCCCATTTGTATGCAGAACATGCTCGTCTCTCCTTCCGTTCTCGCCTGCAGTGCTTTCCTACACGAACAGATGTGTTCTTTCAGCTGTCCTTTACACATACCCTGCCCGATCCACTGCCCAGTGCCTCAGTGCGTCCAAGCGCTGTTTTTTTTTTTTTTTTTTCCCCTGGCCACTGCTATGTCCACAGCTCATGTCTCAGTGGCATTTCAGAACCTTGGTTAATAGAACAGTTTGAATTATTCAGGAGCTGGGAGCACATTTCTACTTAAAATTTAATTAGAAACCTGCTGTGTGTCATTTTACTATAAAGGATATTGTAATAGCATCCCTAAATTGGGCAGCCTTCTCCTGTCATGCAAAGCCTGCGCATGAGACAGACACATAGCCAATGGTTCTTGTGTTCTGCATGTGTGACAGATGCCATGTGATACCTTGTGGAGCTGTGTAATGACATCTGTTAGGTTATTTTCAACCTATAAATCCATTAAACAGTTTCAAACAGCTGCTATTAAAAAAAAAAAAAAAGAAAAAGAATGTATACTATAAGTTCTCCTTAAGTAGGATTTCTCTCAGAATGACAGTGAAGTGGAGCCTGGCATAGCTGATATATCTGCCCCGGGCACAGATTTGAGACCCTGTATCAATCAAGGCACAAAACAGGATTGTTGTACTACCGGAGAGAGAAAAATTACTGCTCTGAAAGGAGACATGGAGCGCTGGCTTCCTTCCCTGTTTGCTCTAAAGATGCTGGGCCTGGAAGTGGTGGTCTTGCTGCAGATAGGCCAGATCTCCTGAGATTTCAAACTGGTATTAGTCATCTCTCCTTTTCTCTGTCCTTCTGAAGTCTGTGTGGGGAGACTGCTCTGCCTTTGTGTGACTTTGAGACTGAGAGAGATAAAAAGTAATAACAATCTGCAGCTGCTGCTCTTTTTTTTTAAAGTGCACTCAAACATCCTTTAAAAATATTTCTGGAAAACATGTGGCATCTACAGCCACCTGTTAGTCCATTAGAAAGTGAGAACGAACTCCCACTGGCAGAGCACAGCTCAGCCTGAGGCTCTGATTCTCTTGAATAACACGCTTTTGCTGATGTATGCTACAGAAGGGTAAATCTCTATTGACATCAGTGAACACCAGCCTGTGGAAGGACCCTGAGATTTGTCTTTTTCTGTCAGAGCAGACACAGAAGTGCGCACGTGCACATGTGCTAACCCATCGCTACCTCTTGGCTTTACTCTTCCTGTACAGCTGCTACCCAGTAGAGGTGCATCTGGAAAAGACGGAGTTAGGTCTGTTGGGAAAACGGATGCCATATCCTTACGGAAAAAAGCAGTGGATAACTGGTACTTCAGCCAAAAGGCAGGTCAGAGGAGCTGTGAACCTGCTGCTTCTGCATCCCACAGCCCTCAGGCTTCCAGGAAATCCAGAAGTTGCTCAGGTTGTAGTTTGGGTTTGCCTGCTTTACTTTGCCTTTGGTATCTAATTGCCCCAAGTCACAGATCAACCCTAAAGACGTAGTGGACCTTGCCTCAGGCTTTTCTGGCCTTCCTTTCCACCTTTTCCATCTTGTTTTGCCTGGAGGCTTCCGTCTGTAGTGTTTTCTACTATCATGCTGGATTTCTGGTGGAAAAAAATGCACCATCTCTTCTGGCTTTAGGGGTAGAAGATCGGAGTCATCAGGACTGCAGGTTCCTTCCAGTCCCTGGTTTCTCGTAAAGGCGTTGTGTGCTGTCACATCCATCCTGGGGTGCTCCCTGGTTTGCGTTCTCCATCAGAACACAGTGCCCAAAACATTCTGCTTCCAATGAAGGCTCTAGAATTTGGCAGCCTAATTATTAACTGGTGGGAAGTGTGGGCTCCCAAAAACTCGCAAGCCTGGCGGTGGGCTGGCAGCAGGCTCGCTTCCCTACGGCCAGAGCCTGCACTTCCAGCTCCTGGTTGTGCATTTGAAGCCCATGGCGTGACTGTGCTGGGAGCTATCAAATACACTCTTACAGCTGGTGATTCACCAGGGTGGCGTGCGGCACTTCGGAGGAGGAAAAAAAAAAAAGTAATCTTTTAATTATTCATAGTAATTAGTAGCAGGGATTTCCATGAGAGCTAGGATAAAGAATAGCAGGACAGACGAGCTAGAAGCACTGTGTCCAAAGAAAAATAAGTTTTTCAACGAACTAAAGGGATAAAATCTCTTCCACCCTCAACTCGTCTCTGATAGTGAGATTCACTTCTTTCTGTGATGAATTATGTGCCTCTGGCCAGAGAGATCCCAGTCTCTCCCAGCCTTACTGAAATCTGCTGCCTCTTCATCCAGACTGACAGCAAAGCTGCAGTTGTTAATACCATCTTCAACGAAGCCTTAATGAAATGAAGCACCTGGTAAAGGCTGTCTCCGTAAGAAGCTTAGCACTGAGCAGCCCCCTGCCTGAGCTCCGCTCCCGAGATGCCTCCTGTTTATGCCCTGCTTTTCCGTATGCTGACGCTCTGGGTGAGCTGCCCAGGGACGAGCTGTCTGCACCAAGCCAAGGCTGACCTGTGACTAACAGGGTTTCTCTGTGCATAATGTTATTTTAGTGCAGCTATCCCTGAGCGACTCCATGGTCAGGGGAGGGTGGCTTATTCCAGCCTTATTGCAGATCAGGCACGGAGCAGAAGAAAGGTGTGGGTCTTGTTGGGAACAGCTGTAGTGCTCTAAAGTTCCCAGTCTCCACCTGAAGCAACTTCCAAGCATAAGGAGAGGTAAAAGCTTTGCTGCCCTGGGTCTCTCTTTTAGCTGTGATTTCTTTGGACTTGCCTTGGAGTGGCAGCCAGTGACTTCTCCCCCCTCTTCTGGCAGATAAGGATATTAACCCCAACTGTTTCAGCTCCGCTCCCAGTAATTGCATTTTGCCTCCTTGTTATCCCCCTGCGATTCCAGTCAGGTGTAGCACGCCTTTTTTGCAACAAGCCTGGCTGCTCTGCACGGTACGACAGCAAGCAGGTACCACGGCAGAACTGGCTGCGTAGGAAGCAGCAGGTAAAACGCACCTTGTGCTTCGAGCTGTGTCGTGATGGAAGCCCAGGAATGTTCTTGTCTTTATTACAGTGCCGTCTAGTTATCAGTAATTCAATCACTGGTTAACGTGATCTCCCAGCTTAATCCGATAAAGACCTTATGGCCAGGTTATGCGCACTAAAAACGATGAGGCTCGCCCTTTTTCTGAGCTGTCTCGGTTGCTTTAAACAGTTCATAGTGGCAAATGCAGGTTAGGGGACCTCGCAGGGCAATAATGGAGCCTGGCTCTTCGGAACGAAGGGGAAGCAGAAGTGTAATGAATTAAATGTCTGGCTGGGAAATCGGGCTCTGGCAAAGAGCCAGGCCCTGGCCCAGCTGGTGTCAGGGGAAGTTTTGGGATCGATTTCAGGGGAAGCAGGACGCCACCTCAATGGTGGCTTCGCAGAGGTTTGGAGCTCATGTTCGCCTCTCCCAGGGCAAATCATCTCCCCAGGCAGAGGAAACGAATCCGTGCAACCCAGCCCTGGGTCTGCTGGGAGCTGCAGAGGGCAGGGGGGCTGTGCCAGATGGTTTCTGTGGGAAGCGGTGATCCTGGGGGTCTTTGGAGGGCCTGGAGGGGGAAAACCAGGGAGGTCTGGGGGGAGGAAGGCAGCTGGATGCTGCAATGTAATCCTGCCGTGGTAGGAAGCACCAAGGGGGCTGCGGTGGCCCGGAGGTGAGGTGGAGGTGTGGAATTTCATATCGGTGAGACGGGCTCCCGAGGGGCTGGTGTGGCAGGGACGCTGGGACAGGATGTGACCCAGAGGTGGGGCTGCCTGCTGCGCTCCTCTGGGCCATCCCTGCTGGGCTCTGGGGCTGAAGATGCTGAGAGTCCCGTGGGCAATTCCCCTGAGCTGTGTCCCTCTGGGAGAGGGCTGGTCCGCTGTGGCTTGGCTGCTTTTGTTGGTGGTTTGTAGGGGTGTGTGGTGGGCGCTATCTCTGCGTGTGGCCACAAGTTCCTCTCATGCTGCAACCTCCTGCTGATCTCAGCTGCAAGGCGAGCAGCTACTAGCGGTCCTTGCGAGATGTGAGAGGAGTTAAGGTTACAATCAGTGGGCTCTCACTGAAGTAGACAGGAGGAGGATGCTCCTAACCTAGCACACGGGACAGCAGAAAGGCTGGTGGCAAGTGGGAATGTTAAATCCGTTCGCAACGAGTGTGAGGGCTCCTGTGTCTGCTTCCACCTCGCTGGTTTGTTGCCCCAGAGAAGCAGTTGGGGTTCTGGTTTTCAGCTGCCTTGTAAGACAGAAGCCTGCTGGAGAATGGAATCAGTTCTCCTGGGCTTCCATCACCCAGCAGAGATGGCAGAGGCAGCAGGACTTCGGGCTCCTGTAGATCTCGTTTGTGAAAGGGCAGCACGGCTGCACCACGCGGGGCTTCCCCTCTCAGGAGCCAGCTGAGCTGTGACAGCACCTTAAGGAAAGGTCGGATCCGTGGCTTCAGGGGCCAGCTGAGAAGCTAGGAGTGTTTCCAGCTCCTGTGGGGTAAACCTCACACTGCTTTTGCCCCGTTTGTTTTTATTCTGTGCCCATCTGCCAGTTCGTGCTCTCTTCCCGCTGGGAGGAGGTGCAGAGGAGTCGAGAATAGCTGCCAGTGTCTTCAGGCAAGGGAGATGGCACACTGGATCACTGATCCCTTAAAATAATGCCTCATCTGACAGGGCCTTGTGTTAGAGGACGAAACCAGCATCTCTCACTTCACCCCAGCACATCAGGGCGGGCAGGGTTCCTGCTGAGGCTGGAGTTAAGCACATTTATCTAGCACTATCCCTTGTGTTCACGGTCAGAGCCACAGAACAACTCAGGGCTGAAGTTGGAGGGAGGGGAGCTGTATTTGTCTCCTGTTTCTGACTTGTGTATCCCTGCAGCAAAACTGCTCCTTAACCACATGGGAATCTCATGGTGCAGATATCTGTGGGATCACTTTTCTTCTGTGAAGCACTATACAAACTGAGGTTCTGCATTTCAGAGGTGCCCAGGTTGATTCAGGGTTTGGTGGCGTAACCTCGGCATGCCAGGGAGAAGGACGTGTTTTGCTGTGCTGTTGTTCTCTTCCCTAGTATTTCCCACTGAGCTCATGTCTGATGGCTCTTACAGCCCAGTATCTTTCTAAAACCCACGCAGAATGAATCCCTGGGTCCCAGCCTGATTCCTAACACTCATAACCTCACCTGAGAGAACGCTGGGTGTCAAAGCTGCTATTTGCAGCCCTCGTGGCTAGCAGGTCTGTGACAACACCTTCAGGGCAGAAAGGAGTGAGGAGAATGAAGGTAAGAATCTTCCCCAGGGAAAGCAGGGTTCACTGGGATGGGGCAGGGAGCTGGGTGAGTCCAGTAGCATACCGTGCATTTCCCAGTGCGCTGCACGTAGCAGGGGAGATTCTTTTCAGTGGCAGAATCTCTGCTCTTAAAGAATCTCTGCTGTTTGATCCCATCTGTGGCTAGCCATGTGCAGTGAGCCAGTTCTATGTTGTTCAGAGTTCACAGGTACTTAGTGTGTGACACGAAGTCTCTTGGATCTCTTTTTAGACTACAGCTTTCCTGCTGCCTCTCAGAAGGCCCTGCAGAAAGGGAACGGGACACAGGTAAAAGACAACTGGGAAGCAGCTACTGTCCATCCACCGGCAGAGTTTGTAGAGCCTGACTTGCACACGCCTTTCTCCAGCACGCTGGAGGAAGAAGAGGGGCTGCTCCCTATAGACCACTCGAGAGGAGGAGTGGAGAGCCTTCAGACCTCCGGGCCAGAGGTTACATCTTCTGAACCAGCGGGCCAAGAGGAATCCTTGCTCTCTGTCGTGTTTTCTACAGCTTCTGCCCGCCCAGGTGTTGTGACTGAGGCAGCTGTGGGAGGGCAAGAAGAGGACTCTGCTCCTCCCGGCTTAGACCTTGGGAGCAGCATGGGGCCGAGTCTCCTGCCAATGTCCTCTGTTTCTTCTACTGCTGCTGCAAGGTCTCCTGGTATTTCGGAAGAGCCCTTTGAGGTGACAGATGGAGACACGTGGGCTGTCGGGGGAGCATATTCTGAGCAGACTGTGACTACTGCAAGAGCAGAGCTCGCAGAGCCCACGGTGGAGGCTGGTGGGGAAGAACATTCAGCCCGAGAGGAGTTCTTGGAGACAACGGTGGGGTGGGAGATGCTGGAGCCCACAGTGCTGACTGAGCTTGAGCAGCCAGCAGAAACGCCCGTTTGGACACCCTCTCCTGGTGGCAGCTCCATAGACACCCAGACTCATTCAGGTGGTGAGCAGCACCCCGCTTCCCCTGCAACTCCGTGGGACAGGGCTGAGGAGCCCATGCAGGATCCTGTCTGGAATGACACAGAGCCAGCCACGGAGGCTGTGACAGCAGAGGGGAGCTTGTCGCCGCAGGCTGGGGACGCCCGCATGGCCCTGCTGCCGACAGAACTGCCCTGGGATTCAGCACAGGTAGAGCTGGGAGGGGGCAGAGGATGGGAGGTTGCACTGGAGATACTTGGCAGGGTATTTAATCCCTTACCCTTACCAGCCCCCTAAGTCTGACTGGTGGAAGTAGCTTTTCCTGCTCATCCAACCCAGCTCAAACTGAATTTTGGAGGGTTTCTCACAGCACTCCTTAAGGTACCTGTGGTCCCTGGGGAAAGCCCAGCCCCCCTCACATCTTCCCTCCTGAAAAATCCTGCTTCTAATAAACACCTTCCCTCTGGGGCACACGTGGCAGCGAGAGCTCCTTGTTTTCTCAGACTTCATTATTGGAAGTGTCAGGACAAAAACGGCCCCAAGGATTTCTGGCAAGGGAGTGAGAAGGAAGTGCTATTTTTGTGGCTGCTGCCTGATGCAGTCACCAGATGCAGAGCAGGTGGAGCAGGGCAGAGCGAGCTGTGAGGATGGTAGCCTAGGAGAGCCCGTGGGTGAGGAGGCGTGAGGTGAAGTACAGCTCCTGAATCCAGCAAACGGGCAGCTGGTAAAGGCAGGATAGCTAGGACGAGCAGGTTGGTGGAAAAAATACCAGGGAAAGCTTTTAATTTTTCTTTCTGCCCCCAAAGTACTTGGGACCCTGAGTGAGTGACTCAGTCCTGTGCTTCCTGCCCAGGCTGCAAGGAACTGTTCTCTCTCACCAGTTTAAGCTCCCCAGGGGCTCCTGGTTAGGTTTTGTGTTAAGAATTGATCACATATACAATAAGGCTGCAGGCTAGAGAGCTTTGCATCGAGTTCTCAACTCATCCTAAGCTCTGGATACGAGAGGAAGGTAAGCTGGGCTGTGGGAAGCTGGCACAGTAGCCTTGTGCAGCATGTGCTAGCACTGCAATGAAAGCAGCCAGTGTCCCGCATTACAAATGGAAGGGTGAATCCTCCGAAGTGCAAAGGGAATACAGATCCTTCCTTTGAGAAGCATTTCTCTGGGGCATGGCGCAGCCCCGTGCGTACCCCGTGCTTTCAGCAGAAGAGCTGCATTCGCTATGCAAACCCAGCTGTCTTTACGTCTTGTCTTTCCAGGTGATCTGCAAAGACTGGAGCAACCTTGCGGGGAAAAACTACATCATCCTGAATATGTCGGATAACATTGACTGTGTAAGTCAGTCCGCGGAGATTTGCTGGCATGGGAGGAACGGTGCTGAGAGGTGTGGAGGCAGGCACAGCTCCTGCTGTGTGCTTTCACTACAAAACATTTTAAAAGCACTAATTCTCAAAATCCCTACAGAGGCTGTGGAGAGAAGGACAAAAATATTCCCGTTCTCCAAATGGGGAAAGAGTGGGTGGATTTCACTCAGTCTAGACCGTGTCAGTTCCAGATTGGATTTTGACTAAGTCCTGGCTGCCAGTTTGTGCGTGTTCACCAGGTCTATCAGGAGACATGAGAGCTTCTAACTTTGCACCTTTTGCTTACAGGCAGTGTGGCAGGATTGAGGTGTGACCCTTCCTCCCTGTCTTTCTTTTTCTTCTTTCCCTTCCAGGATACAGGAACATTCCTCTGATGGCTCAGAGGAAAAAGGATTCCCCACTTGCAGTGTGAATGGTTCAGTATCAAGCAGCTGTCTCTAAATCTTCCTTAAGTGCCTCTTGTTCCCACCCCGTTATCTTGTGTGTTATCTGGGACTGTTAACTAGACATGCTCTGCTAATCCACTGCCTGTCCATCCAGCCCCGTAAAGCTGCCGTTAAATTCACGAGCCCAGAGCCCCTTGTGGATGTCTGGTAAAAGGGCTCATTCACCTCTGCCGGGCCTTTTAGCAGGCACTTTAAAACCAGTTGTGAAAGGCCTGGGGTCAAGGTGCCTTTCATAATTCTCAGAAATGATTACGAGCCTGACAGCCTGAGACCAAAATATTTCATCAGGGAGCCCCGCTCTGTCCTTGTGCGTCTGCACTCCTGCTTGTTGCAGCTCCTGCCGTGGGCAGGGGGGAGTGGTTTTGTTACTGCAGGGTGACCCTCCTGCACTGACCTATTTCCACTAGTGGTGAGCTTGTGGTGTGTCTTTTTGGGGCTCAAGGTGAAATTTCTGGGGGCAGTGCAAGCAGGTGATTTACAGCACAAAGCATGCTGCCTGCTGTACAGGCAGATTAAAAGTCAAGCCTCATTCCTCCTGACTTCAGGCAGACAGGTTTGCCCTTTGGAGAGCCCTAAGTGTTTCTGTTGCAGTTCGCAACTGCAACTCTGAAAACCAGTCCTTTTTCCTCCACATCCACCATTCCTCTTTCTACCATCTCTGTGGAGTTGCAGTGCTTATTAATTTTGCAAAACGTGGTAGCTTCCTTATTGTGGTCTTGTGTTGTTTAAACCAGTGGAAGGGCGAGAGCTGAAAAGAAGGCGTGGAGATGTCCCTTGACAAAACTGTGCCTTTACTGGCGGATCCTCAGTTCTGTCATGCTGAAAGAAGGAAGTGCCCTGGGATAGGCAGGCCTGAACTGTTTTTCTACTTGATTTCATGTTTCAAAAAATATTTCCCAATGGGTCATTTGTACTTTTTTCCCCTTTATGTTGACAAGTGTCCCTTAGAATCTGTATTTAACATGAACATTGCTTCATTCCCTGTCTCCCATTACCACTTTGCATGGCTGAAACTGGAATCAAGCCTCCTCCTCTCCACCGCTGCTGGCAGTTTGTTTCCTACCCATGGCAATTTGCTCACTTGGGGCAGTTCACCTGTCCTCTGCCTCCCCCTTTTGTTTTCTGGTTTCTGTGTCCAAGTCCTGCACTGTTTGGATTTCTGGGGCTGTGGGGCAGAACCTGCGCTGCAAGTGCTGTAGCTTGAATTAGCATGAGGAGATTCCTCAGATATTTCCTCTGTTTTGATGCCTGATCTGGTGCAGTGCTGAGGGGGACAGGGAGGGTGCCAGCCCCTTGCAGTCGCACCGTGAGCTTCAGTGTTCTCCGTAGTGCCAGGCTCTCACCTGCTGCAGGGTCGATGCCTGTATTGCAGGGTGCAGCTGGCAGCTTGACTTCCTAATGGGAAGTTCCATCTTCCTGATGGGCAAGGCAGTCGCTTCAGTCCCTCTCGGCACATCTCCCACTCGGTATACCTGGGGATTGTGCCCGGGAGAGGACTGCAGGATCTGACCTGATGCTGGGAGGTGACTGCCATGTGGGCTCACGTGTGTTCAAAGGAGAATCCATCAGCGCTCTGCACCCTCTGCTTTCCCCGTGAGGAGAAATCTCACCCCCGTTGTCCCTTTGCTCCTGGAGCCAGGCCCCAGCCAGTGGTGTCTCTTCCAATTAGGCCGTTTTCGGCACAGGCCTGTCCCTGCCCTGAGCGCTTCGCATTGCCGTGGCAACGAGAGCTCTCCATTTTATTAATCATCTGTGCGGCCTTCGGGTTGACATGGCAACTGGAGATAAGAATAGAAACACACGAGTGGGAAAAGCAGCAAAGGAACCCGCCGAGGGATGGCTGGAGCATGGCAGGCTGAGCTGCGCCTGCTGACCGGTGCTGGCAGCGGGGAGAAGCCCAGCTGATTCCTGCCTGACATGGTGGTGGTGGTGCTTCATGGTCCCTGTGTGTCGGATTTGGTGTGATGTGGGGTGTCTGGCAGCCGCAGGAGCCCAGCAGGAGGGTTGGTTGATCTGTCCTGAGAGCTGTGAGGGGCAGCATTGCCCCAGGTTTAGCATTGCTGGCTTTGGGGTGCAGGGGTTTTGCCATACAGACACATCAGCCCTGTTGTGCTACACCTGCCTCATTCCCACCACGTGCTCACCAAGGTCCCTTTCCCGTGGCAGGAGGAGTTTCGGCTGGAGAGGGGTCCCCAGCTGTTGGCGCTGGTGGAGGACGCCTTCTCCAGGCAGACGGACGGACTGCAGGACCGCTGGCTGATCTCCCTGAGCAAGCCCAATGAGAACGAAAAGCACTTGCTAATGACACTGGCGGGGGAACAGGGTAAGTGCGGGGAGGAGGAGTCTTCCTGTCATGGGGGCTGTTTTTAGGGGGCTCTCAAATCCCCTAAGCAGAGCTTTTGCTCTCCCATCCCCTTCAATCCCTCCAATCCCAAGCATTAAATGGACTTGAGTGATAAGAGTGGGCTCTGAGGACTTAAGACCCTTTTTTTTCACATCTTCCTTCTGGCTTGTCCCTCGCTGCTTGCACCAAGCTCTCTTCTGCACTTTGCTTCCTGCTTCACTCCCTCCCTGGATTGCCTTCACACATCAGCTTCCTCCCCGTGCTTCTGCACTGTCCTCCATGAGCAGGCCTCTGCCATGGCAGGGCAGGCAGCCTGCTCTTAGGTCACTTCTTAACTTATCCCCAGAGAAACTAAAACTGATGATGAGAGGTGAATTGAGCTGGGGAATTTTAACACCTTCATCCCCTTCTGGTAGGAGCGTGCTTCTCCTGTACTGCTTCTGCTCTGTTCTACAGGCCTCTAACATTGACATTGTGGCCAATATGAAAAAAGCAGTATTCTAAAATGCCCTGTAGTAGTAGGAATGTAGAGCTAATGTTTAGAAGTTACTTGTTGTATCGATGCCTTAAATTATTACATCTCTCCCAAGCCCTTAGGCTGGATCATGTGCCAATGAAAAGGCTTAGGTAAGCATTTGCTCTTCTAAAATAAAGCCTTCAAGCTGTAAGAGTGGACATCCCCCTTCCTGGAGGAAAAAAAAAAAAGTCTGAACAGCAGCACAGCCAACCTGGGAGATATCCCTGCATTTAGAAACCTCAGGAACCAAAGTATTTTCTGCTTTGAAGAGTTGTGCTTTTGTTCAGTCCCTCTTTTTACTGCTTTGCAAGTGAATGTAGAAATGGGCCTCAGCCTCTAAATCCTCCCTGGCTGCTCATGCTCGCCTGGCTTGGAGAACAACCCAGGAACTGTTGGGGAAGGAGGGTCCCAGGAGGGGCTGGCTCAGTGTGGGCTGGCAACTCCCTGGCAAAAGCTGTTCCCTGAAGCTGTTCCAGCACACCTCCTGCAGCCTCTGCTGTTGTGTCAGGGATGCAGCCTCGCCAGGGTGCCCTGCCGAGCAAAACACACCTGCTAAAGGATGCAGTAGGTGAGCATGGTGCTCTGTGGGATCATCCTAAGTGCTGCAGCTCAGGATCAGAGCAGGGCAGCTGGACTGGGAAGCACAGGTACCTGCCTCCACGACTCTTCGGATATTGCTGCTCACGGAGCAGACACAGATCCTGAGAGCTTCTGTGGCTGTCGGAAGGGTACCTAGGTGCCTCCAGTATCAGTTCATGCCTGTTTTTTTTTTTTTTCCTTCCTTAAGGAGCATTTGAAGGTATCTTCGGTTATGGTCCTTGCATTCTTTTGATCTCCTAACATAAAGTACCAATGAATAAAAATGCGTGTTCCTCTTCCTTCATCCTGTTGGGGATTTTGAGTACATCTTAACCGAGTTAACGTGAGCTGAAAAAGCAGCACTGATCTCTCCCTCTCCTTCTTTGCAGGTGTCATCCCTACAAAAGATGTTCTCATGGCACTGGGAGATGTTAAGAGGAGCTTAGCTGAGGTGAGAGCCTGTCTGCCTGCATCTACCCTTCAAGACTAGCTATACAATTAAAATAAGCACCTTGCAAACTGGGAGCACATCTCAGTCTAACCGAATGCTGAACCCACAGCAGGCGCACAGATGAGTCAGACTCTTGGCAAACTCCCTTCTGCCCTCTCTGGTAGTTGCCAGATCATCAAATGTCTGCTCCCAGGGAGAGAGTAGCTGTGGGTTATTCCCTCTCTGCTTTTCTGGCTTAGTTTTGAAGCTGCTTTTCATAAATTCATTTTGTTGGGATACTTGGTCTCATACTTTCCACACTCTTGCCTAGTGGGTGCTGCAGAGCCACAGATTCAGCCCTGCTCACCCTACAGCTGATTCACACATGCTGGCTGCTCCCAGTTGCTCAGTCTTTGCTGAAGAAGGTGGGAGGGGTCCATTTACTGTATGGGACACATGCACAGTCCTCCTGCAATTCCAGGGTCTGTATTTCACTTCTTAGGATGAAGACAAGAACTGTCTCCACAAGGGCAGGCAATGGATGCCAGATTCCACTGCCAGCTGCCCGTAGCCCTCACATATTCACTTTTACCCATAGGCAGCTTGGAAGAGGGCAGAGATGAGAACAAAACAGTCCTGTGATCTCTGAGTTTGCCCCTTAGGCACTGATTCTCCTTTTTAACATTCCTGGAGTAATTCTGCTGACTTTAGCAGCAGAAATGGGCCACCACCTTGCTGGATGTCTGCTCCCAGGTTTTTCCCTGACCTAACAAACTGGTGCAGTTAGACAAAGCAAATTAAGTGCGCAGTGCGGTATTGATTGGCTTACACCAGAGACAGTGCTAAAAGCCAGTGCCTGTAGAAATAGTGTGACTGAAGTATCAACACCTAGAACTGTCCAGAAAGAAGATTCCTGTTGGTGTAAGGTTTGACTTCTGTGTACAACAGCGCTCCTGCCTAAGCATGCATCCCACCACAGTAGCCACACCGCCTGCCTCTGGCTCTCCAGCTCCATCAATAATGAAACGCTGCTCCCTGCCTTGACCTTGTGCTAGCACAAGCTCGGGAAGAGGCGGGAGGATATTTTCTTACACCCATCATACTTGTTACTGAATTGATGTGTAACCTGTCTGGAGTGCACCAAGTCACAGGGAATGGCAGTTGGGCTTTGCTGACAACCCCAAGGGAACTCTGAAACTTCTGTGGTTTCTGCCATGAAAGCCTCCTGTCTCACACATTTGTGTGAGCCTTGTGCAAGCAGCCAAGGCAGGGTTGTGCCTACTGTCATTTACTGATTTGTCAGCTCCCAAGGATGGTGGTGTTAAATTCGGTCGTGTTCCTTCTCATCATGCAAGACAGCGAACATCCTGGCTCCCTAACCCTGGCTTTTAGTTCCTCTGCCCACAGTGACGGTCCTGTACTTAAGCTCTGGAAAGTCTGAACAGGATCCCACCTGATTGCAGGCCAGGGGTTTCAGTGTGCCCCTTCCTTCCTTCCAGATTGGCATCCAGAACTACTCGACCACCACAAGCTGTCAGTCACACCCCAACCAGACACGCAGCGATTATGGAAAGCTCTTTGTGGTACTGGTGATCATTGGATCCATCTGTGCCATCATCATCGTGCTGGGGCTCATATACAACTGCTGGCAGAGACGCCTGCCCAAGATGAAGAACATGGTGAGCGCTGGGTGGGTGGGGAAGGTGGCTGGACTCATTCCTTGGGATGGAGGGGAAAACTGGGAGAGATTGTTTTCCCTGTGCACCTTCTGAATGTAGCTGGATACGCTGCCAGAGCAGCAAGGAAGCCCACTTAGGCATAAGAGAGATGCAAACCTGTGGCTCTTGCTGTGCTCATGTCTCCCAGGAGGCCAGGAGTAAATTTACCTTTTCCACATGATGATCTGCAAAGTCCCCATGACCCTCATAACCTGATCCAATTGTGCCTTTCAGCATCACTAGGGCCTGTCCTTCCTTGTCTCCATTTGTGTTCCTCTCTTCCTCTGCAGTCGCATGGCGAGGAGCTGCGCTTTGTTGAGAACGGCTGCCATGACAACCCCACCCTGGACGTGGCCAGCGACAGCCAGTCAGAAATGCAGGAGAAGAAGCCCAGCGTGAACGGTGGGAACACCATCAACGGCCCCGACAGCTGGGATGTCCTCATCAACAAGCAGGCGAGCGAGGATGTGGATGTGTTTGAGGAAGACACGCATCTTTAGAAGGAAAAGAGAGAGAACCACCCCCTTAAATACACTTGTCTCTCTCCTGTCTGAACTGGTGGACCATGGGATCAGGTGGCTTCTCAGGAACTTTTTAAAGGCTTGGGACTGGTCAAGTCTTTGGGCAAGTTTTCCCGACGGAAGTCCTGAGCCTGCATCTGAGGCTTGGAGCCAGGAGGATCACCGAACAGAGGGAAGCGGGAGGGGTGGGTGTGTAGGTCTCTGTGTGTGTGTTCCTATCAGTAGCACCAATGCTTTCATCACCTTTCAAGGCACTTACTGTAGCTCTCTGGTAGTGGCCGAAAGTGGCTGGGCTTGAGAAACAAGGAGGTGAGGCTAAGTCTGCCACCAGGAGCTCTGGGGAGTAAGTTCACTTTGGGAGTCCAGCTGGAATTACGGCAGCCAGATCCTGACCTTGCTACATCTGGATTTGTATCTGTAGAGCTGAGGTGGCGTCCAGCCCCTGCAGGTGCAGTAGAACCCGTGCACCATTCTGGATGGAGAGAGCCACAGTTTGTTTGATGTCCTGGGCAGAGTTTGCATTCCACACATAAAAAGAGGTTTTTGGTGTTTTTGTTTGGTTGTTTTTTAGCACTCTAGCGTTCAGCTGCTAATTGGATGGGCCAATGTTTATATCTGGGAAGAACATCCTCCTGTCATCTCTTTTTTCCTCACACCCTCAAAGAGCTTCTCTCTATCCCTTTTCCATTTCACAGCTCCAAGCTGAGCTTGCAAAGTTTGAGCACTTTACCCTTGCTTCACTGATTGCAGAAAACTTGGTGCCATGGTGCAGCATCTCAGCTGGAAACTTGCTTTAGGCTGGAGAGTTATTCAATAAGGACATTTACCTGCCTCTTTCACCTAACAGCCTGTGAAATCAGCAGCAAAGTATCCCTTGTGTAAGTCTCAGTCCTAGATTGGCAGGCCTTTTCTACTCCTGTTCCATTTTCCAGGATAGTTTGGTTTCAGTTGATCTTTTTGAGGTAAATGTAAAGGCTATGGGAGTCTTTTAACAGGGAGAAAAGTGAAAGCTCAGATAATTTTCTGGTCCTTTTATTTCCTTTTCAGGATCTTGCCTTGGGGTGTGAAGTGTTTAATGTCACATTGGTGTAAATCAGGGTAACATCTTTAAAATTGCTGCATTCAAACAAATGTAAAAGCCTGTTTAGATGAGATGAGAATCAGATCTAAGAGCTCCCCAATGAATATTTCTCAGGCACGCCTCAGGCAACTTTGAGGCCCCAGCTCCCTGAAGATGTGTGATAAAAGGCACGTGAATATGCATAATTGTTCTCTGAGCCCTGCCTAAATCAAGACTCAGAACTACTTTCAAGCCTGAAATCCCAGAACATTTGTTTTTTCTCTCACTGAGGGATTGAGGGATTTACTTCGGTCAGAGGCAACAGTATTGGTCTCTGCTTTGGTGAGCTGCTTGCTTGCTTACTGCAAGATGCAGCTTGCCGTTTGGTATTTAAGGGAACCTTTGTACAGAAAGACTCCAGATATGCAGCCTGTAAATCTATCCCTGTACATATACGTATTTTTAGCATGCTCATCCCTGATGTGAGTGCCTAGAGTCAAGGTACAAAAGAGTCTGTTGTTTCATTTTGCATAGCGCTTTGCATACAAACTGAATCGCAGACCGCCTCGATGTAGGACCAGGTCAATAGCAGTCTATAACGCATTCAAGAGATAGCCTTTGGTTTCCTATCCACATTGCAATTTTCAGTGTTTATCCTGCCTCCTTACCTTTCCCTGCGTTGTGTAGGAGATGGTGACCATCAGCTCCTTCTGTATCTTGGTAGAGTTACAGAGATGCCCAGAGGAGTTCCTTCTCCTGCCCCAGCGGTTGGCAGTGGGTGGCTGGCAGGGGGGACAGTCCACACGTGTGTCCCTTCGCTGACCACCCCTTGGAGATGGCTCCTGCTGAATTTGACGGGTCCGTGCAGTGAAACTGCACAGGTTCAGTGGCTGTGTTGAGGGCATCTGGGGGCTCATGGGTTAAATGCAAGTTGTTATGATACGGTGAGTAAATTTAAAGCATGGAGTTAAAATTTGAGTTTGTATAGCACTTAGCATAACGGGGCCTGGCATGGCTGTGGCCTTTAGGCAGTTTCACTGTATAAATGTTTCTAAGTCCAATAATCCTCATTAAATACGTTTTTATAACCCAGTGGCTATTAAAAAGATACAGCCACCAATCAGATGTGAATTAGCTCACCCGCAAAACACTTTCTTGGTGCACTTCATTGCTAGGAGCCGCTTTGCTGCCTCATTTTCTCTCTGCATTACTAATTCAGACAAACAACAACATGCTGATAAAGTAATGCTTCTTGTTGAGCTCAGTACCTCCTGATCCTGTCTATGTCTTCAAACTTTGAAGAAAGCACCTGGGGGACACTTGGGCTTGTTAAGGAGCTAGCAAGTTCTCCTGGCTTGCTGCTCTGGTTTCTTACAGCCTGACTGTATTCCAGGGACTGTAGTGGACTCTTCTGAATCTGGAGTGCTCCGGAGTATCTTGAGAGTGTCTAAGGGTGGCTGTCACGAAGGTGAGAACAATCTTCTGATGTCTCTGACTGGGTGCACTTAGCTGTATGATCTCAGTTTATCTCTGGAAATCTACTGGCTAATACAATTTCCTTGTAGTCTGGTGATACTTTTTATACCTTTTCCATTTGTTTTTTCTCTGTATCCTTTTTTGCACTAGGCCGATCTTGTTAAGTCAATTGCACTGTTGTCCTCTCCTGCAAGCCCCGCAGATGGGTCATCTCCTGGTACCTGTGGGCTGGGAAGTGCTGTAGAGAGGCTGTCTGTAGCCCATTTCACTTTATTGTTCAGTGCTTGGATTTCCAGCTCTGTACCGGGAGGATTTGAAAAGGAAGAGAAACTTTTTGTTTTATCACTTGTAACGGGAAACTTTTCTATCAATTTAATGTAGTTAAACTTTGTAACAAAGACTGTCAAAGCTGGACTGCTCAGAGGGGTGTGCCAGGCAACAGAGCGGATAGAGAAGACAATGTAATTCCTGGAAAACCCTTTTCCACCTACTAGGACTTCACTGTAGTCCCATCTGCCAAACGTTTGACCGCACTGACACCTGGTGGCTGCTGGGAGTTGGAGACAAAAAATAAAACGGAACTTTTTTTTTCCTCCCCTCTTATCTATGGATATTTGTTTGCTGCGACTTGCCTAGGACACGGGAGGTTGCTGGAATTGCTTGTGAGCAGAGGGGCTGGCACCAGGCACGTGAGGGATGGTTTGTGTGAGGATGTCCCTGTCTGCAAAGCAAGGAGATGGGATGCTTCGTGGAGGCACCAGGCTAGAGGCCCTGGACAGCCAGCTCAGGGTCACAATTTTGTGTGCCCCCTTTCTCCTCCACTTGTCCCCTCTCCTCCCATGAAACATGGCCAGAAGTCAGAGGCTCTGCCTGGAAAGGAAGGTGTTTCATCCAAGAGCACAGCAGGGGTGCTGGTGTGAGGAGCTGTGCCCCAGAAACATGGTGATGACAGTGGTTGGATGCACGGCTGGGGGCAGAGCCGCTCGCCACCTCAGTGGGACAGGGGCAGCCACGGTCTGGGTTGGCCATGCTGCTGCTTGCTTCCAGACATTGCTGAGATGTCAAGAAGAGGGTCTGTAATAGTACAGTTCTGTGTAGTACAATGTGCTGGGGCTTTGCATCCCACAGCCCTGTCTGTATTTCAGCACCGTGTCCGTCCTTTTGGGGTCAGAGGCAGCTCAGCCCTTCAGCCCCACCAGCCGCGGTCACTTCGTCGCGGCTCATCCCTGCCTGCCTTTGCTGTCGTGCTTTTTCAGCCTCATAACCACCTCATAAACACCCCAGCCCCAGCTGGAGATCGCTTAGAAACACATATTTGGCCCTGAGAGCGCCACAACCATGTTTTTATTCCCTTCACACAACCCTCGCTCACTGTGTGCCCCAGCGCCTCACCCCGGGGCCGCCTCACCCCGCTGCCCCTCAGGCCCCGGCCGTTGCTCCTCCGGGCCGCGGGAGGGCGGCGGCGGGGCCTCTCTCCTCCCTTTTTTCTCCGCCCTGTTTACATCCAGCACCGTTTCCGTCCCCTCCGGTCCCTCTCGGTCCTCTCCGGTCCCCGCTCTCCCTTCCCCGGCCCGGCCCAGCCCGATCCGACCCAACCCGGCCGCCCTCCCTCCGCCCGCAGGGTCAATGCGGCGCCGCCGCCCCGCCGCCTGTCCCCGGCCATGGACACCAGCGACTTGTTCACCAGCTGCAAGAAGGGGGACGTGAGCCGTGTGAGGTGAGCTTTAGGGACACGGAGGGGACAAGGGGGGGCTGCAGCCGCTGCCAGCGGCTCGTCCCCGGCTCCCCCCTCAGCCCTCGGGCGGGCTGGGGCTGCCCCGCAGCCGGGAGGTGGAAGGGGCGTGGACGGGAGAGCTCCTTTCTGCGTAAACAGCCCCAAAATTTGTGTGGTTGCAGGGTTTTTTGCTGTTCCCTGGGGTTTGTCGTAATGTTTGCTTCGTTTCTTAAAATTCCCCAGTCGGGTGGTTATGTGCGGGTGCTGTCTGGGGTAAAAATGTCCTTGTGGAAACGCCTCGTCTTCAGTGATCTGTGTGTGGCTGGGCGCTGTGTTTGCAGCAGTAGGGAGCTGGGTCTGTGCAAAGTGCTCATCGTGTAGATACTCAGACACCTTGTGGAGTAGGCTGTGGGCGTGTCCCCAAGAACCTGGGGGGCTAAATTTCAGCCTCAGCCTGCTCACGGTGCCACCAGGTGCCGCGGTGCGAAGGCACGGGGTGACCCCGCACACCTCCGCTGCCTCTCACGGCCTCTCGGCTCCTGTTAGATCCTTCCAGCGCGTGGATCTTCCCCAATAATCAGACAGAGCCCCTCTGTCTCAAGGAGCTTTCTAACTAAAGAGAAGAAACTTGGTGGATGAGGTCTGGGAGGCGGTTTTATCAGTTGTGTGTTCACGTTAGCTTAGTTTATTGCAAGCGCCAAATCGCAGCATGCTGTAGAAGGAGAGGCCCTGCACATGACCTTGCGGAGGTTTTAGATAACCAGCGGAGAAGTGATAGTGGAGAAATCATTGGGCTGGGAATGCTGTCAAAGCAGAGATGAGCGCCGCATGGAGCCAGACAAAACGGGCTGAGTAGAAAGGATCTGAGCTGTTTGGGGTTTGGATGGAGTCGCAGGAAGCTGAAGTTTGAGGAAGGAAAGGCAGAAGGAGTGGAAGAGGGAACTGATGTGGTGGATGAGGAAAACAACTGAGAATCTGTGTGAGGGCTGAGGGGAACTCTCCTTTGTGGCTAGGAGAGACAGCTGGGGCTGTAATTGGGGGCAAGAACCAGGCTGGAAAAGAAACTGGCTGGAAAAGAAACAGCCTGTGCAAGGCAAAGGCTGGTTGCTAGAAGTGCCAAAGGACAACAGTTGGCAGCCTGTGATATAGCCTAAATGTGCAGGACAAGGAAGTGACAGGAATTAAGGGCAGTCTGGAGTGATACTGATGTTGTTGTTACTCATGGTAAGAAAAGCCATAAACAGGGTAGAAGTCTAGCCTTGTTCTTGTAAATTTGGCTACTTGCTGGTAAGCATCCAGGCTGTGAGCATTTAAAAAAAAAAAAAAGAAGGTACTGCTGAAGTGCTCATTCTTCTTTTTTGACTGGCCTTGTTATGGGTCAGCAGGAGGTTGATTTGATCACCCTCTTCCACTACTCACCACCTAAGATTGAAGGAAGCTGTCAAGCCACCCTGAAGAATGCTGTTCTTTGTTTGACTGATGTCACTTGATCCCTAGGTTGAATGCAAGATCTTGTCGTGCCTTTGGAAGTTACCACCCAAACTCAAAGCCCCATCTTTTTAAAGAGAAGAATGTGCCTGTGAGTGAGCAAGTACAAGAAGTTATGACTGTGCTCTCCCTTCTCTTCCAGATACCTCCTTGAGCAGCGAGATGTGGAAATTAATGTCCGAGATAAGTGGGACAGTACGCCTCTGTGAGTCCTGCAACCTAGAGCACGGCCTGGGTGGGAGGGCAGGGCATTCAGAGGGCTTTTGCTCTCTTTGCATTACAGCTAGAAGCTCTGTTACAAAATGTCCTGGGTTCTGCTTTGTGAGAGATTTGGCTGCGTATTTCTGCTTCTCTCCTCTGTGTGTGCTGTGATAAATATGTCTTTGTCTCCCCATCTGAGTGTCACTTGCTGGAGTTAGTGCTCAGAAGCATGGTTAGTGCTTCCAAATGACCTGGATTGAGCTGTCTGTTTTTGGCCTGGCTATGCTTTTCTTCCAAGTCTATGGCATCCAACTGTGTCTTTTCAGGTAAAGGTGTGACATGATAAAATGCAAAGTGGGATCGCTGTCTGTCTGGTGAGGTTGTGAACATGCAGTAGGTAGTGAAGAATCCTCAGAGTTGAGGAGGATTGTATGAGCTTTTTTCCTCCCTACATCCCAATTCCAAAGTGTACTTAGACGTCTGCAGTATATTTGGAGTATAGAATAACTTTGCAAAGTAAAAGTAGGGTCACATTTGCCTGCTGCAGTGCAGGATGCAGGATTCTCCTAGTCTGTAGGACAATTTCAAGTCCTCATGAAAATTAGTTAGAAAAGGTTTAGATTGTGAAAAGGAAAACAAAACCTATCACAAGCAAGACTTCAAGGGATGGGTTTTCTGTACATACATTAGGGGTGCTGTTCCCTCATTGTCCTACCATGCAGCAGTCAGATGGACATACCAAGGAGCAAGGAGAATTCAGCGGAATTGCTGAGTGCCCATGAAATGAACTCCATTAAAACAAGGAAGCAGATTTGGCAGCTAGTGATGAAACAGAAGATGCAAAACCCAGACTTGGGACCTTGAGATCTCCTTGTAGGACAGCAGTGCCTATGAGTGTTGGAAACAGATCCTGTTTATTCTATTGTTTGAGTCAGACTTGCATGGTATTCAGGAACAATTCCTCGTTTCTATGAGGAGCCATCTTCTAAGCTTATCATGGATGGCTCAGTGCTGAGGTCTGCATGTTGTGGTGTGCCCAAACACTGAATTTTGCTTCCCATTTTATCACTAATTTTCCTTTCTCTTGTTTTTGCTAGGTATTATGCTTGCCTCTGTGGACACGAGGAGCTTGTACGCTATCTTCTAGCCAATGGTGAGCAAAATTATTCTGGTTATCTCGCTCCCTACTGGTCTGTAGGGATTATATATTGTTCTAACTGTACCTTGTGGAAACTTCTACTTTAATGAACCATCTAATCACTAATCTCAGGCTTTAGGGAAGCTTTTAAATATATATATATAAAATATATAAAATGTTTTTGCAGTCTTCTGATAGCCTTGCTTCATATACAGGACTTGAAGGTGAAAAGCAAGGACTTTGGCTAACCTGAATCAAAGCAAGGCAAACCATCCAGGCAGTGTCTGTCCCTTTGGTTCTTGGCACCTAAGTTCCCTTACACAGTGGTGGCACTCTGCATTCTGGCAGAGGAATCAGCGTGCAGAGTGAGATCTGGAATATTTGTTTCTCTCACTGCATTTGGTGCACTTTAATCTGCCACTCTTGTACGTCTAAAATAGGAAAATGCAAGTGCCCTTCAAATCTGTAATAGAGTCTAATCTAAAGAGGCGTCTTTTGTCCTCCTGTTAAAAGTCCAAAAAGTGATTGTACTCTTTGTACAGAGAGATTCTTCTCCCCAGAACATTGCTGGAATCATACTGAGTGGCTTATTACCAAAGTCAATTTAAATGAGTCATGACATCTTCAGAAAGGAATTATGTGGTGGGAGTACAGCTTTAGGTTATGCACATGTAGTGGGAATTTAATTTTCATAATTGTGCTCAGCAGCACAGGAGATCACAGAGAAATGTGCCATCAGCTGAAAATTGTACTTGTTTAGTGACCATTCAGGGACACATGAAAGACACAACTCTGCCCTCCAGCATGTACCTGTTGTCATTTTGCAGGAGCAAAATGTGAGGCAAACACTTTTGATGGGGAACGTTGTTTGTATGGAGCTTTGAGTGATGCCATCCGACGTCTGCTGAAGGAGTACAAACAGATCACAGCGAAGTGCATGAAAAGAGACTACTACGATGTCTTCCTACAGCGGTAAGCAGATGGGACAGCTCTGTGTGCAGTGCATACTGTCATCCTTCCGTAGCTGTTAACCTGGATATTCAAGCTCCCTGTTAAGGGCTGATTTGCAAGGCAGATGATCAGAACCTTATCTCATTCCCGTGCACGTAGAGCTTCCTAGGGGCACATATTCCTATGTCACCCTAAGGCTGACTTCCAGGTACACATGCATTGAAAATATAGCCTTTGGGTACAGGTTCCAGAGCCAACAGAAAGTGGGACTTTCTAACACAGAAGCATTAGACTGTCATCCTTGACTGTCAAATCTAAATCAGGTCACCAAAACCACATCAGTAATTTAGGATAAATGACAGCTAAAATTAAGTTTCTGGCCTAAAGTACTATCGCCCGCAACCAAGGTTTCCAACAGTGATAATAGGTGTCTTATTTCTGAGATGCTCAGTTTGGGCTTCTTAAGGTGCTCTTACAGGCAGGTTGCTGAGCTCTTTCTTTTTGTTCATTAACATTTAATTAAAATGTGTTAATTTTAAGATGTTTCTGAAAGTTACCTGTCACACCATGTAGTCTTAGCCTAGAGCTCAAAAAGAAGCCTAACTTGCTCTACGAGTAGAGGAATAGTGTCAGTCTTTCTCTCGTGCTGTTTTTCTACCCTGGAAGTTCTTACATTATTACACAAACATTTTTTTTTTATTAAAAAAAGTAATAAAATAAAAATAATAATTAAAAAAAAAAACACAACCACAGATTTCAGCATTTATATCTTCAGATTTGGAGAGAAAGCAAGTCCTGGAAAGATCTGAAAATCTTCCCATTACTACAGAGTCCGAATTTCTAAAGCCGTGAGAAAAGAGTGGAGGAAGGAAACTTACTTGTCTAACTAAAATCAGATTCTGCCTTATGTGGAAGTAGAGTTTTGCAGGGTGATCTGTCACTTCCCGACGAGTTTGTGGCTCAGATAATGCAAGGTTACACATGAAAACCAAAATGTGCTGTTTTCCACTTCTCATTCCAAACAGATTTAGCATTAAAATTGAAACAAAGGGCAACAGTAGGGGGGCAAAAAATTAACACCTAACTGTTTCCATTTCATTTTGGACACGACAGTAGTAGGAGGGATGTAGTGGCAGGAGCTTGAGATCAGCATTCAGGACCCTGCTGTGATATCATCTGCTTGCATGACCCCCACGCCTTTTTGTTCATCAGTCCTGCTCTCTAAAGGGAGCATGGTGCTTATTTCTCCTGCCTCATTTGTGAGGGATGTTTGTGAGGATATTAATGCAAGAGGTGATGGATGTTAGGAAACACTGGTGAGGGATGCCAAAAATCTTTTAAGTAGCAATCTTATTTTTCTGCTTTTCAGGAGTGAGGGTATGGGCATGCAAACATAAACAGGGCTTCATCTCTTATGTGGTAATCGCCTGTGTTTCATGCCTGTAACATCCTTCCTTCTTCTAAGGGTGTGTGATCTCAAGTCCCTTCCTGTTTGGTGCATGGTTAATGCATGCACACTGACAGTGGCCAGGGAGCAGAAAAGTTATACCTTATCTCGTGGTGGGGCAATTCTTTTATGAAAATGTGTGCTTCTCTGGGTCATGAATGCTGGTTGTCATATGATAGTTTAAAAGTAGGATTAACCTTTAGAAGATGTGTTTGGGGGCAGCTAGTCCCTTGTTAAAATCCTCTGCCTGTGTTCAGGGGCTCACCTGAGGCAGGAAAGTTCTTCCTCAGTCTGCTTTTTACATATATTATGTATTAATCAAACACCATTCAGGTAAGTTTGTAACTTTTTCAAATTACTTTTACCGCGAAACATTAAAACTGCCTGATTTTTTAAAAGGCATCTAGGTAAAGCAGTCTGCCTTTAAACTCTTCCCCCCTCACTCTGTGACCTGTTGTTCATTTGGAGCTTAATGTTACCGGTGTCTCCCACTAGCTTTGCTCCATTCTCTCCTTTTTCATTTTGCAGCAGATTTCCCCTCTCTTTGTTCCCTACAGGTTGCTGGAGCAGGGTTACCAAAGCGACATCGTTTTCATTGTTCACGGCAAATCCTTCTGTGCCCACCGCTGCATTCTGAGTGCTCGCAGCGCCTACTTTGCAGAAATGTTTGAGACCAAGTGGAAGGGGAAGAACATGATAGTGTTGAAGCATCCACTGGTGAGCAGGGCTGTGCTTCCAGCCTTTCTTTTCCTTTTTCAGTGGGGTGAGAAGTGAGTGGGAAAGATGGTCTGAGGGTTAGCTTCCACAGTGGAAGTCTTGGAGCTCAGAATGACCCTAGGCAAGGAGAAGGACTTGCAAAAGCACTTTATGCATAAAATAGCATCTTATTGGATTAACAAAGGGCTGTAAGGCTGCATAGTTTGCCTTTGTTCCCTCTGTCACAGGCTCAAACATAGCTTAATTAATTGCAGTAGCAGGTAGCTGTTACCATCTGCCAGCTGCGTCATAACTCCTCTGTGAGTTGAGTCGCTCCAATTCCTGGTGGACAGGTGGTCTCTAGTGAAGACATCACCTCCATAATTGGTACTAATTGAGTCCCTTTTGTTGCTTTTACAGCAAGAACTAAACATGCCCTAAGTACATTCCATCCATTAATCACCAATACTCTGGCATATGTTTCCATTGCTTGATTGTGGCTGTGCAAAACCTCTCATGGCAAACACAGTTCCAGTTTCTCAAGACATTACTTAATGCTTCTCCTTTCTCTTTGTACAAGAACATAGCTGTCCTGTCAAATTAAGAAGAGGGTTTGGAAATATTTGTGACCAGTAAAAGAGGGGATTTTACAGAGCGTGCATTATAACTGTGTCTTTGGAGCACTTGCATTAGTCAGGTCCTGTCCCATAGGCACACGGATTAGTGTCAGCTGATACATTTGAAGAGCAGTGTAAACCAGGTGGCAGCATCAGTTATGCAAGGAACATAGAAATTAGATATTCAGATTGCTGTGTCTGAGTTGCCATTTGTGTGAGTGTTTTTTTTTTTCCCAACTTGTTCAGGATCATGTTGGTATCCAGGCAAGATTCAAGCTTGTTAAATTCCTGGGAATTCTAACGGTAACTTTCTTGTGTTTTATTTTAGATTAATCCAGCAGCGTTTGGCGCTCTGCTGCAGTATCTGTACACAGGTAAACGATTTACTGTCTAGTGCATGTATACGTGGCTGGTGGGTTGCTGTCTGTGCCTCTGCCATAGCATAGTTTGGGTGGCGCAGGCTTGCAGACAGGCATGTTTGGGTACATGAGTTGCCAACACATCCTTTCTGCTGGCAGAAGGGGAGAATGTGAGCAATCCACAGCTCTTCCAAGTTGTTTGTACCTTTTGCCAGTTGTTGTCCTGCCAATAACTATACAGTCAATTAAAAAAAAATCAGCTTTGGCTGGTTGGCTGGATGGATGGGGAGAATGTATTTTTAACTTAGAGAAGGTAAATTTATCATCTGGGGTAACAATCTCTGTAGTTGTTGAAAACCCAGCTTTCCACATAGGGCATTTTCAGTCTGGCAGACCTGATCAATGTGTGCTGAATGCTTTGACTACTTGCTGATATTTTTTTTCTGAGCAGCAGTGGATCATAAACCGTCAGTCAAAATGCCAAATGTTGCATTGTGCGCATGTTGAGTGCTGAGCTATTTCAGGCCAGGAGGTGGTGCCAGAAAATAACTTTATCTTCAGGGCTGTCTCCCCAGTTCAGCATTTTCAGAAATACTCCTCACGACATTTTCAGTGATGCTAAAAGATTCTGGGGTTACAGTTCATGAGCCTAAAGTGTTTTCTCACCCCAAACCAGACAGTCTGTGGTGGCAGTAATACATGATGCTTTTTTGCTGCTCTTTTTTATTTTTTGAGAGAACTAGCTACATTTTTGTATAAGCCTGTTACATCTTTGACTTCTTGAATGGAGCTGTTAGGATAGACGCTGGAAAGTGGGAATATGAATCAGATAGATGCCAAACTGAGATGGGGGTGGGCTAGCAGATCTTAGCTTCTTGGAATGAGCTGTAACTGGACACTGAAAGGTGAGGTGATGTCTCTAATTATTGCATTTCTGTGCCATCCAGTCTTCAGTCCTTGAATTTACCATTTTTACAGGTAAGTGATATGGGTTAAAAAAAACTGTCTGCATTTCTTCTTCACAGGTCGTCTCGATATTGATGTAGAATATGTAAATGATTGCAAGAGATTAGCCAAACAGTGTCGGCTGCAAGACCTCATAGATGACTTGGAGACCAAATGTAAAAAAGTCTATGAATTTGGTAAGCATCTTACATGCTGTTGTCTCTGCTGTGCAAGTGCCCTTTCAAGGAGAAAGAGGAAAGCGTGATGGTGGATATTTCATGGTGGCCCCCTTGGGGCTTCCAGAACATGATTCTGTTGTGGAATTCCCATGTTTGCATGATAGTTTTCAGTCATGGGTTCTCTGTGGGGCAGCTGAAGTGGTTTCTGGCATGTGCATGTTTATCATTTACATAAAATGTTTTCATTATAGTAGAACAGCTGTGGCAGCAGGACTTTGCTGTGGTTGCCGGCCATTCAGTGCAACACTATGGGGTATATTGGGAAGTGCCTTTCAGCAAAGAGTTTATTTAAATCCCTGGGGAGATAAAATATGTAGAACTAGAAGTCCTTTTCTGCATTTAGCTGACTCCTAACCAAAGTAAAACATTTGATAATTGGTTCAAAATGGATGCAGAAAGAGATACAATACTTTTAAAAACAGAGAAGTATTTCTGAAAGGATGTGTGTATTTTTAACACGTGTCTGTGCCAAATGTTAAATGATTCAATCCTCTATTTAAGGGCTTTTTGTTATCCAGAAAGCTTGTGATCTAGTCATGACATCAGCTTATTGCATGAAAGCCAACAGTTGGAGTTTATCATTCATCTCTTTAGCTCAAGAAAAAGGACACGTGAAGAATCAAAACAGCACAAGTAGGGCAAAGCAGTGTTAATCATTAAATAACAGAAAGGTATCTGGTAACAAAACCTTCAGGCTGAAAAAATCTGATTCTCATTTTGTGCTCTGAGTTAACTCCTTTACTTCAACCAAGTGAATTTTATTTCAGGAAGGTAATGTAGCTTGTAGCTTCTAAGTCAATAGCATCTTTTTCCTTGATCTAAGAGGTGAGGGTGTAGCTATTCAAGCTTTCTATTTTGAATTACAAATTCTGATTATTCAGCCTCCTAAAGTTGCCGGGCTTAACAGATAGAGATAATATTCTGACTCAAGAAATTCCTCACCTGCAGATCGCGTGGAAGATTTTACCATGTATACGTCTCCCCTTAGCCACGTGCAATTGTTTGTTGGTGATGGGATACTGGGTTACAACAGTGCAGCTGTTCCCATATAGACCAGGCTGCAAGTGGAAGCTGTGTCATAAGTCTTACCTTAGCTGTGTAAACACAAATGTTAACACATCTGCGGAGATGAGAAATGTATTTCTTGGTTTCTTTTTATGAAATGCTAAGTATAAGATGTCAATCTGTGTATTACATGGTTGGTGGAAAAGGGGAGTGGTGGAGAATACTAGAAGTGGGAAATAATAATTGCTTAGGCATCAGGTAACAGAATTGTCCTGTGGTATCTTTTGATATCAGAGTAATCCAGTGAAATGCAGGAGATCTTTTTTCTTTTTTTTTTTTTTCCTCCCAGGGTCTAGCTGAGACCCCAAGGGTGAGCATTCCACCTTAATACATTAAATTAGAATCTTATATTACATTGTGGGAGGAAAGTAAAGTGAATAAATTTCTGGCTGTCTAAAGCCACTCATTGGCATCTTAAGGATCATAAAGTCCAGTGGTTAATTTAGCAAACTGCCAAACTTCTTGGCAGGCTCAGAAAATGCAAAATGGTGAAGTAACATTTCAGGGTGCTTGGGAGTTCCCGGTGCAAGCTGTGCCTGCAAAAGTGATAAAAACCTTCTGGGTGGCAGAGAGTAAATCTTTTAATTTCCTTGCTCTTTGGCAGGAGAGAGCTGTTCTTCATGTGTAAGGTCTGACAGAAGACATAATCAATGTGTTTAAAGCACTGATGGAAATCCTAGGCTTAATTTTTATTCACAACAGGTTGGATTCAATGGAATAGACAGAACTGCTGATAGGTCTGTTAAATGTTTTGTCTCCTATCAGCTTTCAGGTGGAAGCCAGGAGAACTTGTTGATTCTCCAGAAAATAACACATGCAAGAATTATAGATGTTGAAAATGGGAAAGACCTGAGATCACATGTCTGGCACTGGACAAAGCATTACTGTTCTCTCTCATGCATTAGGAATCTCTGCTTGTTCAAAGTGTTTGCAGTGGAACAGGCATCTGATTTGGGTCTGCAGAGCAGGGTCATGTTCTGCATCTCTATTATAAAGTAGAAACATGCCTAATAAAACATGCGAGTTCAGGCCTGTGCAGCTCCAGTGGATAATAGCAGTCTTTGCAATGTCATTATCTAGAGTTAATCAGCATTTCAAAAACACTTAGTGACTTGGCACCCACAGGCAGTAGTTTAGGAAAACCTGGAGAGGATGACCCACAGCATTCTGCTGCACCTGAGATAGACTTCAGTGTGACTGCTTGCATGTGGATGGTGCCTACAAAAAGAAAAAAAACATTGCAGTGTTTGGAAGAGCTCAGACAGGGTTTTTCCAGACTAAGACATAATCCTTCCTACAGAAGTGAATATATTTGAAAATAAACATTCTGTAGTTATTTCTACAACTTCTACAAAAGGTTTAGAATAAGGATTATCATTCTGTGATGCTCACCTTCATGGCGGAGGCACTGGAGATACAGAATTAATTGTTGCAGTTTGCTGTGGCATTGGGAAGAAGAAGCATAAGGCATTACCTGGGTGTGACACCATTTTGTGAAGGTTTGGAAGTTTGGTGTTTTTTTGTGGTGCATTGACTCAGCTGAAACAAAAGAATACAAAGACATATTGAGCAGCAGAAGCAAAGGCAGCTGATGAATTGGGAGGTGATGTTCAGTGCTGTACAGCTGGGCTGGGCTGGGAGGGAAGACAAAATCGCTCCTTCCTCAGCCAGAGCTGGGTTATTCCCTCCAGCTCTTTGCATTGTTTATGTTGCCTCTTCCAGAAAGCCCTTCATTCCCACTTTTTGCTAAAGGTGGTGGTCCCTGCTGCTTGCTTTAAGCCAACAGCTTTTTTCCTGTTAATGTCACTTTGATTTTTTTTTTTTATTGTTTCTGTTTGGAGAGAGTTGCATGTGCTACCAAACGCTGTACTCCTGGATTTTGGGAGACACAGTGTCTGAAATGTCTCCTGGTAGATGTGCTTCTCAGACAAATCACCGTTCTTTCATGCTTCTGTGAAAGTGCACAGATGCTTTGCAGATCCCATGAGAAGAACTCTTTCCCTTGACTACTGCTTAAAACTTGCTGGGTCCATTAGTGCTCACAGAGCCTGATTGATCTGGCGACAACAGGCACTACACAGATATAAACGATTCTCTCTGCCATAAAGAGTTCCTAATTGCACAGTGAGAAATTTGCTTCTCTCACACCGGTCTGTAAGTGGACAGGGCTCTTCAAGCAACATGTTTGAGTTGGTGCCAGGTCTCCTTTTGGCTTACTTCCCTTATCTGAAGGTGGCATTCAGTGCTAACAGAGCAGCCCATCTCCCCAGTGGTGTAGCTCCATGTGTAGCAGTGATGGTACTTGGCTGTCGTGTAGATTACCCTTCCTTTTCCAGCATCCTCCTGGGATATTCGGCCTATTTGAGGCACGCTGGTAGCGTATCTGAAGGGTGCAGAAGTAATGCGGAGGAGGGGGCGGAGAACTTGTTTTGAGGCACATCATGGTCTTGTTTCGCCCACGGCCCCGTGAAGTCATCTGATGGAGCTCACGTAGTGCTGCGCAAAATGTCAGGAAAAATGAGGTCTCAAGGTGGCGTGATTCACCTGCGAGGGGTTTTAATGCGGTGAATCATACCTGTCAAATTATTCTGAGCGCTTCAGTGTGGGGCTGCTTAACTCTTCTGTCCTTGAGAATTAACTTTGCTTCTCCGTGGCTCTGTCGCGTTAAAGGGGTGTAGCTGATTAACCGTTACGGGCCCGGTTGGATTCAGAGTATTGAACCAGTCGGACATTCACCAAAACTGGGGGTCCGTTCGGACATTCACCAAAAACGTAATAACCGCCTGGGGGTCCGCTCAGACATTCACCAAAAACGTATTAACCACCTGGGGGTCCGCTCAGACATTCACCAACAATGCATTAACCGTCTGGGGGTCTGGTTAGATTCAGAACACTGAACTATCACGGATAACCACCCTCACCCTAGTTGCATTAATGAGAGCTATCACAATGCAATCAAGTATGGTTTATTACAGCAACAGATAATCAGGTTCTTTTGGATTGCCGGTGATAGTGACTATCTGCAAAAGCAAGCTAGTATGCATGAAATACACAGGTGTTACAGGGGTTCTAGGTGCTGGGTTCTAGGTGTTGGGTTCTAGGTGCTGGGTTCTAGGTGTTGGGTTCTAGGTGTTGGGTTCTAGGTGTTGGGTTCTAGGTGCGGGTTCTAGGTGTTGGGTTCTAGGTGCGGGTTCTAGGTGTTGGGTTCTAGGTGCGGGTTCTAGGTGTTGGGTTCTAGGTGCGGGTTCTAGGTGCGGGTTCTAGGTGTTGGGTTCTAGGTGCGGGTTCTAGGTGTTGGGTTCTAGGTGTTGGGTTCTAGGTATGGGTTCTAGGTGCGGGTTCTAGGTGTTGGGTTCTAGGTGTTGGGTTCTAGGTGCGGGTTCTAGGTGTTGGGTTCTAGGTGCGGGTTCTAGGTGCTGGGTTCTAGGTGTGGGTTCTAGGTGCGGGTTCTAGGTGCGGGTTCTAGGTGCGGGTTCTAGGTGCTGGGTTCTAGGTGTTGGGTTCTAGGTGTTGGGTTCTAGGTGTTGGGTTCTAGGTGTTGGGTTCTAGGTGTTGGGTTCTAGGTGTTGGGTTCTAGGTGTTGGGTTCTAGGTGCGGGTTCTAGGTGCGGGTTCTAGGTGTTACAGGTGTTACAGGTGCGCAGCCTAGAAATAAACGCGTTAAAAGGATCAAAGACTCTATAGAGATTTATAAGCAAATATTCAGATCTCACCCAAAGGCGTCCCAATGGGGGGGGAAGAGAGGCTCAGCCCGTCGACTGATCCCAGGAGTCAGGAGGTCCTAAGGATGTTGTATGTCCTTGGGATGGTATCTCCCCTGACGATGGTATCTTCCCTAACATCCCCTCTCTCTTGGGCCAATTTATATTATTTTCTATCTTTTAGGTGGAGCTTGAGTGGCTCTAGTCAAGCATATCTTAGTTATGATTGGTGTAAAGTTTTCCCGTCTCCGTTTAAAGTAATAGGCTCCGAGAAATTCAGGGTGCATGCTCAGTGAGGGGTGGTCGCACCTTGGAGGCGGGTAGCTTTTGGGATGGAGGTGTGTTTTGGTATTATAATGATATTATAATGAGCAAAAGGTACACTAGGGTACAGCATTTGTCAAAACATGACAGGTCTTTGGCTTAGGGTGGCAAAAAGTGCAGCTTTGTGCACAAGAACAATCGAGGCCCCACCTGATTACAGAGCCTAGCCATGGCGTCTCCACTCCACTCTATGCTCCGTGGTGTTCCTTAGAGCTAGCACACCAAGTTTCCCCAGCGCGATAGCATCTAAGGTTGGGAGCCTAGGGAACGCTCAGATAATGCAGTTATGCCCTACCCTGAAAGCCTCTTCAAAGCTGTACCTTTTCCTTAAAAATGTGAATGTTAGTTTTATTTTCCTAGTTACTTCAGGCATTTACACCACAGGCTCCCAGCAGTATCTCAAGCCTTCCTTACCTCAGCTTGGCATTCGCCAGTGGTGCGTCACGTTTTCCACATGCTTCCTTGTGTACCAGGGACTCCTGAATGTCTCACGTGCTCCAGTCCTCACCCAAAATGTGCTGACTTGAAAACAAACCTGAGGGAGGTGGCCAGGAAGAAGAGCGGCTGTGCCAGCAGCAGTAGTGTTTCCATCCAGCTATTGCACTGCCGCTTTGGTTTGCTGCTCGTTTGAGGTTGGAGCATTCCTCTCTGTTATTCACAAAGCTGAGCTTTCAAAAGCAGCAAAGATTTCTTATGGCTTGAATTTTACAAGCATTGCTTGATTAAGTTCAAATACTTGCTTGTATTGCCTTTTCCAGTGGAAAAAGAGATTGATTACAAGTGCTACAGCAGCCTGCTTTTCTTCTGACTGAGGGATGGCAGGTTTAAATGCTTGTCTCTCATGTGATGACACATGCAGTTCTCAGTAGTTTTGGGAGGGACTTCAGACTTCTCTAAGATGCTGGTGTTGGAGCAAACTGGAGCCTTGTGCTTTAGCATCAAGAAAAGCAAACCCTTCTGTAAAGGCATGGCAGCAGCCTGCTGGCCTAACAGTGTTCAGCAAGGCCGTTGGCTTCAGTGAGCTCCACCTCATTTTGATCATAGCAAGAACACAAAACTAAGGGATGTGTATTGCTTCTCCTTTACCAGGCTGTTTAGTGACAGGGCAAGACAGTAAGACACGCTAAGCCTGAAAAAGGCAAATAAAGTAGTAGTCTGTGTGTGGTTTATTTGGTCTTTTTGGTGGTGATGGCAGTGATTATTTCATGTTTGCAAACAACCAAGGCTTACTCGAGACCAGGTGTTTTGGGGGTCTTTGTGCTATGGGATCTCCATAGGTAGAGAGTAGAGAACAGACTTAGGAGCAGAGAAGTTATTATCTAAACAAGAGAAAATCCCTTTGTTCCACGGAATGAAGTTAGGATGGCACAGCTGAAACGAGACCCATGAAAGCACGTGGCAGAGCGGAGAGGCATGGGGACAGCTTCATTTTACCCATCTTATTCCTTGTCAAGGGCTCCACCATAGGTGGTGCTGTCAGTGGCGAGGATGGCCAGCTGGAGAAGTGACTGTATGGGTGACTCTTGCAGGGATCAGCAACCTGTAGGACAGTCCTCGGCTATACCTGATGACAAGGATTGCAGAGAACAAGCTTGAAATATGCCGGTAGCAACTTTGTGTTTGCTACCGTTCATATTTTGGTGCAAGGAATAAGTTTGAGGAGAGACAATACAGGCATCCCTTTCCTGCCCTGCTCCTGAGCTGTAGTGAGGGGTGCTGTGTGCATGTTCACGTAGGGCCATCACTTGTGCAGTGCAGTAAAAGCTACACAGCAATAACGCTGATGTTTCCTGCAGTCTCTTTCTTTTCTCTAAATGGGAGAAAATGTTCGTATAGGAATTTAGGCATCTCTGCTGTTTTGTTTTTTGCTTCTTCCAGTTTCTTCCAAGCCAGGGACCTGTGTGAAAGTGCTGACGATTGAGCCCACAGGTAACTGCCGGCTGCAGGAAGATCTGGCTCTTCTAGCAGACTGCGCCCTGCCAGCTGAACTGCGGGTAGGGAGCATTTATCTTACTTCTGGTCTCTCTGGGGCTGTGGTATGTGTTCACATGTGTTCAGTCTCATTCTCTCCATTTGAGTTTAATGCTTGCTTGTTTGCTGGTGTTAATGCTCCAAGCTGATTTCGTAAATGCTGAAGCATTTTATTGCTTGGAAATGCTGTAAAAGTATTTAATGAGGCTGTCAGTGCTGGGCCTTTCACTCGGATTTCTCCCCCGGCAGGGATCTTGGTAAATGAAACCCTTGCCATGCGCTTGGTGGGGATTTCCCCATTGACTACAATGGGACAAGAGTTGGCCCCCCAGCTCTTTTTCTTTCCCCCAACCACCCTTCTTGAATACCAGGAATACTTTATCAGTGGGCACTGTTACCCAAGGGGTGCATAGATGGAAGGTGTCTTGCTGGGCTTACTTGCTGGGAACTGACACCCTGCAGCTTCAAACCCTGCTTTCAAACCCTGAAATATGTTCAGCAGAAATGAGTCCTTCCGAAGCAAATTTAACTTGACTGGCAATAGATCTGTTTTTCATAATTATGTCTTGTTGATCCCTAGAAACGGTCCACAGACAACAGACTGATGATCATAACGTTAAAATACCATCAGGATTATTAGTTAGACTCAGATATGTGGATATTTGCACCTAGTTGTGGGAGAATAGGTTAAATATTAGAGGTCTTCATTCTCCTTGCATCTGTTGCTTTCTCTAGTACCAGCAGTTTCACTTGGCTTTTGTCTGCCCTCTTTTTCTTTCTCTTTCATACCAAGCACTGAATTTAATAACATGAACTCATCTTTGGTGGCTGCTATGCCCAGAGGTTGTATGAGTGAGTGCTGTAGCAAAGTTTATTGCCTTTCTTCTTTTTTTTTTTTCTTTTCATCTCCTGTTGAATAGACCTGTAATAGACCTGTGTGCTGCAGATGTCAGGGAATTTGATGAAGCAGAGAGGATCCTTTGCTCAGTGTGTGTGTGTGCATGCAAGTGCAAGAGTGTGAGTGATCAACCTGATGGACAGAGTCTTACCTGCAATATGCCGGTGTGTTTTGTGCTGGCTTTTGGCAGACACGTTTCTTTGAGTACAGAGCTCTTTATAGAGGTAGTTTTTCTCTGTCAGGTTTCTACCTACCAACTCAGGCATTGTTCCTATGTAACTTCTCTCCCCCAGATAACTGCATTTGTTTGTGGCTCTCAGTATGCTTTCCTATATGCTTGCAGGCTATAAAGAGAGGTGATACTAAAATAAATCCCTAGTATTACCTCCCCAGGAATTAAAATATGGATTGTGGCCCCAGAACGGTGAGATTTACATAAAATTTAAGTCACTCCACAAATAAATCTAATGCTTTCTGTTTGATTTCTTGTTCCTAGATCTTTATACCACAATCCCGTCAGAGTTAAGGTTTTCTCCTCAAGAGTTAGAAACACTTTGCATGTAATTCTTTCATGTAGAATAGGAACTGGAAGGAAAATACAAAACTTGGAATAATGCAGTCATCTGACAGTGCCGTGAATGCCTTTGTGAGTTGTGGTTTTCTTGCTATGTTCATAAACCAGAAAGAAAGCAGCTACAACAGCATTAGGGTTGTTAGGACTGTGAAAGTGAAGAAGGCACGGGCATATGCCTATTCAGTAGGGATTTTGTATGCTGTGCACAAATACGCGTGCTTCTTTAAAGTCAAATTCTAAAAGATTTCCATGTTGTTTCTCTCCATATTTTTTTCATTAATTTACAAAGAATATATAAACAAAGGTAATCATCCTATTCCCATTTATCTCTTCCTAACGTTTGCAAATTGGTAAATTCTGTGAATTAGAAATCTTTGTCCTGGACAGAGAATTCCCACTTCCTCACTTCTACAGGGTTTCACATCCTACAAGGAATAGTATACAAACCATTTAACTGAAAATGTCAGTGTCAACCGAATAGTCATGTTCAAGTATTGATGTTCTCTAGAGAAACATAAATGTTTTCTAGCATATGCAAAACACAATTGGTGTTTGGCTTCCAGGTAAAATCCAGCATTTTTTGATGGCAGTTCAGGTAATAACCAGAATTTGATGAGGCATTCTGAGCTGCTGCATACTGTGTAATGTTGTACCAAATGGAATTGGGATGTATACCATTTTCTATTTCACTATGAACAAATAATTTACATGTGATGTCTTTATCTCGCTCTTCATCTCATGCCTGCCCAGTTACCTCTGAGTTAGAAACTCCAGGACTTCCAGTACGGAGGACTGCAGGCACATCACTTCCTTGCAGCTGTTTTTTCATTCCTTTTTAACTGAAATCTTATTTTCCAACATAAGATGAAATCAGACTTAGAAGGATCAGCATGGCGTGAAAGAAATACTGTTCTTTCCATCTGTAGCCACATTTGGTGTGGCTACAAAAAATGTGGCCATTTGTCATTTTTGGCATAAAGGTGAATGTTGTATGGCTTAGAAACATTTGGAAGTAATGTCACTACAGCCATGTAATGGAGTTATTTGGTAGTTATTCCTGGGTTTTGCTTCCTCTGTTTGGCAGAGGCAGATGAACTGAACTATTAAAAACTTGCATCAAAATTTTTTATCCAGTCCACTCGCATCTGATTATGGGCTGGTAATCTCCTCTTGGATCGCTAACCCCTGTATTTTGTGTTGTCATTTATTTACAATTGAATCTTCTTGCTGAGCTAATCTCCTGGCCAGGGTACAAATTGCTGTCACTGAGCTGTTCTGCGTGGTTTTGCTACCAGCAACATTTCTATTTAAGCACTAATAGCAAATTCATAGCAGCAAAGGCTTGATCCTTGCGATGTCGGGGAGATCCTGTGAGTGTTCGCGCTGTCTTTTGCTGCAGAGGTGTCGAGAATATTTTTGTATGGAGAATGAGATATTGTGAAAGTGTTTGCACCTTGTAGGCTAGACTGTTCTGTGCCTCTTGGGCAGCATACTTAACTTTGCAGCTGTGCTTTGACTGAGCAGAAGTATGTTAAGAGGTTGCCTTAATGGGGGGGGCACGGGAATAAAATGTTTTTCTGCAGGGAAGAAAAGACGAGACGAAATTTCTGAAGTGTGACAAGGGAGGAGAGTAGAAGTAGAAGAGACTTAAAAGGGGAGTAAAAAGGAAAAAATCTGCAGAGCCACTTCATGCTGACTAGGAGTGACAATGACATGACATTGCTTTTGTATTTATGAATTGGAAATGACCTTGTAAACCTGAGCAATTAGAGTGCAGACCAGGCGAGGCTAGGAGCTGGAAATTGAGCCAGTAGGATTTTGTAATTTAGGAGACAAACTGAGCCAAACAAACTCCCATGTCCATCCCAGAGGGGTGAATTCTTTCTCAAAATTTATATTTGGGGAATGAAAGGAGCAAAGGATGGATGACCATAGGAGCTAGGGAGTTAATATCTCAATCTAAACTTGTGCTGCAAAGAGTGGCATCTCATGCAAACCCTGTTTCTAGTTGCCTGTGAAGTTTTTTTGTTTGTGTTTTTGTTGGTTTTTTTTTTTTTTTTTTTTAATTTCATATCAGAATTTCTAGGAGAGGACATGGAAGCAGTGGGGATAGCAGCAGGGCAAACAGAGCAGGCAGTCACACCATGGCTACCAGCTTTTATAATGGGATGCCACAGAGCACCCCTGCTGGGGTTTGTTCATTGCCTCCAAACACAAGGCATGGATAACAGCAAAATAACAGCCCGGGGAAGCTACAGATGGGGCAGTTTGTCTCATCTTTGGTACTGGAGGTGTCCTTTGTGTTAGCACTGTGTAAGAAGCAGGTAATAGATCAGGTGTGGAGTGTTCCCTGGTGGCTGCATCTGTTCTAGGGGAGAAGTCCCCTGGTGGGGATGTAAGGGGAGGGCTCACAGAGGGGAGGAAGCATTACTGTGACAGCCCTGCATACAATTTGAATGTTGCTGGCTTTACTCTCATATGATTAGGAAGCAGAGGCTGCCAAATGTTGCTGTGGACAGACGAAGAGCACAGCAGATGGGGCCAGATTGCCACGTTTGGCGGTGTTGTGAGCTTTTGCCAGCCTGGTGCCTTGCCACATCCCAGGACCTGTGTAAGAGAAATCCCACTGCATACAAACTGAGCTCGTCTGAGAGCACCACCCCAGTGTATTGAGGGCTGGGCCTTTGTTTAGTCTTGGAGGGAGGAGTCATCTGGCTCCTTAGTAAGGCTGAAAGTGTGTTGCTTCCAGTTAGGATCCAGGCAGGCATGTTGGAAATGATGCTTAGGTAGGCTGTGATTGGAGACTGGTCTTTGAGGTCATCCCAGGATTTTCCCAGGTGCAAATTTGGGGTGTATCTTTCCTGGATGAGAAACAGGGGTAATAAACTCCTTGTCACAGGCAGCACAGGGGCATGTGTCTGGAAAGCAAGAACCAGGAGGAACTTTTATTTCCAGAGATTAATTGTCTTGGTTACGTGACTGTGAATACAACCTTTTTTTTTTTTTTTAGCAAACAAACACAGAATAAGGTAGAAGTGAAAATATTTGGAAGTGTCACTTTAAAATAACATAAGGCCAACAGATTTTTTTTTGTGTGTGCTGTCTTTGTTGGCATGTGGGACTGGGAGGAGGTGTGTTGGTGTTAAAATAATTCACTGGAGTATTAATACTGCAACAACACTATCTTTGGCTGCAAATCAAATGATAAATTTAAAATGTGCTTTGGAAATGTTAGATTATTCAAGTGAAGCGGTAATTGTAGCCAAACCATTTTAAGACGGTTTATACATCTATGTAACCTATACTTTACTACATCCACCTGGAGATCTACACAATAATGTGCTAGTCCTAAGCTCTCGTAGGCTTATGATACCGACTTTGTGAAATAAATGTCACCTCCACTTGGTTTGCTGCCTTGCTAGGTGGTGCAGAAATGCTTTCTGGAGGTGTATGGAAGGGTCAGGGAGTTTTCATTGAAAAGGGAAGCAGCTCTAACTTGCACCAGGAATATCTCTACCAGGAGTGCAAGAACTGGACTCCAGTCCCTCCCATTGAAATCTTTCTTCAGAGCATCTCTAGTTCTCTGTGTTGTGCTGAGCGAACAGATGGATGGTTGCATCTGGGAACAGCAGGAAGTCCAAACTCAGGTTCCTGAGCATGTTTATGGCAAGAACGGTAAAGGCAGGATTTTCTGGTTTCTTTTCCCAGGTTGGTTTTGGGGAGTTGCCGTTTGACAGCACCGACAACTTCAACAGTTGTTCTGACGTGTGTTTCCGGGTGGCAGATTACAACTTCTTGTGCCATAAGGTATGTGCCTGTGCTATATTTCGTTCTCCTGTTCTTTGCCCTGAGTGTAGCTGTCTTCCCCACTCATCCAGTGTTGGATACACTCAGCAGAAGCAGCATTGCCTCATCAGCTGGAAAACCAAAAGTCTCGCTGCAGCTGGAAACTGTGTTCAAAACATTTAATAGAACAGCAAACCCTGCCTTTCTTGCAGAAGTGAGGAGATAAATTTATGAATTCAGCTACAGCATTCACAGCTGCAAAACATCCTGCTGCTGGTTTGTGAATTCAGTGCCTGGAGAGGGGAATGTTTGATTTACAAGTACACACCAATAAGAATAGAATTTGAGATCCAACCTCAACTCAAGCTCCTGCCCTAGTCCCATGCTACTTGTGAATCTCTTAAGTTCATGAATGCTTTTGGTTCTGAGGTTAGGCAGGATTAGAAATAAGGTATGGAATAAAGGGAGGAAGAAGTCTCACCTGAAGAGTGAAAATGCAGCTTCAGAATATAGGGAGAATTGGAGTTACAGAGTCTGAGCTTCAGAAATATCTTTGAGCTGCTCCGACAGGTAGTGCTGTTTGGTGAATTGCTAGTGTTTTGGCCTTTCTTCCTTCTCTAGGCATTTTTCTGTGGTCGCAGTGATTACTTCAAAGCGCTACTTGAAGACCATTTCTGTGAGAGTGAGGAGCTACAGACACAGCCCAGCATCCCTGTGGTGACTCTCCACAACATCTCAGAAGACATCTTCATCCGGGTCCTCTACTACATCTACAGCGATGATACAGAGGTGAGGCCAGCCACAGAGCTTTTCCTCCTGCGCTGTTTAATTCTGGAGGTGTGCACAGCAGAGTTTTTCTGCAGCGTCCTGGGGATGGTTTCATAAATACTGCCCTAGTCTGCTACTTCATCTCTGTCTTAGGAACCCGTGTACTGGGACTTGCTGTGAGCTCTGCAGGGAGATGGCTTATGTGCATGACATTCAGAATAAATCCCCACTCTTCCATCCAATGACAAAAGTGTGGAAATTAGGTTTTGTGCTGTACGTGGGGCTGGTAAATGCAGGTCTTTGCAGATTTTCCCCCTTGGGCTCTGGAAGGGCAAGGTGGGGAGCTGCCAGTAGATGGCAGATCGAACACATTTGGAGATGTGGAAAGGTTAAGAGATTCCTACTTACTTACCCTTGGCATCATGGCCCACTTTTCCATTCGTAGTAATTATTGCCACTGTTATTTATTGCTGGGGTGGGCAAAGGTTCCGCTGGGAGACCAAGGCCTTGCTGTGCTCAGTATTGCAAGCAGGGACGAAAGGGCTCTAACCCACACAATTTTGAGTCTAGTGGAAGGTGCTGCAAATTTCACTAGTTAAGCAGCTTTGATTTTGTGGCAAATGCTTTCCACAAATGTAGCTACAAGATGCCAGGACACATTCAGGCATTAGGGCAGTGATCAGAGACTGCTGCACCTGCCAGTGTCAATTTTTCCAAAGCAGCTTTCATGCTCTGGGTTAGGTGCCATGTACAGAGAGCACATGCAGCTGTGACCTTGTTTCTGCTGATCTGTTCACCTCAGGGCAGCAGCCAGGAATACACGGTGGGGAGAGATGTATTTAGCAGGCAGCAAGAGCAGGATTGCCATTGGTGTGCCAGAGAGCAGATGCTTCCCTTGTCTGTGGTCTCCCCTCAGCCATGCTCTGAAGGAGCAGGAAGGGAGGCAAAGAATTGTGTTGTGGTTGTGAAGATGCTCCTGACCTTGAGACCACACTGCAGTGGGACCCTGTTGCCTTGCACCTCTGCAGTCTGCCTGCTTCTTGGTGGCTCACAGGAAGGACGTTTCCCAGTCAGCTGCCCCTTTCCAAGGGGTGCCTCAGCTGCCCTTGCTGGACTTGGGGCAGGGCAGACAAATAGCAATAGGTAGGAATGGAAAGGGTCTTGCTTGCATGTTTCCTGTGCAGGATGGTGCCATCACAGGCTCTAGCTTGGACTGTAAACTGAGCAGCCAAGTCTTGAGTTTCTCTGGAGAGTTCATCTGGCATGGAAAGAATGGTCAAGAAAACAGGAATATAGCTCAAGTTCCACACTTATATGTGGAGTGTTCTCCCTGGCCCCTGGATTTCTCCAGACAGATGTCAACACTCTTGGTTCCACTTTTCTTTCTCCAAATAATGTAAAAGTTTTTCTGCTCTGTAGTAGTGACAAAGCTTGCAGCAGGAGGGACGAATATGTACAGAGCCCAGGAAGAGTTCAGGTAGAAAGAGAAGCTGCTGATCAGAATAATTGTGTGGGCTCGAGGGGAGTTTATGGAGGAAGCTGCTGCCATCAATACTACTGACTCAAACACCTCCAGCTTGTGAGGTTCCTGGAGCTGTATGAAAGGACAAAGCAGCACTTGATTAGCAATCCCAAAAGCTTTGTTACATCAGTGTGGCACTATAGCATTCATGACATGCCTCTAACACATCCTTCTGCACAGCTGTTGCGGGGTGTTGTACTGCTGAGACATTTGCTGTGAGTAGACAGTCCAAACACCGGTGTGGACAGCTGTAGGGGAGGAAATAATCAGCGTTTTGCAGTTGTCAGAGTGAGCAACCACATGTGGAGCTGTGCATAGCAGTATTTTTGCACTAGAGCTGTAGTTCCTCAGTCTAGACCAGTGTGGCTTGGTCTCTAGAAACAAGTGATCTTGCTTCCTCCCCAGCCTCCCCTGTATCCTGCAAATTGGCTGTTAAAATGCATGTGGGTAAGTGCACTCTTTGCACTTCACATTAGCAGGAACAGAACTGTGCAGAAAGTGGCTCTAGCTCCAGGTTAGTGACGCAGATGGCTGACTAAAATAGGATTTGCCCAGCCAGGGAGGATAGATTGAGTGAAGCTGGAGGTGGTGTCTCCAGCATTACCTATGGCATTTTTTATCCTCCTATTGCAAGGAACAAAAGTATCCAAGAGGGAAATGGGAGGCTGGTTCTCTACCTCAAGAGCCTCAAAATGTTAAAGGCCAGTAACAGCGGTATGAACTTGAGCATCTGGTACATGAATTTAGTTCAGTTTGAATGCCTGTCAAAGCTTCAGTGATATTTGATGTGCAGTCTGTTCCACGGTTAGTTGGGCTTCACGTACAATTTATTTGGGGTACAATTTTCTGTGTGCTTCATCTAGCTCTGATGCATATGTCGAAATACTTGCTTGTGGCTTGAAAGCCCCACGTGATTTGACCTCCTTTTGATACTGCGATGCTTCCAAGGAGCCCCAGTCCTGACAGTACCTGCTGGGATTACTGCTAGCTTTGAGAGCTGCCTTTGAAGCCGAGATGAGTCGTGTGCCGTCCTTTTGCCTGTGGGTTCCTTGATCTTAGATCTCTGCAGTGCTTCCATCGTGCTTCTCATTCCCCTTTTCGGGGGCTGGTTTGCGCCTTCCAGGTGTTGTTTGATAAGATTGGGAGTTCCTGAAAGAGACAAGAATGGCAGTGGGGGCAGGAGGATATGCTGGCTGGCTTCACAGAGCCAGTTTGAGGGAGGAACTTAAGAGAATTTTGCATGTTTTTCACAAAATGGGAATCCAGAAGTAGAAAATGGGAGGAAAAGCCCGAGTATGGACAAAATTCTCTGTGCTGCCAGCCAATCTCTCTGAAGAGCTTTCAGTACCTCTGCTACAAGCTGCCTCCTTCTGTTGCCACGTTGAGTATTTCTGAGCAGCCAGCATGCAGCTACTCTTCAGTGTTTCAAATTGCTTTGTGCTTAGTTAGGGGGTCAGCGGCAGGATGGCAAACTTCTTGCTTTATGCTGAGCAAGCTGCCTCTGCGGCATTTTAAACTCTACAGTGACTGAGTGGCAGACCTAGCCCTGAAAGGTTGAGCTCCTCTCTTTCCAAAGCAGTGTTTGGGCTAAGTAACATTTCAGGGAACCTCTGCTAAGACACAGAAGAAGGGATTTTGCAAGGGACGAGTGAGGTGGGTGTCATTGGGCAGTAATTTCCCTCTTTTCATTGCCAGCTGTCCCCGGAAAATGCCTACGACGTGCTGTGTGTGGCAGACATGTACCTGCTGCCCGGGCTCAAGCGCCTGTGCGGCAGGACCTTGGCGCAGATCCTCGAAGAGGACAACGTTGTCAGCATCTGGAGGATTGCAAAGCTGTTCCAGCTGACCCGGCTGGAGGACCAGTGCACGGAGTACATGGCCAAGATCATCGAGAAGGTAGCAGAAACACTTCCTGCTGCGCTTAGCACATGTGCCTATAAATTTAAATGCACAGTGAGCTGTAGACTTAATGGTTGTGCTTGGTCTGTGATAAATAGTTGCCCTCTCTGGTTTTATGTGCTTCCTGAAGAAGAGCAGCTGTTGGGTAGGAATGCTCATGGTGAGTTAGGATGGAGTTTGGGAATGTCACTGCAGTAAGCCGAATGCTGGGGGCTGTCTAGCACAGCCCTGGGGGCTGGAAAACCTACCCCAGAAGTTTTTTAAGTGCTGCAGGCAGGTGACTTTCACCAAGCTTTCAGCCACCAGAGCCAAAGTAGCAGCAGTGTTGTCAAAGTGCATCAGCTGTAGCCTGGAGAACCCAATGGGGTTGGCAGGGGAGCTTGGTGCAGGAAATGTATGCAAGTGTTCACACATAGCCTGCTCGGGGTGGGGAAGGGTGGTCTTCCTGGCACACTGCTATCGATTGGAGTCATCAATATGATCTCTCTCCTTTAGGATGACAAATCTAACTGTAGAGGTTCTCACAGGGGAAACTTGTCTGTTGAGCAGCCAGAAACAATTAATCTAATGCTGCAGTTTTCTTTATGAGGCTCCATTTAAGTGTTACGCTTAGTGATTATAGCCTGAAGTGTCAGGACTCATGGATTAAGTTGCCATACAGAAGGACAAACTAGAATCCATGTGGGTTTATTTATTTATTTTATGTCCTTAGACAGGTCTCGCTAAGTGGCTTATACAGCTCACATGGGAATGTAACATTTTCACCTGCAGCTTGGAAGGTGTGAAATTCTTTCTAGCTTGTGAAAACAGTAAAGGGAGTAATTTTAGGGCTGTTATTTTGTTCAGTGGGTTGCTTGGGGATGATAAACACATCATTGTGCACCCAGATTTTGGCTTCAGAAAAGAGAATTCATTTTGAAAGCTGAATTGGTACCCCAAGTAGTAACTGGGCAAGGTAGGGCTTTGCTTGTATGTTCCTCTTCCTCTTTTCTAGCCTGAGTGGGCATCCTTGGACCCAGTACTGGCAATATGCCTTTCTAAGGGTGTTAGCACAAATGAAGCCAACCCCAGCTGTTAAAACATCAGCAGCTGCCAGCATCTTGTGGAGATGCACTGATGATGGCAACGGGGAGAAATTTTGGCAGAGTGGCTAGCACAGAGCAGGGCTCAGCAGCCCGCTGCGCCCAGGCACAGTTGGGTCGCACAGACAGACGGAAGCTGCCTCTCACCCTTCAGCACGCCACATGTTCCTGGGGAACTCGGTGCAAAATCATTCATGGGTGACCTGATTCTGTCAGGATGGGCACAGAACAGAGCAGCTGCACTGCTGTGATCTGCTGGTGGTGGTGGGATGAGAGCCGTGGTGGAAGCAGGCAGCTGGGTCTCCTGCTTCTGCGTTGGGCGCAAGCGCCCGCTGCCTTGCCTGTTGCAAGACGTTTCCCAAAGGTGTCTGGCAGAATCTCCTGGTTCCTGCTGCCAGTTCCTGCTAGGGAGCTTTTCTGGAAGGAATATTATGTATATTCATGTGCCCTGATAGCAGAACTACGGATTCTTAGTGGGTATTACAGTGTGCTGCTTGAGGTGCAGGTTACTCACAGCTGTGGCTTCTTATTGTTGGAGTATTACTGCCTCCTTCAGGTGGGTAGCAGGACTCATCTCCAAGTGGTGCCTGTAGCAGACACGGGAAGATTTGATGCCCTTAGGATTCCCTCTTCTCCTAGTGGATCTCTAAAAAGTGGATGAGCCCATTATCCAACAGTTAACATCTCTTTGCCTGCCTTCTTGTCTTCCTAACAATGCTTTTGTCCGCCCCATCCAGCTGGTGGAGTCGGAGGAGTTTGTGGCTGCTGTGAAGGAGAATGCAGAGGCTGTGGAGGAGCGGCAGGAGACTGACTCCATTCCCCTGGTCGATGACATTCGCTTCCACATCACCAGCAATGTGCAGACTTACAGTGCCATCGAGGAAGCCAACCAGAAACTTGAAGCTCTGGAAAACCTCCTGGCCAGTATAGGGCTTGAGTGCTGATGTGTGCAAACCCTGCCTGTCATATGCAGCCTGCGTAACCCCCAGTGGGTTGGCTCGGAGTGCAAGAACATCTGAGTCTCTGAATGTTTCTTTTCCTCTACTTTGTCCTCCTTCCCATCCACTTCCAGGCATGGTTTCTTTTTAATTTATTTACGTCTGGACATTTGCATGTCTGGTTTGTGTTTGATTTTATTTTGGTTTTGTGTCTCCTTTCGGAAGTAGCTCCCAAAGTTCAGCCTAACTCAGTAGCTGCTGCTTTGTACGATGCAATGCTGATAGGAGACTGCAAGCCGTGGGGGTGAGGGAGTTGCTCGGGGGGACTTGCTATGCCTGGTGTTAAGATCCATCCTGTTCTGTTGCCCAATAATACACTGCTGAAACTGGTTCATGCCAGGGTATTTGCTGAACTGCCAGCAGCAGAGGAAGAAAACTGGATTAAACTCTTCAAATAAGTATATTAGAAAGAAGATGGCCTTTCTTTCTTTCACTATCAGCATTATGAGATTGGCAAAGGTGAGCAGCACTTCCCTAACAGAGGGACAGAAGCACTTGGCTGTGTGGAAGCTGCTGTTTTCACCTGCTATTCTAGTTAGGTGGAAAAAGCAAAAGTGATTTCCAGGTCTTCCCTAGCTTTTCATCGCTTTGAAGTGTTGTCATTTGGATTTCCACACTCAGAGGAGTGGAAAACCTCAGATTTTTAAAATATCTGAGTTCCGACAGGTGGACAATGTATATGCAATCAGGAGGGGAATACAGAGCAAAGATTTGATATTTTCCTTGTGCTGCATGGGATGCACAACTTAAGAATTTAAAAGCTTTGCTGAACAAACATCTTTGGTAATACAGAAGAGACCAGAGACCTTCCATTCCTAGAAAGCAGTAGCTTTCGATACATAAAAAAGGGAGAGCGCCCCTTGACTCCCTAACAGAGGAAGGAAACAGCACTTGTTCTTGGAACCAGCACCTTTCTCTTTCTCTTGGTCCATTGTGGTAGAGAAAAACTGACTTGCTGGTTGGGCTGGGGGAGAGGGGTCACCAGAAGTCTTCTGAGAAAGAAGGGGCCTTTTGGGTCTCTCATGGTGCAGCTGTCCCACTCTTCAACCTTCTGGCTTTGCTCAGCCTTCAGCCTTGTAGGTTCATTGTTCTCCAGGAAATTCACTGTTTGTACTAATGAATGTTTTGCAATCTATGTTCTGCACTAGGTCATGTTATCTCTTCGTCTCATTAGACTCCTAATAAGGGTAATGAGGTTATTTCTCCTCAGCACCGACCAGCAGGTGATAGCCCTGCACAAGTAGGCTGCCCTGAGAGCTGTTTATCTCCAGAATGGCATGTTACCAGAGTCTCAGGTCTCCAGGGCTTGAGCCAGGCATACTTTCAGTGCTGTGAGCTGGGAGGACAAAAAGCATTGTGTGAAGCACATAGGCAATCTTGCACAGATGGTGGGCTGCCATCACCAGTACGTGTTGTCATTTTGGTCACACCATGCAGCAGGAGTTGAAAATCCATGACAAGTGTGCTTTTAGTGTTTGAGGTGAGGATTGGGCATGGGTTCCCTGCAGCTCCAGGGTCTTGTTTCCTATAATGGTGGTGGCACTACACACAGATGAGGAAAGGGTTTGGAGATGCAGTGTTTAGCAGGGACTTGCTAAAGTGCAGATATACTGGGAGGATGGGTCTCCCTTCCCCGCTAATCTCACCTGGTGAGGCACTCATGCTCCTGCCATATGAGAACTGCAAACTCTGCCCCTGCCCAGAGCATCTGCCCCTACATGGCACATGTTGCAGCTCACGCGGGCAGACTTTGGGCACTGCTTGCACTCAGCAGGCTGGGTTCAGCTGCAGTGAGAAGGTGGCACTGGGCTTAGCTGGTGTATCCGAGAAGCTGGGATTTGGCAAAATCACGTCAGGACGGAGTTGCACTAACAGAAGCTGCAGACAGAGCTGGCAGAGCAGGAATGAGGTGCAGTGCCACTAACTGGACCCCGGATGCCCGTGCACTTTGTCATCTGTGTTTAACTGGTTTCTCTTGCCCAGCAAGTCTCTTTGTGGTGGGAGATAGTGGCTGCATGGCTGCTTCAGTTCTGTTTCAAAAAGCTCGTGAGGACACATACAGAGTTGTTGTGGTTTGCTTTCTGCAGTCATACAAGGGTGGGGGAAATGGGTGTGTGGGCGCAGGGCGTGTTGCTGTTTGGGAGCAGCAGGGGTGCATCTGTTTGGGGTGGTGGCGTGGAGAGGAGCTGTGTGTGTGTTGTGTGATGTGTGGAACGTGTCTGTGTCCCTCTCCAAGCTTAGTTTGGCTTTGACAAGACCACCAAAGAGACCAGCACAACTTGAACTGGTGAAGGCATCTCAGTAGATTTGAGGAGGGGAATGGCTATTTGGAAAGCTGGAATATGAAGCCCCATATATTTGGGGAAAAGAAGGGTGGAAGAGCAGAACTGCCTGTTTTCTTGTTCAGTGAAGTGTCAGGGTCATGAAGCCTGCACAGAAACAACCGTCAGCTTAGCCCAGCTGGTTCAGTTCCCCTGTGCATCTCCTCCATTTACGGCTGAAGATGACACTGAACATAAGCAGGATGTTTAGTTGATCACGTCCCTTCTGCTTCTCCCGCATAAATTCCCCATCTGACATCTCGGTAGGCAGCTTCCCACAGCAACGGTTGTGACAGCCCTGCACGAGGCTCGCACGGAGCCCCAGAGAGCAGAGCGTGGCCTTTGCCTTCTGCTTGTACCGAACAAGATGTAGGCACAGGATTACCGAGGAATGTGCTCATTCTTTTCTCCGCAGATGCCTCAGCAGGATGGATGCTGGCAGTGGGCAAGGCGGGAGGGCAGCAGAGGAGGGGCAGCAGTGCTGGGAAGCGTTTTCCATGTGGCTGCTCTTAAATAATTCCATTCCCGTGTCCTTAAGTGTGGAACGAGTGAGGCTGCGGATGGACACGTGGGAGGAAAGGTCAGCGTGGCCTTTTGATCTGCTCCCCCAGCAGCCCCGTTCCTCACGGACCGCTGAGCAAACCCCTCGGCTGCCTGCGGCTGCTTCTGTGAGCCCTGCTGGATCGGCCAATTACCCGGGGTCCTTTATCCCCCCCCACCCCTTTTGGCAAAACAGGGCTGTGAAAAAGCATGCCTAAGCAGATGGTCAGCATGCAGGCAAGCTCTCTGGTTAACATGAGCCAGGTCAAAAAGTAGATCGGAATTCACTTTATTCTTGCTGCATATAATTTTATCACGAAATAAAAAACTTAGGATTTTTCTTCTGTTGCCGGCATCCTTTTTGTGTTCTGTTGCCTCTGTCCTTTTAATTTACTACTTGCCACTTGTCGAATTAAGGAGATTGTAAAGTTTATCAGAGCAACAATATATTTAAGAAGAAATGTATAAGCATGTGTGCAGCAATAAAATAGTATATTTCACTATATCCGTTCCTGCTGTAGCCTGTTTGTTACCGACTAACATCAGTGTGCCTTTATTTCTGAAAGCACTTGGTGGTTTCTTTGGCACTTGTTCCTGCACCTGAACCAGGGCTGGCTCTGTACCAAACTTCCGAGAAATGAAGAAGATGTGACTGCTCTCCTCTCCTGGTGACCTGTTCGGACAGTCTTGCCATTGGTGTGAAGCACCAAATTGTTTTTGTGTGCTCCTTTCTCCCAGCGTTGTGTTTTGTGAGCAGCTCCGTGGTGCAGACGTGGTCTGTGTGCTGGTGGCGTGTCAGGGAGATGATTTTTATCTCGGGGTGCTCCTCTTGGAGGTCAGTTGTCTATTCCTCTCTGCTCGTCACCCCCTGCCTTTGTTATTGCTGGCTTCTTGTTAAATCCAAGGATGGAGATTTCTCAGCCTCAGTGAAAAGCTCTTCCTGTGCTTAACTCTGACGTGTTCAGTGCACTCGTGGTGCCCTCAAAGCATGTTTTCTCCAATCCTCAGGCCTGCTGGAGTGCCAGGCAATGTTTCCTCTCCTCTCCGAGGACAGATTCTCCCTTCTGCCCTCTTGTATGCCTGTGTGGCTGCGATAGTTCTAGCAGCAACGAGCACAACGAGCTGCCTGCGCACAGCCTGCTGACTCCAGAGCATGCCTTGGCTTCAGAGAGCACGGATCCAAGCACCCCCTCTAGCTCCCTGCAGGAACGCGCAGCTTTCAAGGGGGGAGAGCAATAGTAACTGAGTGAGTAATGCTGCTGAAGGGAGGGACGGGGTTTGGCAAAGTTCAAGCACTAATCAGGCTTTTGGGACTCGAGGAGCGGTGCTTATAAGGAGTGTCATTGTGCTGCGAGAGCCTGGAGTACCAGACGAGTATCTGTCAGAGCTGTTGGCGCTGGTACAGTCATGGTCAAACAAACAGTGGAGATGGCACCTTCCCACGGAACAGCTCGCAGGCGCTGTGTGTTGACAGACTCGTCTGCTCGGGGTGACACTGAGCTGTTCCCTCTTGCTGTGGGCAGCCTGCTGAAGCCTGTCGCAGCTCGGGGAGCTGGATTGTGTCTGGGCTCGGTTTTTAAGGATGAGCGGCTCCTGCTGGGGCTGGCGGCGGAAAGCGAAGGCTTGGCTTGGTTCTCTGCTCGCGGGGTGTGTTGGCAGAGCCGGTTTTTATTTTACCTTCTAAGCTAAAACAGATTTGACATAACAAATTTATTAAGATAAGAGAGGCCACGCTGGCAAGCCATTTGTCATAGTTGGGGCCTGTTTGGAATAAAGGTGGCGGGGCTGTGCGCCTTGAAGAAGCACCAGGGGAGGAGGGCAGTGAACTCCTCCGGGGTTACGGATGTTTTGGGGGTTTCAGGTTGGAAATTGGCAGGGGGTTACTGCCAATAACCAAGGCGAGGTCTGCAGGGAGGCAAGCTTTAAGCTAAGTGTGATCGGTGTCTGGGGAAGGCGGGTACGTGCCTTCCACTTTTCCTGGCCATGGTTAACTTCGTAAGCCCGCAGGTTTCAGGCGAGGTTTGAAGGGCACTTCAGGAGACGAAAGCACGCCTTTGGAAGAGGATCAGTACCATGCAAAGAGCTAGCCCTGGTCTCGAGGGTCTGGTTGCTCAGTTCCCAAAATAAGCTCTGAGAAATGAGTGTGAGAGCTTTCCTCTCCCTCCTCCTGTTGCTGGCAGAGCAAGCTCGAGGGGAAAGAGAGCGGGATTGGAAAATGCCATCTGCTCCAGGGCTGCTCCCTCCTGACTGCAGCTCATGTGGTTTTCTGACAGATCGTCCCAGGGGGTCGGCTTTGCTCCCTGCTCTCTTTGCTGGTGTGGCAAGACATGAGGACATTGCTTTGGCACGATGTGGTAAGCAAGAGGAAAATTGGGGAACGCTGTGGCAGGGCCAGATGTGCTGCTTCGTGGGCTCGGGTGGAGCTGGCTTCTTTTTAAGGAAAGCCAGAGCAGTGTGATGTAGCTTTCCTGTGGAAGAAACTGAGCTGGTCTGTGTTGCGCTGGTGTCATTACAACCCTGGTAGGAAGAAATGCCTCCCTCTTTAATCTTTTGTCCTATTGCTTCTTTGCTAGCCGGGGTCATCCCAACACCATTCGTGCGAGGCTGTGACAGTGATGAATTGTGCAGGGCTGTGCTGAGACCTGCTCTAGAGGGAAGGAAAGTAAATACGTTAGTTACCACTCCTTGAGATATGCTTTTGGAGATGAAGGCTGATCTTTCATATCAAGGCTAGGATGACATTATATCTCTCCCTTCTGCTCAGAAGGTTTTATGCTAACACATTCTTGGCACGGCACAGCAGAACCACCAATATTTCTATGAATTTTATTAAGCTTGCTTCCATAACGGGAGCCAGCAATCTGCTCTCTCTAACTCCTTCCACCCTCCTCCTCCCTGGAAGTAAAACTGAACTTTTATCCAGGAGTTTTTAAACCAAGTTTGTTGGCGGCAAGTTCAACCTCTTTCAAATTCCCCAAAGCTCTTGTTAAGAAGCTGGGAATGCCTCGGGCAAATTGTCCAGAAAGATTTTCCTTCCGAGATGCTTCCCCTTGAGCACGGCATCTTCACAACTATTCAGGGCATGGGCTCTGTCCTGCTCCTCCTGGGATGACTGCTCCTTCCCTCCTCGATGCCTGGAGGAGATGGCGTTTCTTTATTCCCGCTGTTACTTCTGATCACGCCTGCAATCCAACAACAGCCTTTTCGGTCTGAAGGCACACAAGTGGAAAGTGTTTCTCTTGCTCTGCTGGCTGTAGGACTTTCACTGTGCTAAGAGGGCAGCTCAGGCGTGCGTGCAAACTTTTGGCATTCTCTGGGGGCCGGGGGCTTGCCAGTCACGCGAGTGCCCCCGTGCTGGGTTAGGATGCAGTGGGGGACGCGCACGCGCTCGGCACGGGAATAGTGGGCTTGGTGTTCAAAGTGCATGGGCTGGAAGCTGGGCTCTGCTGGCGCTTTTGATGTGGCCAGCACAAGGGCAGCCCTGTGCTGCGGGCAGGATGCTTGTCGCCTTCGCTCCAGCACAAAGCTGACCCCGCAACCCATGGTGAGGGAACATCCTTGTTTTTGCTCTGGATCGGGAAGCAGAGCTGTCTGCATCCAGCCCGTGCACCCCGCCAGCTTCAGGGTTTGTTTTGCTGGCCTGAGCAGAGCTGCGCTGGTGCTGCCAGTGTGTTTTTTGTTGAGATAAAGACAACGCTGTGGAAGGAGAGCTGCTGGCCTTGGGAAGGCTGGAGAGGCTCTGCTTCTCCTGGGGTTCTGCCCTGCGGTCAGCCAGGGGATGGCTGTGGGCCCTTCCTATGCTGCTGCAGGAAAGGTACCACTCATCCTTCCCACCTGAGCTCCACTGCTTCCCCTCTGTGTGTTATCTCTCAGGACAGCACAAGTGTTTTCCATGCTGGACATCCTGTCCTCCCCTCCGCTCCACCCCAGGCCAGGCAGGTCCCTCTGCCAAGTTTCCCTTGCTCACACATCAGCGCGACCCATCCCAGCTCCTCATTGATCCCATAGGAATTGTTTTGCATCCAAATTCCTGGAGTGCTTCCAGGCACTGAAGAGCTTCCCCTGCTTGCCCTGGTCCATGCAGGGCAGGGACGGGGTCAGCTGTCCCCCTTTACCGCAGTGTCACAGCAGAGGCCGGGGGACGCCTGCCCAGCCCAGAGAGGAGCCGCCAGCTCAGGGCAGCACAAGGCCTGGCACGAGCTGGGGGAACAGGCGCAAAGCCTCAGCCTCCTGCTGGCCTGTGGGGTCGGGCCACGAGCACGTGCTAAAAACAGCAAGGCCACCCACGGCCGTGACAGATCGCTGCACCCCGGGTGGTGGTGGTGGTGGTGGTGTGGAAACGCTGGGTAAGACACACCGCCAGAAAGGAGGATGAGGATGATGAAGGGCGATGGACTGGGCACCGGTACCTGCAGGAGAGGATTCCTGCACCAGGGCACCCTGAATGCACCGAACTGGGGCTGGGCTGGCCGGGCTCTCACTCGCTTTGGGCACTGCCTGGCAGCTGGCGAGGGGCTGGCCCCACTCCCCGGCCCTCTTTGGACTCACAGCCAGGGACACGAGGTGGCATTTACCCTGCTGCTCTGCCTGGCCGCGGTGCGCATGCCTCCTGTTCCAACTGGGCACATTTCAGGACAGAAATAATATTTTAACGGGCTTGTGGAAGTGTGGGGAGCAGGTCTCAAAGCAGGCTGAGCTTGTCTGACATCGCAGGCTCCTCCGTCAGCTCCGGACCCCTGTCCCATGCGGGGCAGGAGAAGCACACGAGGAAACACTGCTGCAGTGCCCTGGTGGCTCTTGTTGGGCTGCTCCGGGCTACAGCAAACAGTAGCACAGGGCTTCCAAAAAAAACAACTTTTGAGCAGAAAGGCAACCTCCGACCCAGACCCCCTGGTCCATGGTGGCTGGGGAGCAAGCACCAGCCACAGCAGCAATGCGCAGGGGCTGCAGGTGCCCCTCCACAAGCTGGGTTTAATATCTTTGTGCCTCTCCCTTCTCACCCTCCAGAGACACGGTGGTTATAAATGATGCTCTCAAACACACTCCGCTCAGAAAACATAACTTTATTATTAGTTGCAATATACCTTGTATTCCTTTAAGAATTCTAAACTCGTATATGGTTTCCCACTGAAAATACGTGTATGTATATACGCTTTTATATATGTATATATATATATATAAATGTATTTTATTGAACTGGGACACAACGGAACAAGAGAGACAAGCTTGGAAATTACTTGGAAAAATAAATGTGATCTCCATGGATTTGTGCTGGCAGTGTGCTAAGGTAAGTGGTGTAAAAAGAACAGGCGAAATAGGAAATGTGATGGGTTGGGCGGAGGGGAATGGTCTCCCAGTGCTACAGGAGGTGGGTGACACAGGTGGGAGTTGCACGGTGCTATTGCTCGGTCACGGGTGCCACCGATTCTCCAAGGCAGACCAGTCTCCAGCACGTCTCTGCACAGCAATGCTCGTGAGGCCGGCCGTGCTCCCTGCAAACAGTACCTGCCGCTTGGAAATGGAGTTTAATTACATTTCCCCTGGCAGCAGCTCTGCTCATTACTAATCTGGTCAGCAAAGGGAGGGTTCCTCCGGGGCACAGTGAAACCAAACTGGGTCAATGTAAAGTAGTTTATGGGCAGGGGAAGGGAGCAGCAGGGAGCTGGAGTATGCGGGCTGAGAGCTGCAGCTGGTGCAAACCAGCCTCAGCTGATCCACGTGCATCTGCTGCTGGCTCCCTCCGGCCCTACTGGCTTCCCCACCTGAAAATCTCCACTCGCCGACCTGCCTGGAGGCAGGCAACATTGGGGCTTTTTGGGGTAGGTTTCCCCGTGTTAATTCCTTCAGTAGATAATTCAGCAAAGTGGCCGAGGGTAGCAGCAACACCTGCTGTGCCAAGGTTTGGGGCTAGTTTGGCTTTTTGTTGTTCATTTTTAACCAAGCTACAGTTTTGTTTGCTGACCTGATTTTCAATCGCAGCTTCCCCCGGCCGCTGTCACTGAGCTTAGCCAGACAGAGGGACAAGTCTTCCCTAGATGAAGATAATTGCCTGCCTTTTATTTCTTCTGGGCTGCAGATGTGTCGTGGGCGGAAGACGCGCTCTGCCAAGGCACTGCCCGCAGCCCCAAGCCAGGCTGGAGGGAGCAGACGGGCTCTGACCTTCCTGCTGCAGGGTCACTTCCCTCCGCCCCGCAAAGTGCTTGTCAATTTGGGATGAAATGAATGTGGGCATCGATCTGCTCCTCCTGACTTCCTCGGGAAAAGTGCTTTCGAAAAATCCCATCCTCAAGTCCTCGTCTTGCTCCGACCCCCGCAACATCTGTCACCGCCACATCACGCCCACTTGATTCCTGCTCGGGCTGAAGAAGCAGGTGAGCCTCGTCACCGCTGCAGTGCTTCAGTTCTTGCTCTCCTTCCCCAACAGCATCTGGCAAGAAGGGACCTCGCTCGGGGAAAGAAGTTGCAATGAGGCAGGCTGCTGGAAGGCGCGGAGCGGGCGCCCTGCGCGTTGCCTCATTCCCGGTGCTGCTGCAGGTTTAGCAGGGGTGGGTGGGAGCACTTGATTGCATGGGAATAATGTTTTAAGCAGAAGCTGGGAAAAGCCCAGCCGGTTCCTCTTTTTCAAGGCAGGAAAATAAAAGTGGAAAAGTGCCTGCATCAAACTCAATAAAAGAGCTTTCCTGACTTGGGCCCCTTAGGGCAATTGCAAGGACGCAACCTGCACCCACAGGGCCTTCATCCCTGCACGCTGATGGTGTCGGGCCCTGGTTCTGGCTGCTATTGCACAGAGGTCCCTTTCCTGAATGTTGCCAGAAGTGGCTCCGAAGGCAGGAGAGGTGGGGGAGACCCTGGGGCTGCCACGGGCAGGATCCAGCCCCGGGGGCAGCAGCGCACAGGGCAGCTGCTGCCAGGGAGGGCAGTGGGGTTTGTCCCTGTGGGAGATGCCCCGTTATCTCCTCCTGGAGCATTTGCAGGCTGCTGCAGCACTGCAGGGAGAGGGTTGGGTTAAAGCCTCTCCCTTTGGCTGCTGCCAAGAGGCATGTCAGTAATTAGGGCCATCTCCCTGGACAAACTGACCCACACAGCCACGCTGTGATCGCTGCACTGCTTCTGCTGTCTCGATACGATTCCTCTGCTCCATGTCGGGGTCTGAAGCCTTTCTTCCCTCCCTGCTGCTACCAGAGACCCAGACAGCTCTGGGGTTTGGCTTATCTGCACCACTGGAGCGCTTCACAAGCTGCTCCCTGGATGCTGGATGTACGATTGCACCCTGTCCTCTGCCCTCGCTCCCCACCTTGTCCCCAGGGGTGAGCTCGTCCCCGGTGCCCTGTGGGCCCCAGAGGTAGCTGTGCTGCTCAGGAGGAGATGGGCAAGAGCTTGGCCGGGATCTCTGCTCACGCTGTGGGTCTCCTGCCAAACCGGTGGACCACGAGGACACCCGCTGCTAATCCCCACCCACCAGATGCTCTGCGCTTCTCTCGAGCATTCTTTTCAGGACATTTTCCAACTGATGAAGGAAAACAACAGATTATGACTCTAAAGTTATGGTGAGAGGACTGGATCCTGGTAGGACAACATTACTCCTTGCCAAGAGAATTAACCCTTCTTTAGACTCTCTTCCCGTTTCTTCCCTAGCTCCCAGCCACCTCTATATACATCATATATTATATTACTATATTCTCATATAACTCTGACTTTACTTTTTCAGTTTCAGTAGCGCAAGTGATTAACTCCAAGAGAAAAAAAAAAAAAAAAAGAAAGAAGGAAAAAAAGCAGCCCCTAGGAATATTTACAGAATAGTTCATCTTGGAGAGGAGAAGGGGGTTTGGCCTTGGGAATAGCATGGTTTGTGAATGTGCTACGTGGGCTTGAATCTACATTCGTCCTCTCCCCTTTGGGATTCTGCTTTGGTGGTGATGACATCTGAAGGTTTGCTCAGCATGCCTTCCCCCAGCGCAGACTCACGGGGGCTCTTTATTCTCCCCCTGGGCCCGACCTGCTAGCAGAGGTAGCAGCCAAAGGGGTCTGACCTCAAAAACCAGCCTTTTGCTTCCGAGCCAGAGCCTCTTCCCACCGCCCCCATCAGCTCCATCTTTGGCCTCTCCTCGTTACCCAGCACCTTCATTAACGCTCACCTCTCAGGGCCCAGGCTGTAAAGGGACCGGATGGTGGGGACAGGGAGGGGACTGTATGCACCTGGAATCAAAACTGTAAAGTGGAAGATACTGACTTTTCTAACATACCAAAAATTATTGCAGTATAAATAAACCCCCGTCACCCCGGCAAAAGCAGAGAAGAGGAAGTGATGGAGGAAGCTCGTTGGCTGAGGGACATCTCGGCAACATCATCGGACCTGGAAAGCTTTGACGGCTGCTCCCACAGCTATCAATGCTTTCTCAGGTTATGGCAACGGCCATTTACATCACCAAGTAACACCCCACTCTGTGCCTCTTCCCCCACCCTCCCTTACACTGTGCATGGCAAAATATCCTACGAGCCCCTCCACGTTAGATCTTTTCCAGAGAGACTTCTATTAAGAAAAGCGTCTATTCCCAGAAACCCCCAGTAAGAGCTGCAAAAACATCTGCTCTTAAGTGTGGCTGGTTTCTCCAGCTGCTGAGACCTTCTGGCCAACCCACGTAAGTATTTCCGTGAAGACGGAGGTAGTGACCTCGGGCAGCTCTTTGTGGAGGGCATGGTAGGCTTCCTCATACACCTGCAACCAGGGAGAGAGAGGAGATTAGCACAGAAAAAAAACATCCTCGCGAACAGAGCAGCCTTCAGTCGCCTCTTGTCAACGCCCACAGGTCCAACGCGTCCTGCCCACACCTTGTCAGGTTTTTCTCCTAGATGTGGCAGGTTATCAAATCAAGCTAGGTTACCAAGAGATGCCATCGGCATTGGCAGGCCCTTCTTCAAAAAGGGATCCCACTGCCCACTGCCAGCTTCTGTGCTGACAGACGCAGCTCTGGTTTCTGCTGCTGCTGCTTCTCTTCCACCCTCCCACCTTCTCCACACACTGCCCTGTCCTCTCCCTGCCGCTGCCCATCCACAAGCAGGAAGGTGTTGGCACTGCAGCTCAACCATAGCACCCTGCTGCACATGAGGAAGACGATACATGTCCCAACATCAGGCATTTCTCTCCTTCTCCCAGTAAGAACAGGGAAATGCTTATCGTGCCCCTGGAGGCTAAAGGCCAATGGGGGATGTTCCCGTCATGCCTTGTGCAGTTTTACTCCTTTTATGCCCAGGCTACCCAGTTATTTTTCTGATGACAAAAGCTTTTCCTTGGTCTCCCTGTCTCTCTTTCAGGCTCGTTCATGTGCTAACAATCGGTTAATCAGCTGTGGCTCTCTTGAAATGAGCAGATGTGAAGTGGCTTTTGTTGTGCAGTGCTTTGGGAAGGCCCCCCCCTGTACCCTTATGGGCTGGGGCGTGAGGTGGGCTCGGCACTGACATGGTTGGCGTTGTTCAGAAGAGTTTCAGGGTCACCACTTCACCTGGTTATGAGCCTCAGTGCGCTTGTATGGCAAGCAGCTTCATGTCCAAGTGGCCCAGGGGGTGTACAGCCACCCAGGGTAAGGCCTTGAGGTCAGCCACCACACCCCTCACAGAGGCCACTCAGGCCAACGCTGACAGGCCAATACTCTAAAAACCAAGAAAAGAAGCTGACCTTGAGGGTTTTGTCCTGACTCTGCACTGTATCCATCAGTATATGGGACCCTCTGATATCACAGAGCTTGTCGGAAGAGCCGTGTAGCACCAGGACGGGCAAAGTCAGCTTGGGCAGAGCTCGCTCAATTCTGGCAATGGCGTTCATCAGCTGGATGACGAAGGACACCTTCATGCCACCGTGGTAGACCAGGGGATCGGATGTGTAGGACTCCATCTGGCAGGGAGAAAGAGGTAATTTAAGGTTAGCAGTATTTCATGCAGAAAAGACAAAGCAGGTGGGCTGGGCAGCGAGGAGTCTCTTCCCTTGGCTCGTGCGTGTATTTCCTACTCAGTCAGGATTTCCTGCTGTCAGAGTCAAGGTCGAGGCCTTCACTGTGGCTCCCCAGAACTGCTCACACAACACATCTTGCTCCATGCTGTGTTTTTCTCTCTTCCACCACTAGAAAATATTCAAGCCAAAGCTCTTTCTGCAGGCAAACAACCAGCACAGGACAAAGGCTGTTCCTGTGGGGCACCTGCCTGCATTTTTCTGCTCTGCCATGTCCCTCTGTCACTCAAAGGTGACAGTCTCCTCTGCAAAGTGTTCTTTAACTTGTGTTACTTCAAGGCTGGTATTGTCCAGGTCCTTATCCTGCTCTGCTGAGGGCTCAGGTGTTTTTCTCTCTTTCATCTTCCCTCTCTGGGGATGAAGACTGTGCCCTACACCTACAGGCAGCTGACACATCCAGCTCCAAAGCACTCTTACACTGAGGGTCTGTTCCAGGTGAAAAGGGTGCAGAGAGAAGGCAGCAAAAGATGGTATTAGGTGGCAGGCGAAAAAAAAGTCAACGATTTGCTCAGCCAGACTGTGAAAGGATAAAAACGCACAAGAGCTGGTGCAGAAAGTCTCTAGGAATGAGTAGTTACTGCAGCAGGCAAATCTACAGTAAATATTTGTATACTGTACATGGAGACGGCCCACACAGCCACTGCCATCTCAATATTTGCCAGAACGCTTTGATTACGGCCTGGTCTCTGGCACAGCCTCCAGTTCCTCCCAACCCTGGCAGATGTTTATAGAAACGACGATTATTTATAGGTTAGCCAAAAACAGCCTCCTCCTCTCATCACGAGCGTGGAGGTCTGCTCAAATTCTCATTCTGCAGAAAGGTGAGGTTATGCCGTTTCTGCATGTGCCTGCACTGAGGGCCATGAGTGGGAGATAACCCACGAGGCCACCCCAGGGACCTGCAGCTTTGTGGAGGTGAAGGCACAGACTGCCTGTACCCCACCAAGGTGCCAGAATGTCTTTGGAGTGGGCTCTGCTCCCATCTCTCCATGAGATGAGATTATCAGGGGCTGGAGGACACCTGTGGTGGGGCTTTCCCAGCTGAGGGGAATTAATTCGTTAGAGGGGAGTGTAGCTGGCTTCCTGGGGAGCTGGCTTCCTTCCTTGTTGTCTGCAATGTGTTGGGGGCACAATGCATTAGAAATGGAGCTGGCAAGAAGGCATGGTGGTGCACAGAACTCTTTCTCTATCACCTTCTTCCTTTATGGTGTTTTGTCAGCATTTTGAGCAAATCCACCAAGCTGCACTACTTGCTTCAGCTGAATCCAGATCTGTGTCAGTGCTGTGCTAAAGCAATGCAGCTTTGAGGTATTTTATTTTTTTCTTTTTCTTTTCTTTTTTCTTTTTTTTTTTTTTTTCTTTTTAATTGAAGGCAACACTTGAAGGACCTTGGGGGTGCTGGAATCAGGAGAGGTAGGTGGATGGATTGACTGAAGTTCATTTCCCATGGAGTAAAACAATGTTGATGAATTCACGTGTGCTGGCCCCCTCCCCAGCACCATAAATGCTAGGAGAATGACCTAATGGGTTTCATTCTCTTGTTCTCTTCTTGTAGAATAGGGATTTTTTTAGGTACTGAGCAACCAATAAATATTTTTGTATAGATGATGGGAGGAGAAAAAATAATAGCTTAATCCCAACCTAAATTGATCAGCAGTGAGTGGGAGGATCCTCTTGCTGGTGAATGAGCAAAATCTTTGTCAGAAAGTTAATGCTCAGAGCATGGGGTGAGGGCAAAGCAGAAGCTCATGGGGGAAAAGAGGAAGATAAAGGGAATGGATTTTATATTCCAGTGGGAGGTGACACCAACAGGAAAGACTTGTGCAGTGGAGCAGCTTTGGATGGGGGGAAAAAAAAAAAAAGATTAAAGAACTGTTATCTGCATCATTTGCTGTGTTAAGCTAGCTGTAGGGAAGGCTCAGTGAACACAAGGGTGACCCACAGCACCCTGCAGGCCTTCCCATCTCCCTGTCTCCTGTTACTAGACCTCTTCCCGATCTGCCTTTCTGTGCAGTCCACTTTGCCTCTGGGTGCAAGATACAACCATCAGGGCTCCTGTTTCCTGCTTAGAATTTTGTATTTTCCTATTGCAGAACAATAAATTCATTGTAAGGCATATTTCTTTGCATGCACACATGCAAAAAAAAAAAAACAAAAACGAAAACTAAAACAAAAACCTTTGCATCTTCCTTTTGCATTTTGCAGAATAAATTCTTTATAAGGTAATTACAGTCTCATTCCCTGTGCACTCTACAGGAGCAAGAGTAAAGTCGGTGGGACTATTCAACCAAATTCAATGGCAGCTAACAAAGATTTATGGGGTAAAAGAGCCTGCCCCTGTGATGTTATTCACCTTGGAAGCAGGAGTGGGTTTTTGAGGTTACATCTTGCTCTCTTTTGTGTCTCTTGCATTTGATATAGCAAGCAGATCAAATAAGCATCTCCATGCCCTCCTGTGTTTCAGTCCCTCCACCCTGAGGACAGCCTGCTGGGAACACAAGCTCATCAGGAAACTCTTGGATGACGTCCCAAAAACATTTCTAGAGAATAGAAAGTTGGTCTGGCAGAAGAATATGTTTAACATATAAATAATGGATGTTTCCAGCACATTGTGTGCTGTGAAGCTGTGCGTCTTGAGTCCAAAAGGAGGATGGAGTGTGCGGTGGTGGCAGCCAGAGGACTGAGATGCTGTGTCATTTTTGGTAAGTGCCTGGAGCCTCAAAGGCTGGTGTCTGAAGCTGGTCAGGAAAGCATTTCATGTTGCAGTCCACAGCTGCTATATCAGCTGTGTGTTCATCTGCAGGTGCACAGGCAGCAGAGTAAGGAGGGGGTGATTGTCTCTTACTGAAGACTACTCCATTAAGAGCAGCCTCTAATGACGCAGACCTACATTTTCATCCACTGCCAAAGGCTTTCCCTTCCTCCACGGAAAGGGCAGAGGAAGAACACCACCCACAGGAAGCTCTGGAGATTTGGAACATCACAGGGCAATGGGAGTGGCAGCAAATATTTGGGTAGAAACAAAACCCACAATAGCATTTTTTATAAGCTATGCCCAGGGAATATGGAAATAACCAGATAATATTGTGCAGCCAGTTAAGGGAGTTCCACTGGCGCTTCTATAAATGTGTTACAGTCAGGACTTCTTCCATCAGCGCTTTTCTCTTGTAATGCTATTTAGTGCAGCACTGGTGCCTTCCAGCTGTTGGAAGCAGGTGTGTTTAAAAATGCCATCCTTAAGGAGTGCCACATAATGAACAAGTGCAGGGCCTGGCAGAGACCCACGTCTCCCAGCCACACTCACTGCTCGGGTAGGGGCTAACATCCTCAAATTCCCCTCCTCCTCCATGGCACTGACTGCTTTCATCCTCCAGATACAAATGCAGAATTGAAAACTTTCCTCCATGTGATTTTAGTGAATTAGTTCTTTAATTTAAACCTTTTCTCTGAACTATATGCAGCAAGTTGGCAGCTGAGTGTAATTAGGAACAGGTTTCTACAGCTGGACTGGAATCAGCCTTTCTCAAGCATGTGTTTTGAGCAGCCTCACACTGTACTTTGGGACGCATGTCGTATGGTGCATCAGTGCACAGCAGATGCCCATTAACTCGCCTCATGCTAGTCCCAACAGATTCCTACAACTTGCTGTCTTTCTTTTCTCATCTCCTTGAATCTTCCTGCTTTCAGTCCAGGGAAAAGCTATGCTTGCTTCACAGGTAAGTAAGCTGAAAATCATTTGATCAAAACACTCTTTGGCAGGGGCAAAACCCAACCCTGAAAACCTTGTGGCTATTCCACGAGTCTCCTTTGCTTTGCAGTTTCCTAGGTGGGTGAGACAAGAGAAGGAATATTCTGAGGCTGATGGCATTGCTCTCGCACAACCACTGGCATTGTCTTTGCTCCTGATCCTCTCAGCTTCAGTTCTAACACTGGTCAAGCTGCCTCCCTAGAGGAAGGCAATTTATTAGCTTCTATTAAGACAGGAAGCATTGCATGAATAGCAGAAGTGACAGCATCTGTCAGTGGGATGTGAGCTGACACAGGAGCAGGGAAACAACTGGCTGCTACAGCAGTGAGTGAGCCTGCTTTGGAGACACCCTTGGGTACCGTGTTCTGTCTTTCAAGCTGCTTCCTGAAATGCACCAGGATCTGGGTCGTTCCTCTCCCCAAACCAAGCGACTTCACTCACAGACTGTGCCTCCTTTCACTCCTCCTGCCGCTCTGAGAAGCAAAACACCTTGTGGTGTGTTGCAGCAGCAGTTGCAAGGGCACCTGGCTTTGCCAGTGATGGCACGAACAGGCTGCAACGGTTATTACTGGGAGTGGATATGAATGGGAGAAGAGGCTCAAACTATGGCAACATTGACAAAAATTCACCCTGGAACCGCTCCATTCACAGTCACGGTGGTGGAGCTGGAATTAGGTTGTTACAAAGGCTGCTTCAATTGCAGCTCATTTAAGTATTATTCTCAGGCCCAGAAAGAATACATCATTTGTTCGGAAAGGCTGTAGCAGAGCCAGCGTGTAATCCAGGAGACCTTGTAGCAAGGTCTTTGGGGCAAGCATGCTCTTCCCCTGGCTGAATGCGATCCGCACAATGCCATCCTGGTTTGTGAGCAGGAATACCAGCCTCCGGGACTGTAGCATTTTGCGCTGCTTCACTGCAAAGAGCACAGCTGGAAAAGGAGACTTCAGCAGCGTTTGCAACCTGCCTGAGCTGGTTTTGCCACTGTAGTGAGATGCGGTGCTGCGGCAGAGACCTGTGTGTTTTCCACCCCAGCTGTAGCACCGGGCTCTGCTACGCCTGGTACCCAGAGCAGCTGCGGGTGCAAGAGGCACGCAGGGATGAGGAGCTGGTTTCCCACGGTGAGCTGTGTTTTCTGCTCTGTGTAAGAGGGCACAGTTCCACTGACCTCAGGGATGCCTCAGCCTTTTACACCAGCATAAATCTTGCCCTAGCGATTTAGCTTTTTATTTATTTAAGAGAGAAATGACAGGATTGGGACAAGATACCGACTATGCAATGACTTTAAATGGCATTAAGGTTCTCACCTCTTTCTTGTTCCGGGAAACTGCATTTGGATCTATCGATCCCAGTGACAGGTTTGGGAGAACGAGGTTGAGCACTTTTGCTGCAAAAACCTGTGGGAGAGGAAAATAAGTAGTTAAAGAGATAGTTGGAGCAAGAGAGAATGTAGAGGACCGAATCCTTAGCTGGTGGGAACCAGCACAGAAGTTAAACAGTAGAGAAATGTCAGCTGACACTGGAGAAAGATCTGTCCTATATTTAAAACATCTTTCTTAAAGGGAAAATGTTCAAACTGCTCCTGGGATTGGGGTGTGCTGGTCTGAAGTGCATTGGCTGTCTGTCTACAACATCACAACTTCATCATCTTTTCCCTTTTTCTCACTCTCAAGTTAATTTACAAAAAAGGCCTCAGGAAAAACGCCTTGATAGGAAAAAGCTGTTTCCATTCGATGGTGGAGCTGTTTTTTTGTGGTTGCTACTGCCCTTTCCTGCTGCCACAGCTCCGATTTCAGGCTGCAGTGCATACGTGATATTCTGTGCAATTTGCACTAGTTGCCTAGGCTGCACTCTTTCTGATAAGCAGATTCTCAGGGGAACCTGTAAATAAACAACAGCAAAATGTGCATTGGCTAAGGAAATCTATTGCTCACTTGTCTCCTGGGAATGAAACACAAAAGCATTCAGCAGCCCAGGCTTGAAACCACTGGCAGAAGAAAGGGTAATATCTTTCGTTTGAGTTGTGCTCTGATCTTTGATAGCCGTCCTTAATTAAGTGATTGCCACTTAAGTCAGAAAATACACCATTAGTGTTTGCTGGTCTATTTATGGCCCTTCTGTGTCCACAGCTGATAGCTGTGGGTGGGCTGTCACCTATGTTCTCTGTGCTTATATTTAATCACTTCTGAAGCACTCTCTGACATTTCAGATCACGGATGATACATGACAGAGTAATTATGGTATTAGAGGAATAACGCAAGGTTGAAGTCAAAGTCATCCAAGAGTGACAAGCAGTCAAGACTCACAGCAGATCTGAGAACACCTGAGTACTTTGGGATGGATATGACTAGGAAACGGCATCACCATTTACTCATACGTTGAGTCTCTCGCTGGCTATGGCATTGTGTCAGCAAAATTTACTTCTACTGGGGTCTCTGGGGTTGGACCAGTAAAAAATACCTCCACACAGATACAAGTGTAAACTTATGATGCTAATGAGCAGGAACGGGATTGTCTTTTGTGTTAATCCCAGGCTGTGATGATTTGAGGAAAAACACCTTCATGAATTCTAGGCAAGACTATGGACTGGGTGTACTGACAATGCTATAACAGTTTTGCTTCTCTCAAGCCACTTATGTTGACCCAGATATACGTCAAGTAACTGTAGATACCTAGCTGAGGTATTTAATTTAGAAATGTAATTGTCCAAGGCTTTCTTTACAGAGTAAGGAGAGTGAGGGGAAAAAGAAAAAGCAATAACAAAAACAAAACACATCTGAGATCTGAATAATGGTTTGCAAGTGCCTGTCTCTGAACATCATCGTGATAACCTAAGGCAATTAGGCTGCCCTAAAACTGGAGCCTGAGTTAAGTGCTAGAGTGAGTTCCTATCGCTAATGATTGCTTAGTTGAGAGGAAAGTCCTTGGCATAAGAAGTTTGCTGATGCTCTCTCCAGATCTATTTAGAATACTGTCCACAAGATCCAGCTGTTATTAAGGCCGTAGATATTAAGGTCCAAATCTGCATATAAAAGAGAGAAAGGGGAACTCTCCTTATTTTTAAGGTCAGCGTTAAAAGGAAGTTAGTTGATGTCCTCTAAAATTACTGAAGAAGCTGTTCTTTTTATGGGGATACTTGTTTGTGTCTGCTTGTACATGTAAATATTTATGTTCCCAAGGAAAAGCAACAGGGTTTTTCTAGAAGGAGCGTAAATTCAAATCTTCCCCTCACGTGAGCAAAAATGCACCAGCCCAGTGACATTTGGCAGGCAGGGAAGGTGTGACAAGGTGTAGGAGAAGTACACACACCCCTTGCTCTCAGGCTGTGCCTTTGTTGGTGACAAGCTAAACATGCTTTTGTCATATTCAGTATGGGCATTTTCTGTTCTAATGACCCTGCTCATCTTCACAGCCCCACCGCCTGCCAATGACCTCGCCTCTGTGACGTGCTTTGGAAATGTTCTTGAAGTTTCTGTGCGTATCCGGAGTTTTGCCAAATGGAGTCATCAGCTGCCTGCTGCACTGCTATAAAACGCGGCTGGCTCCTGGCCCCAAGGACAGCAGCACCTACCAGCCGGTAAGTGGTGTCAGCGCGGTCACTTCTGGTGTTCAGCTGCACAGGGGAAGTACCAGACCCTGCAGATGACATGTCAGATGTACCTACACATACATGTATACTCACTGTGTGCGTAAGACCTCTTATTTACACATAAGCAGAACCAATCTTGGTCTAAAGGAGTCATTGGGAAAGGGCTCTGCCACTGACCTTTGAAGGGTCTTCTGATCTGCAGGAGGCACTTCGTTTCCTCCAGTGTGTAATACACCCTTAAAATTTGGATGTAATTTTGATGATTCTTGGAGTCAAGACAAGCCAGCAGAGAAATCAAGTTTTGTGTTATAATCAAAAAGTCAGAGGGCTCCCCTGGGCCTTCAGCGAGTTTGTGAGCACAGTCATACAGTCTGTGACAAGCTGGACTTTAATTAAAAGCCATCCTGTTGAAGGGCTGGCTGGGTTTGATACATGAAGAGCTTACGTCCCTGTTGGTTTGATGTGGCAATGTTCGTTCTTGAGAGAAAGCTCCCAAATGACCAAGAATGGGTACAGCAATGAGCGGGATATTACTGGCTGGGCTGAGGATGACACTGTGGAGCTGTGGTTATTTGAGCTGCTCAAGGCCACTGCAAGCGTATGAAATACTAATGCTGAGAAAGATCTCAGAATAAGATTGAAATAGACGGTTCTTGGCCATCTTAGACAATCTTGGACATCAATAGACAGTGCCTCTTGGCTGGAAGTGTGACTCAAAGCTGTTTTTGTCATTTTGCATTGGTTTAACTGCATGGATGCTTTGTAATGTAGACACTTCTGAGTGGAGCAATTCCTGTTCCCTGCATACCTCTACATGCTTATTTCTCTCTCCCATGATCTCTGCTTGTCACACTGCTTGTGTGAATGCTTTTTAGTTCATTTCAGCTACAAAAGAGACAGATAAACAAAACGGTGCTGTATGAGCTCTATATACTAGCCAGGCTCATTTGGCTGAGCAGAAAGCTCTCTGGAAGAGACACTGTGATGAGCTACCAAGATCAGGCTGAAAGCAACTGGAACAGTGCTGTCAGGGAGATGTGCCATCAGGGATACGACATGATATGTGATCAAGGAGATATCAGATGTGGTATCTCAGATCTGACACCAAACGGAAAGCACAAAGAGGATGTGGTGTACTGAGCCTGTAAGGGATAGGCTGGAGGGTACCTTACAATTAATTATTAGGGATTATTTTCTAAGAGGTTGTGCTGCCCACCCTATTTCACATCATTCAACAGCAGACATTTAGTGGGATATACTCTCTTACCATTACTCTGCTCTTTGTCAACGTGTGATTCCTGTCTCTTTGCATCCTTTGAAATTTTGGAGGCTCAGAGCCGAGTTTGGTCCAAATGAACTAAGAAGGGAAAAGCTGCAAGATCCAGCTTTCCTCACTGGGTGTGGAACTGGTAGGTAGGTTTCTATCAGGAGACAGAATTTACAGGGCACTGATAAAATTGTGTTTCTGTAAAGAGCAGAATTTGATTCTCCTGTGTGGAGCCTGCAAATGCACTGGGTTTTTCCTGACACCAACTAAAGGACCCAGCACGTCCTCTGGGCTGCTATTGTTGCTGCCTTGAGCCCTCATTTGTTTAACCAAGGTAAATTCTTGCTCAACTGGAAACTGCCCCAGCAAAGGGATGAATGCAGTGGTCCCTGGGAAATGGCTCAGGGCCTGGAAATCGCACCAGTTCCAGGGGAAAACGGAAGCCTTTGTGCCACAGGGACACTGGCACCAATGCAACGTCTTTTGACAATCAGAGGAAAAAAGCACACAAGAGTTTTCAGCTCAGCTTTCTGGGAAATTGCAGCTTTTGCATGAGTACTCTGATTGCTTTCACTCCTTCCTTTTGTGAATATCTTTTTAGAGATATTTCAGAAATAATTATTTTCTATCCATTTGGAGAAGCAACAATAGATTTGAAAGGGAAAGAAACCCACTGTAAACTTATTATTGCATTCAAGGCACTATCTAGGAATGAGACCCTATAAATACCTCTGCACCACTTTAGTTAAGAGGTTAGGATTTCCTGCACTGATATAAGCAACTATCTGCTACTGACATGCAAGAAACCAGACTACAGTAACTAGTTTCCACAGAGCTGGTTTGTCCTTATTTCAGAAAGGATTCAACACCTAGGAAAATGTGTAGTTCTAGAAGAAAGAAAAACATTCTGTATTTTCCTTGAATCGTCTAGAAATAGAAGGCTAACAGTGTGTCTCAGACTCAGACCCTATGCTATTTTTTAAATATTTATTCCTTTTCCCTCTCCAAAGAAAGAAAAGACAGGAGCACTGATGCCCAAGGGACCTTCATGGTATTTCAGATATTGCCTCACCTGTGAGGAATTGGCTACCAGACTCCTAAATGCACCCTTTGTTGCTCTGACTTGTATTTAAATAAATTTTCCTAGACTAGAGTTCAGGATTCACTTCCCTTCTGAAAAGCAGGTGGGACTGTGGGGGAGGCACTCAGAAGAGCAGCACCGACTGGCGTCCAGGTGGTGCAGCTCTCAGCAGGGTTTTGCATTTTAGGGCTGAAGGTCTCAATGTGTTTCTGTCTGTGGAAGAGCAAGGTGGTTAACAATCACCCTGCGGTGCCTGTAATCTTGTTTTGTGGGGTCAGTAGATGGCTAAGGTACAGGAGATGGTGTGACAGGATTATACTGAAAGCTGAGGCAATCTGTTTCCTTTCTCTCAGGAGAAAAAAAAAAAAAAGAGGAGGAATAGCTTAGAAGTAGATTAAAATGAGAAGTTAGCCCTAGGAGAAGAGTCTAGGGAGAAAGATTAAAGGAACAAGGACTGTGGGAATGAGATGTTCTGTCATTCCTGCTGGCTTAGCTGGTCCTTCCCTTTGCTTATGGCTTCTCAGAGGGTTGTTATTTATTCTTTGAAACATTCAGAACGGAGGGGAGAGCGGAGAGTTGGCTGCCTTGCAAAGCCTCCCTGGGGAAGGGCAGGTCGGGCAGTGCAAATTAGGGTCAGAAATAACTCAGGGAGGGAGACACGAATGGGACAGGGTGAAGCCTAACTGCAGACTGAAGGAGATGTTTGTCTGGACAAGAACCAGCTGAGGTACCAAGCCAAACGGGCTGCTGCTGGGGCAGTGATGCTTTAGCTGAAAGCCTTTGTTGAGGCTCATGGACTCCTCGGAGTCATGAGCTCTAGGTTTGTTTAGACATCGGTCATCCCCCAATCATCAAAAATAACCCTGGCCCAACTTAGCCAGCAGCCTGTGTTGCAACCATATCAGACTCTGCATGAGTCAGGGAGAAAACTCTAAGAGAGGAAGGGAAAGGACGGCAGCTGCGTGGGCTGCCGCAGGGCGTGGTGAAGGAAGCACAGCCTGCTGCCACCTCCCGAGGTAGCATCGCTCTCTGGCTCTCATCTAAATCAGTTTTTCTGGACGAGTGCAGGATTCACTTCCCCTCTGAAAAGCATGTGGGACTGTGGGGGAGGCACAGGTAGTGTGGATCTCAGCGGGGCTTTGCATTTAAAGGCTGGAGGTCTCAAGGCATTTCCTTCAATAAGCAAGAGGTGACCAGGTGCAACACGTGTTTGCTCTTACCTTGATGGGGGTGGCGACTTCTGGGCTGGCCACCACTAAAGGAGAGATTAACACCATGCCCGAAAAGTCACCGAGTCTCTCGCTAGCTGTCAGAATGGAGATGGCTCCCCCCTGCAATGCAAAATAACATCCCACAGCTTAATACAGAGGTCAACGTCTCATTCACAAAGTAATCCTATTGCTGGAAGGGGTTTAGGCCAAACAAGCAAACAATTTCTGCCCCAGCAAGAGTGCATTGTGGTCAGCAAGGAAGGCTGGAGGCGTGAGTTACTGCAAGTGGCTGATTTTTGTCTTTCTGCTCTCATGCTGCAGACCCACACATCGCACTGAACTCAGCACTCTGTGCCACGGCAGCCAGCTCGCTGGGATGCCTTATGTCCTCCTCAGTTAAAATGACTAAGAAGGCAATACCTGACTTCTGGTAGTTTGGGTGGGACTTGAGAAGTGAGTTGGGGCTCTGTAAATGTGGCAGATCGGTGCTGCATGGAGAAAGGGAAGGGAAACCAGGCTGGCTCCGTGCTCATGGCACTGGTAACCCGGGTAACAGCGATGCTGTCAGCTGGCACACAAAAATCTTCATTAATTACTGGAGGTTAAATATTCTCCTCTTCAGTGCCGCCAGTCCCCTCCAGCCCCACAACCTGGTGGCTGACACCTGGCGCTTCATTTTGAGCTGAACACCGGCCAGGCTGAGCCCTCCTGCATGAGGACAGTGGCTGATGGCGAGAGGGGTGGGGGACAGAGGGACTTGGCTGGCTTGCTCGGGAAAGTTCGCAGAGGATTAGTTGCCAAGGGAAATATTTGGTGAACTTCCATGCTGCCGGAGAAGCAGGGGCTTGTTAAATGGAGCAGCAGCGAGAAGCATCTCAAAGACCTCACTGGGAAATTAGCTCCTTGTTAAAGCAGCTTTGGAGCGCAGCGAGCACTTCAGAGCATGCCATGCGTTCTTATGCAAGAACACTCGTTTATCTGAGCATGGGCTGAATCCCAAAGTACTTATTCATTTTTCTCTCCTCCGGGAAGGCAGGGGGAGAAGATCAATGACATCAATGGGAATATTGCTAGCTTGAATAACGGGATTTGGCCCGTGCTGTCAGGACCAGACTTCAGATCTGTTCACCAAATCAGCGCCTTTGTTTTTGCAGCCCTAATCCTTGGTACATTTTCCTGTAAGGTTGTTTAACAGAATGAGGCTACAGGGTGTTTTCGTGCTTCATCCCCTAGCTGCTCACAAAGCTTTGGAGGGCTTAACCGCCTGGTTACTGGGTAAAATGAAAGGAGAAGCCTGGTGCAGCAGGGAGGTGGTGGGATTTATCAGCTACCTGGTGTGCTGGAATGGTCCCAGTAACAAATAGGCCCATTGTTGTAAATGGCACCAATTAGAGCCATGATCCAGGTGGAAAAGTTAAGGACTGACTATATTCGAGGCAGATCTGGTGGGGTAAGGCATGCTGGCAATCAGTCAGTGAATGAAATGGAAGGGATGCTTGCACGTAGTTGTGTTTCTCCCGCTGTGGGCTGAGTTATTTCCCGCTGCCTGCAGTTTTACCCCCGTGCTGCAGCACACACCCTGGACACTGCCAGGAGGGAAGGGGATGATGCTTACCATGGAATGTCCCAGGATGAAAACGGGCAGCCCAGGGTGATCTTTCTTCATGAGATCAATGTGCTGCAAGCTGTCCCTGATGAAGACGTGGAAATCTGAGACAACCATACGATCCCCCTCGCTCTGCCCATGGCCAACTGTAGAGGAAAAGGAGAGCATGTGTCCAAGTCATTCACAGCAAGGGTTGCAGTCCAGAAAGGCTTCATCAGAAACAAGTCTGTTGGGCTGTTGCTGACCTTACCTAACCTCCTGCAGTCAATTAGAGAGGCTGTGAAGATCTCCCTCCTTGGAGATCTTCAAAAACTGCCTGGACGTAGTTCTGGGCAACCTGCTCTAGGTGTCTCTGCTTGAGCAGGAGAGTTGAACCAGATGGGCTGCAGAGATCCCTTCCAGCCTCAACCACTCTGTGATTCTGTGATCTTTCAACAGAAGGAGTGCAGCAGACATACAAAGGAAGCTGCACAAAAAGAATTTAACAAGTGTTGTATTGTTTATGACCTGGCTAAAAGAATGCTATATTCCTCTGTGTTTTTACATGCTCTGCAAAACTGCACCCTGGGAAATTGTTGTTTGCCCTAGAGGTCATAGCTGCTGGAGTCTGATAGTAGAGCAAGGACTGCTGTGTGTGGAGTCTTGCCAAGAAACATGAAAAAATCCTGAAGGCTGGATATGGTCGTTATAAACTTAATGGGCCTTGGATGTAGCCTTTTCCAATGCGTGGCTGTGTATGAGCTATGCATGAGCTTTGCAGAGTCCTGCTTTCCTCTGGGCTGCCCTGGGAGCAGTAGGTGAGCTGGAAACCTTCCCTGCTATGAGTTGTAGAGCTCTTTGTGGAGAGGATAAGTGATGGTGGTGGCGACAGCCCCCAGTGGGAATGTCTCGAGTGGCATGCTCCTCCCAAGCACATGCTCATGCAAACTGTGCTGCACCTGGCTGCATTAGCTCTTTCCGTATCTGGGAAATATCTTGTCTGATCAAAGGGAAGGGAATGGCTAAAACTGGAGATGATGAGTTGCTATGGAAACAGGGGATCCCTGGCAGAGTTGGAGCCAGCAGACCCATGAACGTGGTCCCAGGCAATTCGGAGCCTGCAAAGGCTTGAAATTATTGCCACCCAGGGAAGTGGTTTCAAGTCTGCCTGACCACACAGACATGTTGGTACCCATCAAGGAGATGAATCTTCCTTAAAAACAGTTTCCTCTTTATTTCTACTTCATGCACGTTGTAAACCAAAGGGAAAAACACTACGCAAACCACTTCTGTATGTATAGAAGTGCGTAGGGAATCTCAAGCACAGCTCCCTCTTCCCCTGGGCCTTCCCCAGTGGGATCAGACAGCAGGGAGAGAAATTGCAAAGCACAAAGGGCAGTGACTTGTCAAAGGATGTTAAGTGCCTGGTAATTGTTTACATGCTGGATGGCACCCCCTATAGTGATCACCAAAGAGAGGCATTGCCTACCCAGCCCGAAAGGTGAATCTGCTGGCGAGAGTCATACCAGAAGAAATCAGCATGTCTGAATTGACTTTCTGGCAAACCGTCCAGAAAATCACCTCCCAAATGAAGCAAAACTTCTAATAAAGAGCTGGACTAAATACACCCCGTCTAAGAAACCCTGAACTCCAAACTTGCTCTTGTTTTGCCCTCCCAGGTGGTCTCCAGAGCTGGGCCTCATGGCAGTGAGTTACTGGTGATGTGTTCCATGCACACACTCCAAGTCCTGCCAAAACACGATACTGCAAGCATTTACCATGGATCATTGACCAAAAACAAATCAAAGAGTCAATTAAGAGATCCAATAATCTACAGACAAGAAGTGGGTCTAGTGGATCCATTTAAAGTGATTTTTATTGCAGATAGAAAGTGAGCTTTTCCCAGCCTTTATACACAGAGCTTCACCACTTTGTGGAGCTCTAATGTGTTCTCTGCCTAATAATCAAACCGCAGATTTAGCAAGTTAATATGAGTTGAGCAGTCCAGGGAGAGGAACTTTCTCTCCCAGCAGAGCTCTGCACTTCTTTTTCCTCTGGTGCTGCCTGCACTTGCTTCTGGTATCTCTTTCTCTGCAGAGCCTGTGTAAGACAGCTGAGCAAGCAGAAATAGCAAAATCCCCATGGCCCAGGTTTGTGTATGGGCCGTGACTCTCTGTTGTGGGGCTATGAGGCTTTGCTCTATTTTTGGATAGACAGAGGCAGGTCTGGAAGGTTTCCTTCATCACTGGTCCCACTGCAAAACGCTGATACTGCTCATAGCAGTGAGAGTTGTGATTGTGAGAAGCCAAGAAATGCCTGTGCAAGCACGTCACTGGAGTTCTCCAGGTTTGTGTTTCTTTTTTTTTTTTTAATTATTTTTATTGATTATTTAATGAACCTGCCATTTGAACCTAATTTCAACTACTAAACTACTGTTCCCCACTGAGATGGCACAGCAGTGCTCGGGGCGCTGTCTGGCTGCCTGTATGGTAAAGGAAGGCCATGCAAGTCTGCATCAATGCCCTCCCTGCCCCTTGCTCAGGGTTACCTGATGGCATTGCTAGGTTGCCTTCTTTTATTTTATTCCTTTACTCTCTTCACCTCCAAGAAACCAAACTCGTTCCTCCAGAGCAAGAGTTTATTGAAAGTTCAAAGTATCCCAGCTGAGAAAGCTTCAGGGCGAGGAACTAAAATGAAAGGCATGTGCACAACCAAACATCAATACAGTCAAGAGTATTGACATATTCTTCTCTGATCTTTTGCCTTTGGAGCTATTAAGAATGAAAGGTCAGGTTCATCCTTGATGTGAAGGTATTTGCTTTGGGTTTTGCTGGGAAAGAACCTGACACAGTGGTTCCACAGTGCCTGTGGCAAGGCACTCAGTGCAGGAGGAGGGGACCTGTCCGCAGCTGGGAACTGGAACTAACCAGGGGCTGCTCAGCACCCACATGAGACAACAGCCGGCCAGAAAAGTGTCACGGGAGTCTCAGCTCTGTGAGTTCCCACCACAAATCTCCTCCTTGGGTTTCAGAGGGATGTCTTAACCAGCTTTTTGAGACGCGCATCTCCAAAGAGCTGTAATTGCCCATGCACTTCTGCATGGCACACTGGGCTTCAAAACCTTTCAAATAGGTTTCAAGTTTTCATACCCAACTTGCATGGCTCACTGCTGATATCATGAATCTGCAGTAGCTCTGTGACTATTTCAGGTGGCAGGCACTGAGGTAGTTGTGGGCACTCTTTCCTAAATGCGGGCTTTTAAAAAAAGAATCCACAACTTGTTTTCAAATTGCCAGTCTAGGATTAGGTCTAAGCCTCCATTTCCAACCAAACTCCTCACTGCAAAATAGCTTACTTTGCTCAAAGTCTGAATAAAGGCTGCAGTGACGTAATAGATATATAATAGCTATTAAGGTCTGCCCTCTGTATTTTCTGTAAAAGCTTGTTCAGGCTGCAGCTCTGCCACCACAGGGACAAGAACAGCGACTCGTGACAGTCATCAATCAAGTCTGAAACCATGACCTCAGACTGTGATTTCTCCTATGGCTATGGATCCTCCAAAGCTCCACACCTCTCTGGGTGGATCAGCAATGGAATATTTGATGGTGGATGGTGTAAGGGCTCTGGAGACTGAGTTATCACTACCTGCATGGAGGAACCTCTCGGGCTGGATAGGCTCAGCAGCATTGCTCATCTCAAAAAGAGCTGGAGCCTCACCCAGGGTGAAAGCAAGGGAGAAGCTGCAGAGCAGCTCCTCTGCTGAGAGAAAAACAGAGGGGCCTTTTTTTCAGATTGCAAAATTAGGTGGCAGCACAAACAAGATGGTGCTTTGACAACTTGTGTCTTCTCAGCATCACACTGCATTCCCTCTGGAGTGGGAGGGAGCTTCAGATCCTCATCAAATCACACTGAGCAGTGATGAAAAAATCCCTCCGGGCACCCCACTGCATCACACCTTAGCAGAGACTTGTCCTCAGGCTTTTATGTAAGCTACAGGCTATTGGTATTTCTTTCTCCTTTTAGTGCCAGAGCCTCACAACAAAGGCCCAGCCCAACCCCGTGTGCTCAGGTGTGGCATGAACTTCTCAAAGCTCCAGCTGGAATGTTTGGCTGCAGAAGATGAGGTGACACAGAAAATGCAGGGTCAAATGCTGATTCCAGCTATGCTGCTGTAAATTTACTGATTTCGGTGGTGTCCCTTAAAGCATACAGTCATGGGAGAGTAGAAATTATGGTCTATGTTGTTTTTTCAGCCTTTGCTCCCTATTTATTATGGAAAAGCCATAAAACACAGAGAGAGGACATGAGAAATCTGCCTGGGGAGCAGTAATTCTCCAGGCAGAGTCTGGATCTTGACTTTCTGCATATTTGGAGGCTTCCAACTTAGGGGGAAAGGGAATGGTTTGGATCCATTGTTATTGTAGTGAGGACAGCACCACAGGCATCAGCGAGGTGAAATGCTATCTCTTGCCAGCTGAAGATAGAAACAATGAGGAGGAACTCATGGCTTGACCCCTGCCTCAGGATCCATCACACTGTGTGTTTGTTTTCCTCTCTAGAAGCCTAACTCCAAGATTTTAAAGAGGGAGAGCCACTGACAGAGGGCTGGGAGAGGATTGGGCATCCCAGGCTTGCTGCTTTCAGAGCATAAACACATTTCACATTGCACTGGCACTAACAGAGGAGTGCGGATGCAGGAGATCTCAGCAGCAGCTAAATGTGAGACCTGCCACCACCGAGACGTCAGTGATTAACCAGCCCCAGCTGAAGAGCTGCTCCTGCACTGCAGAAAATCCCACACCGAAAGGACACTTCCTAATTATGTCAGAGGGGGCCATCAGCAAAGCTTGGTGCTGATTTAATAAGCCGGAGCACGGATGTGATTCCATTCCCAACGAGGCCTTTGGAGGCCAGAAAAGGTGATCTTACTGCTCCAGCACTGGCTCAGCAGCAGCACGTTTCAGCACACCCACCACTGTGCTGGGCAGCAGTAAAGGCAGGATTTCTGCAAGAGCCCCTCTTCTTTCACTGCCTCCTTGGTCGGTAAGCGTTTTGGAGTAATCTGGAGACTGACAAGTCCATTTGAAACAAAAGCCTAAATGCCTTTTGGAGGAGGCATTTAGATGAGCATTTTGTGCTTATGAACTTTATCAAAGATTTGCTTTATTCTTGAAGGCCTCAGGTTTCTGCCCCAAAATGGAGTAGAGATGGGCTTCTTGCTGGTGTATGTGGTTCTGGACACTGCAGCACATGAAAGGGTGGTGTGCTTTTTAGATTTAAAAAAAAAAATTGGTTTTGAATTAATGCTAACTAAGAGATCCTACAGATGCTTTGACTCTGCTGGTGGCCCAAACAGACCTGGAGCCTGTGAGAGGCAGAAGCTGATGACAGCCATTTGGATGGCTCTTTCTGTGCTCAAGGAGAAAATGTTCCAACCTCATCCTCTGCTGCAACCCTTCTGAGCAGCACCACATGGCAGCTGGCTCAGGTGGGGCCATCCTGTGAGCAGCCCTGCGATCCTGCTGCTGTGGAGGGGACTCCTTGTGATATCCAGCCCCCTGCCTGGGGGACAGCAGCCCTGCCAGCCTCTGCCTTCCTCTCTGCCCCACACAAAATGCATTCAGAACTGGAGGTAAAAGCAGTCACGTTGGCCCTGCATCGATACAACTGTAATGCCATGGACCTACTAGGATGCCATGATTTAGCCAGTGCTTACAGTTAAGGTATAAAATGAAGCAGATGAGGTTTTCAGGAGCGTTTCAGTTTTGGAAGTCAGTCTAGCAGTTAATTAAGTGGTGTCACAAGGCACTACGGCTGATGCCTGTATTTATGAGATCTATTTAAACTCGTCTGAGCAAGGACTGCTTTTTGGTGCACTTGTACAGCACCCAGCACTGCGGGGCATCATCACAGACCTTGGTCCAAGATACTCCAAGATCTTAATGCAATAATTAACTCTAATCCTGAATTCTAAGGCAGCACATTTTTGCAGAGGAGGAGATGGGAGGAAGCACATAGATGGAGAATGTGGGTGATACAATACACAAACCGACACTAATAATGGGTGTGCGTAGCAAATGTTGTATGAAGCCTTGATTTTCTGCTTGGGTGTTTTTTCAAGGTTTAATGAAAAAAATATTAATGAACTAGTAAACACTTCAAATTGTCAGAACAGTTCACTACTGAACAAACTATACTTGTTTTGTAATGAATCAAGTACACATCTTTTTCATCAAGTGAGCAAAGCTCATTAATTAGACATGCTGGGTTTCAAAGCTCTCAATGTTTAATTATTTGTTTAACAAGCACTACATCTAACCCACCGTTCAGACACACAAACAACTAAAGCAACAGGAAGAAGCTTCAAAGCAGGACAATCAACATCTGGAAAAGTCAACAGACTGTTCCTTTATTGTCAGGAACATGTAAAGCAAATGTTCCACTCGAAGAACAAATACACACAGGAAGCACCTCAGATTCCATCAGAAAGATTCCTACTCAACAAAGCAGCTTCCTTGCCCTGAGAACACCCTTGTCACAGCGAGGGAGCTGGTTCTGCTCCCCCCGTGCAACCTTTTTCGATTTCCCAACCGAAGTCTGATGCATGGAGGGCACTCAGTGGTGTCTGCCCACCATTCACTCGTCCTCTTCATTTTGTGTGAGAGGCAGGACAGAGCCAAGAAGCACCGTAAGCTGTACCAGGATGTGTCATGGTACCATGCCTCTGCTCAAGTTGCCACAGGTCAGCTGCTGTGCCGCAGTGCATTTTGTAGGTAAACTTTTGGAAGTGAGCTTTTCAGCGTCAGTCTGACCAAGCTTTAGCTGTGCGCCACCTTATCCTCTTCCACAGCCCTGGCTTCCCCAAGAAGAAAAAGGTTAGACTGCAAGGAAGCTATGGAGGGCTCCAGCCCAGCCACCTGGACCACCAGGAGCCAAGACCTTGGGGCACACTGCAAAGTAAGCCTGCTCTGCAGAATTGATGAGCTTCAGACTGTCAGTGTTTGCCACAAGCCTGCTATCTGAGACTTTCCCAGGAGGGCTACATCTGCATCAGATGGGAAGCATTAGGGACTAAAAAGAAAAGGGCTCACCCTAACCGCTGGTTCCGTCTTTATCTCAAGGATCTGAAATATATCTTGACACATGCTTATCGTTAGTAACTTTCATCCACTCTACTCTGTCTTGGCAGCCCTCAGCATCCCTTCTTTTGTATGACCTGCATAGATGCAGTGAACACACTGGGTTTCCCGTGACAATAGCCACATTATAAAACCATTAGTTATGGTGCCCAGCAGTATCTCTACACCCCTGGTGTTTTATGTGTTGAGCATTTACCTGAGAATTACAGATGGATTCTGCTGCTCTCTTATCAAAGGGGAGTCTTACCCTCAATAGGCAAGTGCAGCATCTTCCCTTTTCCTTCTCAAGATTAGGAAAATCATTTTTCTTTCAGCCTTTGCTGGATACTTTTTATTCACTTGCCTCACACAAAGAGTGCAGCAAACTGAAAGCCTTCTCCTCCCACATCAGAGACACATTTGCAGAGCCGAGATATTTTTAGAATAGTGCACACACAGAGTTATATTGTTTGTTGTCTTGGTTAGGGGAAAAAAAAAAAAGAAACAGGCAATTTTCTATACTAAAATTATTTGTGCCTTATTGCTGGGGAGTAGAGAACTAGTCATCTTGCTGAAGCAATTTCAAATCTTTTCTGCACTCTAAAGATGACAAACAAAATGACCTGGAACATATCAGAGCAGTCATTAATTCTGTCCAACAAGGCAAACTGTTTCTGCCAATGTTAAGAGCCAATTCATCTCTAATGGATACAGGCACGGTTCTTTCAGCTTTCGAAGACTTGCCCATTTCTTATGCTGTTGCAGAGTTTGGCTCTGAATTGCACTTTCTTAAAAGTCTTCCTGGAACATCACGCTGCTCATGAAAACATGCTGGAAAAAAAAAACATCTAAGTGTTTGTGTTACAAAATAAGAAGTCAGTGTGGCCAGACTGGAGATACAAGCATCTCTCGGGATGTCAAGTAACAAAGGGAGGTGAGGCAGGCTGAAAGCCTGCTCACACCACCGCCAGCTCCTGCACAGCCAGGACTTGGGCAGCTTTGTCACTCCTGCCACAAATACAGGACGCTGCTGTTGGTGAGGTAAGGCCCAAGGAAGAGGAATACAGAGCCCATTCTCTTTTTCACAAAGCTCATACGCAGCAAGATCCTACTTTATTCTTTAGCCCCTTCTGTGATGCCACCTCCTCAAGAATACTAAAGCACAGGAGAGGTGAAGCGAATGTCCTTCTTGACCATGCGACTGGGACCCATGATTGGAAAATGCTGCACAAAGCTGATGTGGATGGTTGAGCAGCTTTTTGAGTTCCACTGCAAAAGGAGTTTCTCATGGTGATGGGTGAAGCAGGGTTCTATCTTGTCTCTTTTCCCATGGGATGAAAATCCCAATACAAATATAAGGCATACAATTAGTGAGGCATACCATATGCTTTTTATAACCAGGCAATTAGTGGTTTTACTTAAGTCCCTATAATAATTTCTAATTGTTATTCTTGTAGTGTTGCACTGAGATTTCTCTCTCTTTCCTGAGGAGCAGATCATTTACAGACGTATAGAAGGGGTGACTATTTAACAACAGAGTTGGTCCTCAGAGACTTATTCTGGGGTGACATAAAACCAGTATCAGCTCTCAGGTATTGCAGAAAAAATCCATGGACTTTGCTGGAGCTAATCTAGGCTCTCATTGCTTCATTTGATTGCTATGCCACTGGTCTTTGTTGTAGGGCCTCTGTTCTGCTCTTCACATATGACTCAAGATACACTAATGGTAGTCAGAGTTCCACACTCACTGGGCAAGGAGGAACCACCTTTGTAGCAGCCAAGGAAAATCTTTCTGCTATTTTAAGTTAATTTTTAAAGCATTTATCTATCTATTTATTTATTTTTTTGCTTTAGTGTCATAAAATCCAATAAAGGGTGCAAACTTTATTTCCAGATGACAAGAAGGCTGAAAGTCCACTTTCCTTTACTTTCTGATCCAATTTCCAGCTTTAAGATGCTCTAAAATAGCTGGGGCACCAATTCAAAATGTCAGGGTGTTCAATGAAAAAGCCGGTGCTGCGGTGGAACTGCACACTCCCCTTCCCCTTCCCTGCCCATTTATTCCAGAGCACTGCTGGCATGTGGGCTGGCTCTCCAACACGCACATGCTATTAAGTCCTAAATGACAGCTTGTTTAACTAGAAAACATTTCCATTTTTTCCTTAACAAAGGCCATTCATTTCTTGCTCTTCTATTTGCTTAAAGACGGTTTCATTTGCCCTGCCTGAGAGTTTGCACAG